TATATGCTTTTTTGGTAATATATGAAACTTTTTTATTTACAATTAGTCAATCTTCTTCTGTCCACTTCTACCGGGGAGGTGTTAAGGAAGTTACAGTTGGTGAATTGCAGCAAAAGGGTGAGGCCTGCTGGAGCTTCATGTTGTGGACTTGAAGGATGTCCTTAACACAGTCTAACAGCATGGTCTTCCTCTGGCCCTGAGTGCCTGCCACTGTAATCTTGCAAATGCAGTTTGGTCGAGGGGCATTCAGACCATGTGGCAAGACCAATTAAATTGCTGTTGGGCCATTTACTGGCTGATTGATCGGGATGGCACCATTTCCTTTATTTCCTGGCTGCTAATGTGATCCAATCTCATTTTACTAGCTGCTGTCCTTAAACATCTCATCTCGCAGGTGAAGTTTTTTCTCTCGAGACTTTTTCAAGGCCCAGGTCTGACACTGTTAAGTAAGTGTCGGAATAAAGACAGTAAAAAGTACCGATATCAGTGAAATTAGTCATTACAGTTGCAGTGCTTTTCTTTAATTAAATTCAGTAGATTCAATGAAAATAACATTGTACAATTATTCATACTCTCTTTCCCTGTTGCACTTAATTTTTGGGAGGTTATATCTGAGCCCCTCTTGGTCTGTCATGATGTTTCTTATTTAGTTTTAACATTTGACTCAGCCTTGCTAAAACTGTACCAGCTTCATACCATACTCTTAGTCTTAGGGGACAACACTGATACTTACATTATATTGGTCTACTTCTTTTTCTAAAAGATGCTTATTAAATTTATTGAAACATTCTTTTAAAAAATATTTTGTTTTTAATTAAGATTTCCTGAGGTAAAAGTTAAATTTTTATAACCATGTTTGTTATAGAATGACAGATAAAGCTTGAACTTTTCCTGTTTCACAAGAAATCATATTACATCTGTTTAACCTGCGCTCTGGTATGTCATAGTCAAAGTTGTCTCTTCTAAAGATTTTGTCTGTTAAAAATAACACTTCCATCCACAAGTGCACTGAACATAAATTCCTAATGAGAAAAATTATCACAATCGGTACCAACAATCCTCTAATAGTAAACAAGTATATCTCTAATACATACATAAATTAATTTTATATTTATTTTCTTTATGATAATGCAAACCTGTTATGTAATTATCTTGATTTATTATTGTTTCACAAGAATCATTTCAATACTTTTTTTTTAATGAGTGTTGGTGCGGTATGGCCTAACAATAAACGGTCCAGAAATTTAGCAAAAAATTTTGTACAATTTATCGTTTAAGTCAAATGAAAAAAATTGTTTTAATATTTGTAAGTGTAAGTCTTATTGTTATTTGTCACAGCACTTGATTGAATGTACTTTCTCTAATTTGATGTTGGTGAGGGCAGGGGTCGAGTTCCTCACAGTAGCCAGATGTTTCCATTTGATTTTTATTCTACTAAACAGCACCAGTTGCTCTCATTAGTCTCATCTCATACTTTTCCCTCATCTTAATTCAGAGCATGTGATTTACTGAGTTCAATAAATTATATCAATTAAAATTGTTGTTTTCATTGTTTTATCTTAGACAAGGTGAGTGCATTTTGTTTCAAGTAAGGGAGAGTTGCTCAATTCGTCAGCCTCACGTTCTCGTCCTTGCCTATTTGATCCAATGGCGAGGCTCATTCAGGATGCCTGGACATCGACCAGGATGCAGTGAGTCACCAACAGTGTTTCTTGTGTCTCACTCCATCTCCAGGTTTTGATTCAGAGTTTTGCCTTCTCTTAGACGAGTTGCCATCCAAGGTTAACGGGTCCCATCTACCCGGGGTGCTGGTGTTGTTTTTGCTTGTCTAGGCTTTTGATGGGGATTGAGCCCCAGTCCACAAGCTTGGGATTGACTCAGTTTAGACCGCTGGGTCACTCACCATCCATAGAGTACCATCTCAACTAAAACGTCCATTCCTACAGACCTAGTCCCTCTCACGTCATACTTAATTAGACAAAGTTGTAAGAATTATGACCAATTCTGTAAAAATTAAAAGTGGAACACTCTCTGAGCTCATAATGCAGGCTCTCATTCGCTTGACTTGAGTCAGGGCCAGTGATGGCCGAAACACTGGGCTGAAAGGGAATTGATGAAAGAGCCACTAGTCGGCACTTAAGCGGTCATTATTATTATTATGACACCATGTCATTTTTGCTCTCGTCATCTTTTCTAGATGGATCTGCCCACGTTAGAAGTACAGAAATACCTCGAATATCACGGCGGGAGTGTTAACGATCCGAGGGGGGGGGGGGGGTTGAAGGGGGGGGGGGGGGGGGGGGGGGAGAGGGGGGCGACCCCCAACCCCTCTACACACGCACATAAAACGCGAAAAACCATTAAGGATCTCTTCTCTTGTATATATTATGCTTCTGGTATGATTCGTGGATTGCTTCCTAATTTACTGCTTCCATTTCCGGCTCCTTCCTAATCAGCGAATTTGGGATTGAGCGTATATTATAAATAATTCTCTATGTTTGAAAGAACATAAGGTTCAATAATGAGTTTAGTAGCGTTCACAATATAATTCCTGATAACTTTGCTAAATGATTTATTTTTTTTATTTGGCGCAACTGCGTTTGGCGCGTAATATTTTCGGAAAATGAAGACGTTTCAATTTAAGTAGGTTTAAAGAATATTCGGTTTAAAAGTGGTTGGGACATCGGGATATTTATTAGACATTATAGTATTTAATATAGTTCATGGGGTGAAATAACAAGTGTGCAGTGAAGCATCATGTGGGAGTGGTGTAGCAAAAATTAGGATTCTTAAATGTGCGTGACTTTGATTCATGTTTTGTGTAATAGAAATGAATGATGCTCACTCTTCAGTGTTCGGTACAACAACTGACTTTATTTTGACCTTCTACAACCTTTTTATACTTCTACATAAAAGATCACTCATTTCAGATTTCCACGCATTTACGTTCAAAAACTTTCATTTTCATGAATAAAAACAACTCATGACGTCCAGTCATACTGTCACATCTCCCTCTTAACAATACAAGCAATAGTCAATCAAGATAATGGCCTGCATACATCATTAAATCAATAGTAATACTAAAACATTATTCAATACGTTGTATGCACAAATTACTCAAGTTGCATTGCATGACACTGTACGTATTACATGTCTCTATCAAGGAAGCGTCTTGGTGGTTTCACTTGCATGGCATATCTTGTCACCACCTGTGCTGGAATAGGATTGATGGCACTTGGTGGAGATATTTTCACCATAGTCTCTTTTACAACCTCTGGCTTGGTGAGTTGTGGTTCATGTGTTGTATCAGGACAGTCCAGTTCGAATAAATCTGGTGTACTGCTTTGCCTCTTTGTCTCTTTTAACATTTTCTGATTTCGCCAATATGTCATCCCATCTGGCGTTTTGACAATGTATGACCTTGGTGTGGATGCTTCTGAGATAACTACTGCTGGCTTCCATGAGCTTTGAGGCTTATTCTGCATATATATATTGCTACCAGGCTGAATTTGTGGATGGCCCGTCATTTTCGCTGTCTTGTTGTAATATCTTCCTTGATCATTTTTTTCTTTCGTTCCAGATGTTGGCCATTTCTTTTGGGTTTGGAACTTTCAGCTTTAGGTAGGCATCAGTAGCTGGAAGAGTTGATCTTAGGTTACTCTTAAGGGACCCGGGTCCGAATAGCGGCAATGCGTTTCCGGTTCCATTTTGACTTAATGCTATTCTGATGTTTTTTGTGGTAGTTTATTTTAGTTAAACTTAAGAAGTAAGTTTACAAACATATGGTCCATTCAATTATCTTTCATTTAATACCAAATGTTGTCTTACAAACACTATAGTAATTTTAAAATATTTTTTTTAATAAACCCAAACTCTTACTTCTCGGAACAGGGTCTGAATAGCCGCAGCCAACCAAGATTCTTAAGGCGTAATCTAAAGATTGGAAACTGCAGTGTGAAAGAAAGAGCCTATAAAGCCTTTGTCCGTCCGGTTTTAGATTATGCATCTTCAGTCTGGGACCCATTTACCCAGAAGAGCATCGACAGGTTGGAGGCGGTCATGCGACGGGCACCACGCTTTGTCCTGAACCGCTACATAAATACCTCTATTATTGGCAGCATGCTGGAAACACTAGGCTGGTAACCATTGGAGGAACGACGACTACCTAGGCTCTCCATTATGTACCTATAAGATAAATAGTAGGCTGGTCCATCGCTCCAGCATTAAACAGAAACGCGTCCCACTCCCCTGTAGACAGCGACGAGGCTATGACAGGCAATTCCTGCTCATACCAGCGAGAAGTCAGAATAGGAACTGCTCATTCCTGCCAAAGACAAATCAGGGACTGGAACAAGCTTTCAAAAGGAACAGTTGAGGCGACAACACTTGACACATTTGCGTCTATTGCCTCAGGCCTTCCGACCCCCAGTGCATGATACCCTCACAAAGTAGCTCTTGCAACCAGTGAAATATCCTCACCAACACCAGGCACAGAAACATTGCAAATCCCCTCTACGTGCATAGGAGCCAAAATGATCAATAAATTGATCGTGGGCCCTTAATTATATAGAAAAGAAGAAGAAAAAATTGGGATTCTTAAATGTGCGTATCTAGTTAATATATATTTTAAAGCTTAATAAACACTTCACACACACTTTTATAAACCTTGCATAAAATTGTAATAATCCTTCCAACGCCAACACTCTCATAAACTCCTCTTAACTTTACAGTACATTAGACAGTATAAAAATACGTATGCTGTAAAGTGTATTAAATACCGCAAAAATCCCGCGAAATAGCGAAAAATCCGCAGAACGTATCCAAAACCCGCGAAGGGATGAGGACGCTAAGCGTGAAGTATCAGGTACTACTGTAATTACCGGTATTATTATTATTATTATTTATTAATTTAATTCGAGGAATAGGCCCACTGAATCAACTGAAGGCTTATATTGTATTAACTAATTTTCTTAACTAGACACCGCAATCACGCAAATGACGCAGTTAATTGCCACTTGGCCACGTACATAACTAAAATAACTATGAATTACAACATATCAGAATTTTGTTACGATTATTATTTACTAAATAAAACAAAATTATAACAGTTATAATTTATTTATATGTTACAACATTCCACATACCATTTTATAATATTTGCAGATTTTTTAAGGAGAATCATAACAATTTCTTTTAACTTCAATCGGGCATATTTAAAATCCTGGCTGCTAGCAATCGCGCTGCAACAATCTCGGAACGTCTCTGTGTTTTATTCGGAAATAAAGCAAACGTGGTATTTCTCTTTAAAATATTATATATATAACTTCTCATTGAACGCATCGGGTAGATTTATATTAGTACAATTCAGACATTATGTTTGTAAGAAATGATGATTATAACTACTGCATAAAGCTTACTGGGGAGGCATGCAAACAGTTCCGTACACTTCAATTCAGTCTTCCATCAGTGTACCGGTGGCGGTCAAACTTAACCACTTGTACTTAAGGAATTTGTCATAGACCTACTACTACTACTACTAAGTACTAGTAGTAGGTTATTAAATGACAGGACTAACTTCATCAAGATTAACTACAAACCTACCGTGCCGTTAACACAATTATAAATGCCATAAAAAAATAATTTTAAATTTCAGCCAGTCAGTTTAGTGGGAGTGGGAGCCTTTAACTTTAACTTAATTTTATCCACATCAAATCAACTTGTTAACTGAATTTTGATTGATTTCAATTTCTTTGAATTAAAAGTAGTAGTAGGCCTGTAAAACCATTTTAAACGGGGCTATGTATATGAATGATTATTGTAATTTATAATATTTAATACGAAGTGTCTACACGTCCGGCGCGCCGGACATGTAGTGCGCAAGATACACGTCCGGCGACTTGTCACGTGACCGCCGGACATGGCCGGACGGCAAACAGTTTTTATAATTCCAAGCGTAGTACTGCTTAGTACATCTTGTCTGGTCTTGTGGTAGAGTGGTTGCTTGACGATATGAATGTTTGAGGATCCAAACCAGGGATAGGGTCGTTTTTTTTCTTCCCATTTTAATTAAAATATTTTGTATATATTTATATTATCATGTTCCTCAGCAACAGTAGTTTCATGAGAAGTTTTTAAATATTTTGTAGCAATTGAAATAATTTAAAATGAAATCTAAACTAAACAAAAATGTTTACAAGCCACTTTCACTTAAGTTTCTTTTTCTATTATTTGCATTCAAGATACTCAGTACATTACTTGGTAGAGAAATAGATTTTAAAATTAACAATAGTTTTGAATTATTCGCAGTCACGTGACAAGGCTGACCGACATGATATCTCTCGCCACTTTGTTACGGCGGTCATGTGACTTGGTCGCCGGACACATAGTGCGGGAGATAGACGTCTATTTAATAATATAGATAGATGTATGAACTGGGGAAAGAAATTCTATCCAGCTTCTTTTTTGCCTAAGTCATATGTCTATGTGCACATCTGAAAAATGAAATCCAGCTGTCAAAATTTTGTGGGTGCAGTCAATGCAGATAATTGTTCAATGTTTTGAAATGCACAGAATCTGATTAAAACGTATGAGCATATACATAAAATTATGATAACACGTACTAGTCGTCCGGCGGTCATGTGATATGCCCACCGGAAGAATATCTCCCGCACCATTTTCCAGCCACCCGACATGTAGACACTGCCTATAAGTTAAGACAGGTTAAATATTACCCAAATTCTTTATTGACATTAATTTTAATTATAAAATGACCAAAGGGAAAAGGGGGTTTTGATTAATAAGCTGGCTTAAATAGTGAAAACTTTATTTTATGTTACTAATACTAATACTTCTTTTAAAAAGAACTTTTAAAAATGTTAGTACACATGCAAAAAACAATAGTGAATTTTTTTTCTTCATGTTTTAATTTTGGTGTACTATCCTCATGTCCCTTAGTCCTTGGACTGTTGGGACGCCACAGATGACATGTGAACCATCCTCCTCCATTCCTCTCTGTCTTCAGCACTGCTTCGCCCAGTCTTAGTCCTGTCCACTCTTTGATGTTATCCTCCCACCTTTTTCTTTCTCTTCCTCTTCTACTCCCTCCTCTTGTTGTGCCCTGCAATATTTCTTTGGCAAGCCCTTGTTACGTGGCCGTACCATTGTAATTTGTGTTTTTTCACAGTCACCAGTAGGTCATCGTACTCCCCAATAGCCTGACGAACACTTTCTTTAACTTTATCATTTGAGATATGGTCCCTATAGCAGATGCCAAAAATGCTTCTGAAGCATCTCATCTCCATGGCCTTTATTTTCCTTTCAAGATTGGCTTTTAATGTCCAGGATTCGCAGGCATACAGGAAAATGGAGAGGACTAATGAGCGCATCAGCCTGATTTTGGTGTTGGGGGCTATATTTTTGTCATTCCATATTTTCTTGAGCTTTTTTAGTGCTGTTGTAATCTGCGCAATCCTGGACATCAGTTTGGGCGTGGAGCCTTCTTCTGAGACTATTGCTCCTAGGTATTTGAAGCGGCCAACAGTCTCTTATCTTTCCTCCCCGACCTTAATTTCAATGGTGATGCCTGGGGTATTATTTGTCATCAGTTTTGTCTTTTCGGCACTGATTAGCATGCCGTAGGACGAGGTCTTATCTAGACGCTTTACCATGTTGGCTAGCTCTTCTTCGTTCCCAGCCAGCACGTCTATGTCGTCCACAAAGCGTAGGTTGGTGATTGTTCTGCCACCAATGCTGACTGTCCCTTCATGCGCTTCCAGAGAATCTGACATAATTCTCCCTAGGAAGATGTTGAATAGGGTGGGGGAGAGCAGGCAGCCTTGTCGTACTCCAACCGTGGTCTTGAACCATTCTCCGATGTTGTTGTTGAGGAAGACTGCACTGGTGGCCTTATCATAAAGGTTGCATATCATGCTGGTTAGGTTTGTGTTGATGTTGTAGTGCGTCATGGTGGCCCATAAAGCAGCATGCCAAACCCTGTCAAATGGTGTACTGTGGAAAACTGGAAATGGCCTAGGTGTTCCATGATGGGAAAAGGTAGCATAACACTAACACTGCTATATATAATATATATAGCTGCATTTTAATTCTTTTTTTTTTTAAAATCCAGATGGAAACTGAAAATGAGGCAATATCTAATGGTGGTGCTGGAGATAATAATGTGAATGCTGTTGTTAAAGATGAAGTAGAAAAATTGTCAAATGAAGTTCCAGCAGATGTAAAATCAGAGCCTGAACAAGTTTCTGGTAATTTAACTAACATTTCCAAATTTAGCACTTGAAGATTATTTTATCTAAGTACCCAGTAAATAATAAAACTTCTAATATACATTTTAAAAACTTTAATGTGTTTTTTTAAAAATCAGAATAGAATGAAAGTAAAACGAGATATTATATTTAACGCCACCTCACACAATCCATTTTTCTATCCTAATTGTTTTATATTTTAAAACAAAATTATTTTGTTTTTAAGCTACATGACTGGATGTTTTAAAAAAAAAATTATTTATGATGAGGCCATAGAAAAATTAATTTCTTTTAAACTGAGAATCTTTGGGCAATATTCTATCTTTAACCTTATATTATATTTCACATTTGGTAGTTAAATTTATCTGTCATGAACATTTATCCTATTTCAAGATGATGGAAAATCTAGCAGATCCATAAGAAAGAGAAAATCTGTAAACTTGGCAGATGATTCAGATATTTCAGATGCTGTAAGTAACAATTAAAAAGCTTTTGTTGTGCTGACCATAGATTCTGATTTTTTTTATGTTTGAATTTGACAGTTCATTTTTTTTTTGTACAACATTTTTTTATTTTCATAGCAATGTTTTTTGGTGGGTTTTTTTGGCCAATGTTTTTTAGACAAGCTTATTGATCACTTGAGAAAGAACTATGACAATGGAATATACTAAATATTTCATTATTCTCTTTTTATTGCACTTGCTTAATCATTGGAAATTTTTTAATTTTTAAAAAGTAATTATTTTCTGTTTTTACATAATTTAAATGGTGGCTCATCAGAAAATGTGACTTTATATTGATTTAAACAATAAGTACACAAAATCAGTATTCTCATTAATTTATAAATATTAATATAACCTAGCTTTAAAATTGAATTGTTCAAATACTTTAATGCATTAATTGGGCTTCATAAAATTAGAACACATTAATTGCTGGGTCATGTTATAGTGGGATTATAGTGCAAAAAGTGATATGATCATTTTCAAAGGAGCAAGATGGTTGATTTTGTTTTAAAAAATTACTTTTTAATCACTTGTAGTTATATACCCATAGATGGGGTATTGAGGTGGGACTGGGCTTATTGTGATTGTGTTGTACAAGAATATATAGTTTTATATAACACACTCACCCCCACCACGTTCTTTGCAAAAAAAATTCATGTGTGAAATTTCTGGATCTTTTTACAATTGAGCAGGGCGTGCAATATTAGAGTTCTTTTGTATTAGTTTCTTTAAGCCTATTAGTTTCACAGCCAAACCAACACAGTGCTATGTTTAATGCCCAGTCATACTTTGGTAAGATGTAGTATGTGTGCCAGGGACAAAGTGGGGTGGAAAATGTTTCTCTGTAGTCTTAGAATTTGAAGACTGAAAATATATAATTATATACTTTAAAATATTTTCAGAGTTCTTCTGAGAATGTGGTCAGACCACCTGCAAAACGGGGACGTGGTGGAGCTGGTAGAAGAGGGAGGTAAGCCAAACTTAATTTATCACATTGTTTTTGAATGTCCAAGTCCAAACAGTTAAATATTCTTAGTTTCACGAATCTGTTCACACATATTTGCAAGGGTTAATGTTACAACTTCTTCATAACTTCAAATGTTACGACCTTAATTTAATAAGCAGAGGCCTTCATCAAATGTCGAGGCCTCCTTACGTTGTCTCCAGTTGCGACCTTCTCAATACTTGACATGTTAGGATCTTCGTCCTTACACTTCAACACATCGCGCAGTAGTTACGTTTACTGCACAGTCAGCAGACTCCACGTTGTCTAGGGGTTTACAACACTGTCTTAATATCTATAAATATAGATCACAACTCCAGCATGGAAATACAACAGTTCTTTATTTACAGGATCCAATAGCAATTCACAGTGACGACGTTCGACAGCGATAATACTAACTCTCAAACTACTGTCTCGGCTGGACTCTCTAACTACCTCTGACTGTCTAACACTCTCCCTGTCTCTCACTGACCCGGACTCTTACTAACTCTCAACTCTAGCCAACACACATCCCCTATATAACAACACAACAACTCAGCCTACGCAAACGTGCAACACCACGGACTAACTTCACGCTCTGACCTCTCGACCAACAACTCACAAAACACTCACGATCCACAACTCCCCCTACCCAACAACTCTCGCTCACAACAGTTAATTAATAGATTCAGCGCCGTTCTACTGAAGATCAATGGTACTAACTATGAACTATTAAGTATTGTTTGGTCCTAGTAATCATTTAATACACAAAGGGTACTTAATTGCCTTTCTTGTGATGGTTTTACTGCTTTGATATTTTAAAAAAAAGACCAATGATATATATATATATATTTTAAAAACATATAATTGATAAAGTTGTTACATATATTATTGATAAAGTTGCTATACAAGTTTCTACTTCCATGTCACACCCACAAAAAATTTGAGTGGGAAGTCATTAAATTTTGTGACCACTTTTGCACCGTTCTGTGTGTAATCTGCTTAGAAGGTGAATTTGTTAGACAATTTCAGCATTTATTGATGGGGAGATGTGGAAAGGCATTGTATTTGTGCATCCTTTTATGTATCTGTGGGTAAAATATTTTAAATCCTCCATTGTTTTTTTAGTCCTGATACACTTAAACTCACTACAAAGCAGCCTGGGTATTTGGATGGAAACGAACTGAGTAATTTCGTGGTGCTTTGAATGTCTAAATGTTAAACAAAAAATAATACTGAAATGGCTAAATGCACATAGTTATTGTCAATAGAAGCATTAGACGATTTAATGTGTGTTGGAAAAATACAAATTTTATAATTTGTTTGCAACCCACTTAGTCCTTTTTGATTTTATGATTATGGTATGGGGTATATGAAAAAATTGCCTTTCTTCTGGTGTTCCCTTTAAAATTAAATCCTGGTCATATTGCCAACTAAGAAGTCTAATAATTGATCACATTGTCTTAATACACCAGTTGTATAAAAAATTTGTTAATGCCTAGTCCATGTAAAAAATGTGCATTATGGCTTTAAAGTATAATTTTGAGAAAATAGAAAATGTAGTTAACTAAAATTAGTAATCAGGATGCTAATGGGCATAATGTAATATAGTTCTTTTACATCCCAGGGGAAGAGGTCGTGGTAGAGGAGAGCTGCCCGCTAATATGGCAGACCCTTCTAGAAGTCCAAGAATTGTGTAAGTCCTTAAAAAAGAAAAATATTTGCTACACTGAAAATTTAAAAAAAAAAAATAAAAAAAAAAAAAAAAAAAAAAAAAAAAAAAAAAAAAAAAAAAAAAAAAAAAAAAAAAAAAAAAAAAAAAAAAAAAAAGAAAAGGTGGAAGGAACAAAATTAAGCAAAGGATGTAAATTTAACTTAAGTGGGCAAAGGAATGTCATCATCTTCACTTAATTATAATTTAATGTTCTCTGGGGGTCATCCAAAAAATTAGTATGCATTGACTGTTAATGGACAGATTAGATTATGCATTTGTTTGTATGCAAGGATTATGAGTTATGAAAATATTAACTTTCTGTCAAATTTAATATAGATGATGGTTAGTTGTTTTTTTTATGAAAACTTTAAAAAAATATATATATTGTTGATATAAATATTACTGATAGCTTAAAACTGTCTTGTTTATAGAGATAGCTTTGAAACAGTTATAAAATCTTACATAGCTTATGGAAGGGTGGTGGCTTGTACATAAAATATGGATGAACCCTTTCTTCCTTGGAGTCACCCTTTAAAATGAAATGAGGTGGATTTAACTCTGATGCTTTTATTTTGCAAAAAAAAAAAAAAAAAATTGTTGGTTGATTTAATTATTTATTTTCACTGTTGAAATTAATGATATTTGATGTGTCTTGTTTTTGTGATCAGTCAGCTATCTTAAAGAGCCAATTTGTTTTTCATTATTTTACAGACTCAAAAATATTGGTTCTGCTAGAGATGATGATCTTTCAGATGAAAAGGGAAAAGGTGACCTTGTAAGTCCTAAATCTACCCCAAGAGGCAGAGGGAGAGGTCGTGGACGACCACCAAAATATGCGGAACCACCAAAGAATACCCCAAGAACCAAAACAAGAGTAGAAGCAGAAGACGACGAAGAAGAAGAGTTTTTAGAAGAGGAACTTGATGATGAAGATGCAGATGAAGATTTCATTCCAAGGAAAAGAAGAGGGCGGCCACCAGGAAGATCATCAACAAGAGGTAGAAAAGGGAAAGGAAAAAGGGGCAGACCTGTACACAATTCAGAAGAGGATGAAGACGATGAAGAGGATGAAGAAGAAGAAGGCGCCAATGATGCTGGTGACAGTGGTCCTGACACCAACCCTAACTCTGTTAAGGTGAATACCTCTATGATCACACTTAAGTCATGATATTTTGTTAAAGGTTTAGAGCAGTGGGGGCCAAGGCATATCATTTGATAGGGGTTGGTGTAGGGAATTCCTTTTGGATGGGGTGATATGAGAGGAATCAGCTCAAGTGTTGATGTTGAATTTAAAATTGTTTTTAAATGTACATGTAAAGCACAAGAAATGTTTTCTGTTTGCCCTTGATTGAACAGTAAAAGATGCACAAAAGAGAATTTAAAACAAAATTATGTGGGTTAAAAGTTCTATGTAAAGTTATGGTACAATTAGTTCACTGCCATATTTACACCCTTAATTACAAACACAGAATGTAACACTTGCTTGAAAGGAATCCAGGAATTTAATGTATATTTCACCCTATTAATGTCTATCAGGACGGTGGCCTAGAAAAGCTTGGAAAACGCCTCTTAAAATCATAAAATGAAATGATTGCTGGTGTGGAGGATTTTTAATTTTAAAAATTTTGTTGTCATGAAGACAACACATACCTTATTAGGAAGTCATAATTAGTTAATATCATTTTTTTTTAATCTCTGTTTGGTGTACTGCACAGACTGGTCAGTATCTCATTGAAAAATCAGACATGAGAAGGTTGGAAAATTATCCTATCTGGCGAATGGAGGGACCCAATATGCTGAGGAAGTTTGAACTGATTGTGTCAGAGGGTAGAGTGTGTCACAAATCTCTATATGCAGTAAGTTAATATTGTCTATTTCTTATTTTAGTTTGTAATGCTCCAACAACTGAAGCAACAAATTTATTTTCTTATAATTTGTACACATGCTTATAGAAAAGCTTTACCTTAAAATTTGTAAAGCTAACCTAATCCTTGGTATATAAATATCTCTTACTAACAAATTTTGTTTTCTTTTAGTACTCCTCCTGGGCTCAGTCAATGATAGATCTGTTTGAAAAGATCCAAGTCAATCAAATATCTACACATGATGGTGAGAGTATTGTAGAAATAAAAGAAGAATGTGCCCCCAAGCCACCTCCACTTGAAATGTATGTATTATAATTAACTTATTTAGAGAAATGTTATTCAATAAATAAAATATAGTTTTCTGAAATTTAGAAGGGGAACTACCATATTTGAATATATTATTTAGAATGTCTCACAATTTACACTTTTGCAAAACATTTGAATTATAATTGAGCAGTTGCCAATTATTGTTGCAACTTACACCCAAGCTTTGCATAAAAACCAAAAGAAAAGTGCTGATTATTATTACTGCCACCTCCAATTAAATGTTATTTTTGCTAAGAGAGGATTTGTTTTATTTTAAAATTATTTGTATGACTCATGAAAAAAATCCGGAAGGTTTTACACTTAATTAGCTTAATCTCAAAGTGCATTTAGAGATTGAACAGATTCATACATTTACTTAAGTTATAAAGGAAACAAAATAATATTTTAAACTGCAAGATATTAAAATATTCAAATGGATATTGTTGCTGTTGCATTTTTTTTAAACCAATTTAAAATAGCAACCTTGTTTACATAACCTTTCCAAATACCTAAATGAACAGAAAAATTGCCATTTTTTTATCAAAATAAACATGAGATTTGCACAATATGATTATGATCTAAACAAAATATTTCTTTCTTTTTATTCTTCAGCCTTGAAAGGAAGTTTGCCAATGATGATCTTTTGGACAAATTCTACATCTACATTGAGGCTATTTTTAGGCAAGCTGCAGACCCCACATTTTTGAAACTTGTCAGAGATGAGGATGGTTAGTTAAAGATTATAAATTTAAAGTAACTTGTTCATACAAGTTTTCCTCGCACCAATTAGCAAATTGTGAATTATTAATTTTTATTTATGGATTATCTCCCAGTGGTATATTGGAATAAATGTAATTCTTCTGGTTTTAGCTGTCTCTCTTTTGCAAGTATTGTAATGTGAGCTGATGTGTTTGCTTTTACACTAAGTGGTACAAAGACCAACTAAATTAGACTTGCAAATCGCTCATCATGGCTTTAGGCTATAAGACACATGCCCAAATAGGTTCTAGATCAAGATGATGTTGATGACACTGGAACTGGCTAATCAAAATATGAACGTTTTATTGATTATTTACAAGAGTTGAGTCCTTTTCCCTCTTATTTGTTGGTGGGGCAGAGAAAGTTAACTCAAGTATTTGAGATGTGCCTTTAACCTTAATATTTATTTTTACAGATATTCATTTCATAGAACCAATCACATACATTGACAGCATGATTAAAGAAAAAATTGCATTCATAGAGTCCCAAGTTAGTATGAAAGAAGATTTCAAGGTGAGGAAATTTTTTAATCACTCCTAAACTTTTACTTTTGAAAATAACTTACACCATTTAAACTGTATTTGCCACTTGCAATAATATGTTTTTTTGCAATAATATGTTTTTCAATCACATTACTTCCACCTTTTTAAGAATTTTTTGTTTGTTCATTTTAGATCAGAGTTAGGAACTGTCCTAACATGAAAACCATCCGCCGACAAAATTGGTCCCAGACAGATCAGGCAACGACCAACAAGACCACAGAAAAGGGTGTTAGATCTGTGCTTATGTTTGGTTTTGGATATGACCCCTGGTTTTTAGATGAGGACAAGTCTAAAGGAGTTGAAGTTGCTCAGGTAAAAATATGCTTAAATCTCTATACTTTTCCCTCCTAAGAGTTAAAAACGTACTTTTTGTTTACTGTAAGTTATACCAGAGACACATCTATATGGCAACAGGCATAAACTACAAATTGCTGCAGCAAGGGCCAGTGCATTTGTCTTGGAGTAATCTTAATCTGGATATTTTTATCTTATTTCAACAATTTTAAATACAGTCGTCCCTCGTTTATTGCGGTTAATCGGTTCCAGACTCTACCGCGATAGGTGAATTTCAACAAAGTAGGATTCTTTATTTATAAATCAAATATTTTCGTAATTAGAGCATAGAGCACCTGTTCATGACCCTCTAAATACTTTTTTTAACATTATTAAACCCCCTGGGTCTGCTCCTGGGGGCACTCAAATATATTGACAGACCTGCCAACCCTTCCGATTTTGTCGGAATTATACAGATTTTTTACCCCTCATTCCGACCATCCGACAAACCCCTTAAAATACCATTTTTTTTTAACTTTATAATTTTTCACCCGTCATTAAAATCTGAAAGATCAAAAAAGAAAAAAAAATCGGATACGACAGGAAGTGTTGCATTTGATTTTATGAAGTGTATACAGGTCCGGCGACCGGGTGAATAAGTGAATAAATTCTCGATATTCGCCCGGCTAGTATTTATTCGACCAAGTCACATGACCAACGTAACAAAGTTGCGCAGGATATTTGTCCATCAGCCTTGTCATGTGACCGCTAGTAGTTGATCAGAGTTTACGTACTTCATTTCAAATAATTGAATATTGTCTGGGCATTTACACGAAAAAGAAATATGTTCAATTATAATAAAGAAATACTAGAACCATTGCTGGTGTAAATAATGAACAATTGGTTAAAAGTGACAACGTTTTTTATAAAGCGTGGCATGCCCGTCGGATAAATATCTCCTGCACTATTTGTTCGGTCGCCTGACGTGTAGACACTGCCTTGTTTTTATCAAAGCGAACCGCGATCTTCAAATCATTCTTCAATCATCAATTGATCCGATCGCGATTCATCCTTTTAACAAGGCTAAAAATTAATTCAGACTTTTTTTGTTTTTTGTTAAAGCTTTTCTTAATTAAATGGTTAAATCTATTGAAAGTGATGGGTAAAATGATATTAATAAACGTTGAAGGAAATATTTCTCTAGCCGACTCCGATCGTTTTAATGCCAGAGTCAAAGAAATGTTTTCAGACTTGAGGAATGCTAGAAGATTGTCAAGAAAAATTACAATGACACAAAGGCAAGCATGAAAGTTGATACTTTTTCTAACTTGCTTGTAACTAAAATCACCTGCAATGCTAACCTTCAGTTGTCTAAAAAGTTTTTGGACAAGTGCAAAAAGGCCACTAGGGATATGCTGGAAAACTGAACTCTTACTAAGAGTCTTAGCAGCCTGTGTGTGTGTACATATGTAAATGAAATGGATCTTCTATTCCGTACTGAAAATATCTGTATATAAACATTTCCAGTAATGTTTTTCTCATGTTCTATGGTGTTCTATGGATCCTTCAGAGACAATGGAGGTAACTTTATATTTCTTTATTTACTTTAAGAGGCTTGTGCATTAGTATATAGATCTTAAACCAACCCCCATGGGGCGCCACCTCTGGGGGCAGCGGCCCCACTTCCCCCCTTGCGTGCAACACCCCTACAGATTTCTTTTCTTGACAGGTTGGCAGGTCTGCATAGACCTACAGTACAAACTTACAGTCATTATAATTGTAATACAGGGGTGTATTATGACTAAGACAGCCGAGCGCATACTGTAACATTTTCATTATGTCTATCAACTTTTTAATGAATACAAGTTTGGAGAGAAAAAACGCTATAGAGTGAAGCCTGAAATGGCAAGGGATGACTGTATTTAGCTTCTTGAACGATTTTGTTTATATATTTATGGGAAGTAGGAACAGTAAACATACATATTTCATATACAGAATATAATATCTCACTATTTAATGTTAAACTAACAGATTATATTTATATTACAAATGTAACTTTTTGAGAAAACACAAGTGCACACACTTATCAATTTACGAACAAGTTCTCTTCCAATTGTTGGTTTTTTATATGTTGATGTTTGCAATGCGTCAAACCCCCTAAATATTCCCTATTTGTGTTTGTGTGCAATCTTATATGTTAGCTGTCCCTTTTAAATAAGAAAGTCATTTTATTTAATATTGAAAATGTAAGTTTTATTTCAACAGTGTGCAAGGAACATGTTAAGAGAAAACAAGAGTCAGTTGTTAATAGTTACATTTAATTAAAAAGAAATGAAATTATAGAATATATTAACTTTCAAAGGGCATATTTTTCATGTTTTTCATGTCTTTTATTTTAAGCATCTAAAACTTTCAGGAAACTCAAAGTGGCCTTGAATCTGTCCCTAGTTATAAAGGCCCTGCTTATAATATATAAGAATTTCCTTGACCACAGTCTTATTAAATTTGGCAGCTTGAATAAGTCCTGTAGTCATAAGAAGTCCTTTTAGTCGATAAAACTCATCTTCATTAATGTAATACCATTTTTGAAAACAGTTTCAAGGCCCACTGTCCTGTGCATTATGCAACCAAATATGTAGTAAAATAGAGTTTAAAAAGTCTATTGATTTTTAGAAATCTTACATCTTCTTTTGTTTTAACATCGGGAAGTTGTATGCTTGGAACCCTCTGATCTAAATGGCACAAATCCATTTGGAGACCCACAGTCATAGACATCGTAATCATCGCCATCATAAGGGTTGTCCATAAAGGATGTCAGCTGAGCTGGGGGGACAAGGGGGGTAAAGGGTCTTGCAGACATCTGCAAGCTAGCTTTTTTTTTTTATATATACATATATTAATTATTATTATTATTTTAATACGCTGCTTTAGGCCCAGGCCCTCTGTGGGTGATCTATTTGTGAAATTTCAAAATAATCTTAAACCACCAAAAGAGTCATAAGGGAGATCACTCTAAATATTTGTTTGCAATGTATATCAAGTGTATATTAGGGGCCATCCATATATTAACGCATGCAATAAAGTAAAATAGACCCCCTTTGATGCCTTTGTACTTTTTTGGCACTCACACACACACACCCCACAATGCCTATGTATAATGAGCTCTAAGGGTTGGAGGGTGGAGAAGCACTGATATAGAGGGGCAGCTATTTCAGCCAAATTGTCCGAAATTGTTATTCCATCAAGATGTATTTATTAACATTTGTAGCTTATATTTATTTCATTATATACTCCCAGGAAGTTGTGATTGGCAACACTATGGAACAGTTCCTTGCATCTTATCACGGTCTTACACACTTCAAATTCCACTTATTAAGACGTTGTCAAGATAAGGTATTTTTAATAATTCTTACCATCAAGTTTTAGCATGACCACCAAGTATCAGAAGCTACCAAAATCGTCATTAAATGTGCCGATGATTTAATGTATATTGGTGAAAGGGAAATCCATCTATAAATGAGTTTTCTTCCTATTTCCGTTTCTATCTGTGTGTTAAATTGCCTTTACCACAGCTCATTTTGTGATTTATTGGGTGGGAAATTCGCTCAATTTTTTTTACTGTCATTCATTATGTCTGATGCTGGGAAGGGTCCCCCTATAGATTGCAAAATCAAAACAGAATGTCCTTATTGGAATTATTTCAAATGGATTAAGAGTCAGACTTTTGACATTTTTAGCCCTAAGCTTAGTCATAATATATAGACCTATTCGTTGGGGAAAGGTTGGATATTGATCATAAACGACAGAGATTGGATCCCAAATAAAAACCCTAAAGAGGCTCAAACTTGAAATTTTCTGCAAAAAATATTGCTTCTTATATCTCAATATTCTCAAAAACTTGATTATATGATAGTTTGAACAATTTATGGAGTATTAGTTTTGATTGAATTCAGAAGTACTAAACTTTTACTCACTCTGTAAAAGTCAAGGTCAATATCAAAATACATCATAAAAAAATTCATTTCATATTATAAGATAATTCTAATGTACTTTCAGAAAATGTATACTTGTATGGGTCTCTTAATTCATATAGTAGATTGGGTTATTTTCATTTGTTGACAAGCATATGAAAATGTTAGAAATGGCTTGATGCTTCAGAAAAATGCACTCAACAGTTAAAGGGTCAACCATTAAAATAAGATCCAGTGTAACACTAATGTACAGTAATCCTACAGTGAGTGATAATTATCAGGAGCTTGTTCATTAATCTGATGTTGTATTTGCCTTGCAAATTCTGACAGGAAATATAATACTTAATTTCAGCTCAAACTTGTTGGTAGCCTTGAGCCTGGCCTAGATATCATCAGTGTTCAAAACAAATGTTTTCATGACAAGGTCTGGATTTTACAGGTATGTATCCTTTAGTTCTAGAAATCATGAGACTTTAAACAAAAGTATTTTATTAATGGTTTAAGTTTAAGAGAAATTATGTTTTACTGCACATGGATATGTTCCTGTCCTTATTTGTGTAAGTTTTGAAAGTAAATTATTTGGCCTAATAAACAGGGGTTGACAGAGCTAAAAATAATTCAGGAGCTAGACTCTTTCAAAAGGAGCCAGCATTTTTGTTTCTTCAAATTCATGTGCATCCTGTTAATTAATAGGCTTGGATCAATAAGAATTACTCAAACATGTCTACTTTATATTTAAAGCTGTAACTCTATTTATTACCAAGTCATTAATGGTGAAAAATTTGTGAACTGGAAAAATGAGAAAAATCCCCATATCCAGCAGAATCTGCAATTGTTTATGTTTAAAAAAAAAATTACTTTTTTTTCCAGGCCTTTGAAGATCTGAGGAATCTACTGGATAATGAAAACCTTTCCTAACATGTACACTTGTAATGTTTCGGTGTAAAATGTCTTTTTTTTTTTTAAAGTTTCTAGTTAAGTTCTTAGAAGGCAGACTGCTACAGCAAATCTGATACAAAATGTCATCTATGACAATAGTATTGGGTAGAGTAGAATTATCTTCAATTTAAATTTGAAGAAAAGGAAAGGAAATTAAACATTATTTTTATATGAAATACAAAAAAGATTTTTAAATAGACAAAGCAATAAAATGTATGCTAATATTAATAAAATATGTTGGAAGTTTTATGTGAAGGTTGCCCTTCCCCTCCTGGTTGTAAAAGGTAACATTTCCTAGATTCATTTTATACATGCAAATGTTATTTTATTTAAAATTATTTTCTTACTTTTCATTATTGGGAAGTTATTGAAACCTTGTAAAAATTCAAGAGTAATTATGTTTTATCTCAAGAAAGGCAAAATGGTTTGGATTTGAGCTTCCTGATACAAACTTCTATGTAGTCAGTATGTTCCCACAATTTCAGACTTAAAACTTAAAATAATTATTAATGCTAGTTTTTGACCCGTCAGAAGTGATGGATTGAATGATAAATTTCATTAAAAAATGTCATAATCTAGTATGTCCACTACAGTTTGGAAATAGTTTTTGGAATTGCCTTGTATGGTATAATGATGAACAATTGAATTCAGCTATTTGAAAAAAAACGACCAGTTATAATAAGCATTTAACCTAATCGGTATCGTACATATGTATTTTGCTCTCACATTGAAAGAATTACGGTGTACCTTGGCATTGACAGTATGTTGTGTGTATAAAAGTCAAAGGCCATATACATCAATTATCTTTTACATCACTGCCCCATGTTTGATTAAATGCTGTATTTTTTCATAATTTTAATTCATTTTTTTTTTAAAGTAAAATTTTTCATTGATAGCTTTGTGTTTATTCATTATTCAGCCATTGATAATCATAATGCTGTTTCATATTTCAATTCACTGCCAATATTAGCCATTTTACATAAATCAATATCAGCTATGATCACCCATGAAAACGGGTGAGTATTTTTGTTGGAAGGCCCCTCCTGAAATGCTGCATGATGGATTACATTATCAGTTAATTTTTTTTTTCCTAATGATTTATTCATTAATAAATTTAATTTTTTGTAATCTCCTTTGACTATTGTCTGGTTTGTTTGTACAAGTGGTTGTTCACATACAACAGAATGTATAATATTATGTATTATGTTGGGTGGCTGTGTGATCAAGTGTGTTGACACAAGAACAAGACGTACATAATCATGGGCTGCAGCCCAAACTGATTTATAGCATTTGTGATTGTGCCGCCAAAGATAATAAAAAAAATTATCTGAAGTGATATTGGTGATTGAAGTATGGATGGGTTGTTGTTTTTATTTCCGCATTAGCTCCCAAGTGGATTTATGGGAATTTACATGTACATTTTTTAAAAAGTGGCCCATGCAAATGTGAGAGAAGAAATTGTGTCTGAATAAATCCACATTAATTTCTGGTGTATGTTATGCACCAATCCTCCTTTTCATATGAATTGCTTGCGATAATGAAAAAAAAAGATGGGGAGTTCAGATGACCAGAGTTTCTGATAAATAGGGTTTTGAACTTCAACACTCTTACTAGTCTTCAGTACACTTTCTTGAATTTTAATGTTAACTTCATTGCAATTACTTCTAAAACTGAGTTATTTAAAGTGTGAATGTTATATTATCTCTTTAGAAAATAATTTCTCTATCTTTGTTGGCCAAACCGCTCACTGTGAATGGTCCCATCCTTGGCCAAAACCCCATTAATTATGATTAATTCCAGAATTAACTTGGGTTAACCCCCCTGAAAATTACTACCCTAATAGTCGGACGCTGTAGCTATATTATTTCAATAATTTTCATCCATTTGCTCATGAGCCCCTCGACCTTAGGCTATGGTAAACAATTATGGAGATCTTCCTCGGTTGGTCTTTGTCTGTATATAGGATACTATTTAGCTTGTCTCTGGACACGGTGGGTCTGGACGAGAGAGTGAGGTTGACACAGCGCAACTCTTCCTCACTTGAAACAAAGTCCCCCGCGCAAGTCATCAGTCATCCAACTATACCCATCATCCCAAGTCTCGGGGCGACAGGCAGGCTCTCCTAAATGCATGATTTTTAAAACAAATGTAGATTTTTAAAACAAATTTTTTTTTTTTATGAGAAGGTGCGAATGAGAAATTTGAAAAAATGTAAACTTCTAACAAAATTTTTCCATTATTTCATGTTGAACTAACTTCCTTTCGAACAACATTCCTTAGTACAAATGGGTTTCAAACAAATTGTCTTCATACTTATTTCCAGTTATGTGGCTGTAGTAGGTAATGGAGATGTATGTCCTGAGATGCTGAGTAGTGAAAGTTAAAGAGGTAATGTGTTGATATATATTTATCCTTTGCATGTTTGCACAGGATGCAAGTTTGTCTCTTTTTAATATTTTTACGCTTACGGTACGATTTTAGCTGGGTGTGTCCTTGTGAAAGTCAATTTATGTGGTCTTTTGGATTAAGACCTACCTATGAGAACAATAAATCTAGTTTATTGTGCCAAAATGCCATCTGTGTGGCTGTACTGAATGATGTTTGGGTGTTCACTGTTTGTGTACCTATCTGCTGTCTCATTTCCATGTGTACTTAACTTATATGTCAAGGCCTCCACTGTAAGATTAGCTTGACACTGACAGGTTGGGATTGAAGAAAAGTCTATTCAAAAGCAAGTAATGTTACATTTTAAAGGTCTCTGTGCACGGTTATATAATGTGTTAAAACAGCCTGGGAAGTCCTGACGATACTATGGGGGGGGTACATGACTCTGCCATTGCTTACCTTGTCGTTTAAATAACAAGATATTAGCTGAGACAAACACGAATCTCCCCATGTCAATTAAATTTTATACAAAATGCGCCTATTATTACTATTAGTATTTGTCACGATGTCTAATTTAGGAGAACCACTTATCAGAGCCGTGAGAAGGTGGCACTCGTCCCATGTGTCAACATTGGGAAAAGGAGGGGGCATAGGGGGTGCACAAATATTTAAATAAAACCTTCAGTTGAAGGATAAAATCCTATGTAATTCGCAAAGAATATGGGCCCCATGCCTTTAAGGTGCCCCATAAAAAGGATCGATTCTTTTGGGGGGATTGGGAACATCAGTGTTCGGCATCTCCATACATACACGTTATAGAAGAAGGGGATGAAAATAAAAAGAAGGGGAGTCGTAAACCTTTCCTCATGTGGTGTGACGTGCCGACCTGTAGCCTGTACCGTTGTAAGGATAAGGTTTGACAAATTTAAAAATAATAATATAGAAAGGTACAAATCTACACACGGGAAAAGTTGTACATTTTGTAATGTCTCTTGTCTTGTACTAGTATCAATCGTAAGTCTTCCGATCACAGTCGCCCGCCGTATTTTATAGTGGAGGGAGGCAGAATCCCGCAGTACAGAAAGTCCAGAAATTCAGTCGTCAGAGTACCGGTATTTGTCTCTGACTCTTACAGTGTAGACCCTTCTGAAAAATTAAACTTTCCCAATCAAGGGCGGTGGTGAAAAGGAGTGGCAGCACGTTTCAAGTTAATTGGTGATGTCAGCAACAACAACAAAAGAGGAGACAAGTAATGCTCACCACGGCTACAACAGACGGTAATCATCAAATGGAGGACTTTTAGAGACTTGAATTTTGATGACTGCAGAATAGACAACAGTAAAATGTCAGCTTATTGGGTTATATCTCAAATATATTTAATAAAAGGTTGACTCGAACTCAAAGTGACAGATATAGATACTTTTGGAGAAAGGGATGGGGACTCAGTGGCGTACCCTTATTAAATGCTGCATAGAGAGTGGCGTAGCTAAAGTTAGTGCCGCCTGGGGCGGGCCAAGATCTTTTCAGCCCCCTTCCATGAAATAAACTCTGCAGCTAACAGGAAATGCCACCCCTGCGTATACAGAAGAAAAAAATGCCGCCCACTCCGCACCCTTTCCTACGCCACTATGCCTAAATCTGTCACCTGCTAGGTAGCCTACGCCACTGGTCATACAAAATTTCAACTGTTAAGGCGACTCCACAAGTCTTAATCCGCACTGGTAATAACTTATTGCTATTAACTAATGAATTTGACGATTGACAGGCCACTGGCGCCTCCAATCAATAATCTAGGTTTGTTCGTTTTAAATTAGAAACTCTAACTTTGATTGTTTCATATTCTTAATAAATTATTTTAAATGAAAATACGTGATTATAAATAAATTTTAATATTTTACAGGACACGGTTAGATATTATATTTTTCTTTCACAAGACAATTCGAAAAAAAATACTTCAGTGACCTGACAGTTATGTTACAGTTAAGCTGATGTGAAAATAATTGCTATATCTCAGAAAATCTTGGATGTAGTTAAAAAGCGAGTCCATTAGTAGACCCACAATGAACAAACACCAAACAATATTGACAAATTGTTATTACCAAATGTTCTTCTTTTACTTATAGTTAGGTACTTCGGTAAGTCAAGGGAGACTACTACTTTTTGTGTATGGGATTTCGCAATCGGCGCCAAAAAATCCGAGTTTTTAATTTTCCGATGTGTGTGTCTATTTATTATTAAATTAGTACTTTCGATATGTATTTGAGTTCCGTTTTCGGCCTTATAATTAGGTAGACATCTTGGCCTACATTTTAATCAATTTCTTTTTCATTTACAATCAGTCAGCTTTGAGAAAATCCTTGGTAAATATAAGGCAACTTTCATCATTAAAATTAAGTCGAAGGAAAAAATTTGTCACTACCAAATTTTTTTTGCATCTGGGGAATCTATTGATCTACATGTATGCCAATTTTCACAGCGATAAGTGTCTTACGAGAGACGCCATGTTTCGGCGCGTTCGCAGCAGGTCATGCAGCTCGCTCAACCTAATTTCGTCATGGGGTGGGCCACGCCCCCTTTGTAATGGCGGAAGTTGCCGATACTTAGGAAATATTAATTTATTACCACTATCTACATCAAAATAATTGATAACTTGTGTTTCAGAATGCATTTTGAAGACATTTAAACTGGAATGTTTTAATTTGAGCTTTAACAACCCGGTAGAATCCATATTATAAATGATCAGAATTTACCGTGTGCAACACGTTGTCATTGGCAACCATTCACAGCCACTTGCATAACGGCTGTATCGTAGTACTACCTCAGAGTTTCATTCATAAGAGTTTGCCGTGTGCAAAAACTACTATACCATTGGTCAGGGAAAGCTTTAATTAATTATTCATGTGCCAAAGTTGAAAGTTTAAACTAAGTCGACCCTAAACAGTATTTTAGTGATAAGGCGATGCGTTGCCTTATATAAAGTATATAGTCATTGCGCATGACGCGATCAGCGGAATGAGGTCACAAGATGTGGAGGTTTCGTCCATAGTAAAAAATACCAAACGAACTCACACTTTAAAAATTCATAGCTCAAAAAGTACTTAAGCTAAAAAGTTGATTCTGGTTTCATTTTTTTATTTGAAATTAGCTCTAACTAACTGTGCTATTAAAAAAATTATTTGAATTTTTTAAAATTTTGTATCCAAGTGCCTACTTATAGTATATGAAAAAACTAATACAGTACGTGTAGGCCTATAAGCCTGCATACCATAAAATCAAAATACAGTAAATCAATCCTAATCATCCGCTATATTCATAATACAAACAGAAGTTCGAGAAATAATAAATTTAATATTATTAAATTTGTTAAATTGTATTATTGTAGTCTTGTAGTCCTTCACTTCGACGAGTGGCTCACTAGGCACTAGGCCAATAATAAATAATTAAGCAAGCAATATTTATCATTAATTATTATTTCAAAATATTTTAATTTTAGTATTTTTAGCCAGCCAGCCTTACTATAATTTATTTTAAATAATACCAATATTAATAATTAAATATTCTAAATTTGGCCTAGCCTATACTATTATATGCTATTATACTATGACTATATTACTATATTAATATTATAGCCTAGATTCTAATAATACTATAGGCCTAATTATATAAAACTTTCCTAAAGAATGTCAACTATTGACTCAACTTCAAGTATTAAAATAGCTGTGATAGGGGGAGGTATAGCAGGTCTCACTTGTGCAACACGCCTCAAACAACTTGGCCTACAAACAGTAACAGTGTTTGATACAGGTAAGCAGACAGAGTAAGTACTCAAAAAAACTTGACAAGTAAAAATTAGTAACAGAAAAATCTAGAAATAATTTTTTAAAAGATGCTTTTCAGCAGTATTTTGTTAAAGGAAATTAAAAAAAAAATTGATGCAAGAAACTTTGTCCTACAATGTCACAATATTAAAATGACTTTCTCACAAAAACAAGGATTGATAAAGAGTTCAAAGTAAATTATTTATTAAAAAAATTTACAATTTCATGTCTCTGAATCAAATTCATCAATCTAAAATAATTTTCTTAACTATTTTACTAAGTCTGAACTAATAAATTGCTGGTTGTGTTATTAAAAATTTATTAAAAAACTTTGTGAGCCTAGAGTATAAATATAAGCTTGCTGCTTACAAGAGCACATTTCTCATTGACAAACAGAAGTTCAATACTAGAAAATATTGTTTGAATACTATATTATACTGTAAACAAGTGTAAGGTGAGTTATTTGGTCTCAGATGTGTTTTGAATTATCAGTTGCCTTAAAATCTTTTTGTTTTGTTTAAAGTGGGACAATTTAAAACAATTAATTTATTTCAACAGGGAAACATACAGTTGGAGGACGTTGCTCCAGCCGTACTGAGTTAGTCAAAGGTGTATCAATGACTTTTGATCACTCTGTGCAATATTTCACCGTCAGTGATGAGAGATTCCAGAAAATTGTAAATTACTTAGTCAGAGATGGGGCTGCTAGAGTATGGAATGGTCCTATTGGAATATTGCAGAATGGAAAATTTAGTGCAGAGAGAAGCCCCAAAAAAGCATTCATAGGTAGTTAAGTCACTAGATACGTTTAAGTATATTTGTAATGATATTCAACAGTCAATTTATTTTATGCTAAGTACATTAAAAAAATATCATTGTAGAATTCTTTGTGTATTTATGTATTTCTGCTTCTTCAGATCAAGTTTTTGATGGATATTATACCATAATTTTATTTTAAAATCTTTGCATCATTACCAAAATTTCAGGTACAAATGGAATGAGATCAGTTGCTCAGAGTATAGCCAAATTTTGTCAGGTACAGCAGCCAGTTTGGATTGGATCAATACAGTTCAATGACATAGTTCAAAAGTGGTCTGTTGACAGATGGGGACTATTTGACTATGTGGTTATAGCACATAACGGCAAATGTGCTGCCAGACTGGTGGAAAATGCAGGTGTGCCTGAAATTCACAGACTTTGTTTAACAAGATTCTCATCTCAGTTATCATCAAAAGAAAACCGTATGACTTTGTGTTCGCTGTTTGTTCTCATGGTTGCATTTGAAAGACCACTGGGCCTACCTTACCAAGGGGCACATGTTCAACATGAGAACCTCTCATGGGTGGCTAACAACACAGAGAAACTCAAGTCTGATAGGCCACAGAGTCAATCCCGAGCGGATCAGTATGAATGTTGGACAATCATCAGCTCGAAGACTCTAGGAGAACAAAACAAAGTTCCACAAGAACACATTCCACCAAATGTCGCTAGTCGTATCAGTCACTTGATGTTACAATCATTTGCAGATGCCACAGGAATGAAAGAAAAATTACCCGATGTTTGTTTTCGCAAGCTGCAGCTATGGGGGGCTGGAGTTCCTATAAATAAATTTTCTGGTGGAACCGAGTGTGTTTTTGATGCTGCTCATAAAATAGGAATCTGCAGCGACTGGTTAGTGAGCCCGTGTGTCCAGGGGGCTGCCATCAGTGGCCTGGCTTTAGCAGAAACGATTGTTCAGCATATCAATGGTAATTTCAGCTATTTTTTATTTCTTCAGGATTTTGTCTAAAAAAATGTATTTTAAATGATCCAAAATGAGAATTAAACGAAAATACAAAAAAGAAGTCTCAAAGAAAATTTCCCAAAATGTACACATGTCAGAGTAAAATTAACTAACATAAATATTCTGGTAGGGGCTTCTTGAGCTTATGCTCTTAAAGCCCCAGCTAGTACAGTGGCAACCTGCTCCATCTGTGTGCAGTGCCATATAACATTGTCTGAACATAGGACTCTCCCGTCGCCCTGGCCTCCCCCACATCCAGTGTGGGGGCACAAAGTCAACAGATAAGCTACTGTTTCAGAGGCCAGCATGCATTGCAGACAGGTGGGATCCTTGTTGTTGTCTAAGACTGTTAAAGTAAAAGTAACTATATGATTTATTTTCTTTCAGGTAATAAATCAAGTACTCCACTGCAACCTCACTTCAACCCAGCAACATCACCAAGTGCCATAGGGGATTTCCCATAATCTCAGCTTCTTTTAATATCATAAGTTTGTTTTTGTTGTTTTTTTTAAAGCTGGTGAGGTGTACCGAAATCAGGGAAGTTTTTCAAGGGTCATAAAAATACAAATTCTTTTACAAGCCATAGTGAAATGTGTAACCTTTTTCATTGAGCAAATATTTAAATCAGTGATGTCTTTTATATAATAGTCAAATTGTCATCACACTTGATGCCACCTCTACAGGTTTGAGTTCATAAGTTTAATAATAAAGTGTGAATTTTGAGGCTGTCTACATTATTAGTACTGTTAGAACTAGAGTGGTGAGGTGACAATTAGCACAGTTCCAGTCTTTAGTTGTTTCAAAACAACATAGGCAGAAATCTTCTTAATGAAATAATTAAGATTATGTTAAGAAGCATACATTTAAAAAAAATTCTTTTCATACACCCACACACAGGCTATTTTTGTCACGTGTAAACAATTGTCAGCAAATTTACTGGCCTCAACAGTAAAAAAAACAAACAATAGGTGTTGTCTACCTGCATTTATCGAGCTGTTTTTTAAAAAATAATCCAGCCTCTGCTGTGATTAGCACAACATAACCTTTACAAAAAAGTGCACAACATTAATTTGTGTAAACAAAATAAGCATAAAAAAGAGAATTTCTCATGTATAGTTTATTTTGGTCATTGCAAAAAAAAAAAAAAAAAAACATTAAACTGTGTGAATAATTAACATGTTGAAGTGAAAAATTTACAAAGGTCAAAGTGAACATATTTATTTGAGTAATTTTGGTTATCGCATCATTTACTCTCATCTGCTAATTACCGGTACAATAAATACTGTGCTAGACTGACATGTTGATTATTAAATGAAACAGATTGTACGTACTAATTATTTATTAAATCTAAATTGTCTTATTTTTTCCTTCATCATTGTGCTTTAGATTATAGTTGTTAAAATTGCTAACTTATAAACCAACAATTTTTTTTTTTTTTGGGAACATTTCCAACTCTGTTGCAAGGGGGGCTAAGTGGTGTACCAAACATACACTGCTCTGTTCATTTGCCCACTCTTTTTGCACATCAACTAACATCCAGGGGATACATTATTTTTTTCATTCATTGAAGTGATCTCAATAGCTCTTTACTTAAATGAAATTCAATAAAAAAAAAAAAATTTACCACATTTGGTTATGATGAACTTTTTGATTTGATTAAGTTAAAGTTACTGATTGGGAAAACAAACAACCCGACAGGATATTGTTCATGCATGTGAATATAAAAGAATACTGGCAAGTGCAAAAATCACAATAAAGATATTTTTATTTTTTTAGAACCCACCCCCCTCCCAAAACACACACACACACACACACAAACCCAAATGAATCCTGAAAAATAAAATATGATGCGTTTAGGGATAAATGTCTTAATGAAAAATTGTTGGAAGAAAGAAAAAAAAAAAAAAGGCAAATTTTTTTTCTTCATTATTGGATATAAAACAAGCCAAATATTTTGTGTTGCCTGTAACATATCAGCATTTCAAAATATTTGGATTAAAAGCCATAAATACATTAACAAATTTATAAAACATGTTACTGCCAATCTGATAATTCAGAGTAACATACAAGTTCATTATAAATATACAAAATTCAAAGTATAACTTGAAAAAGCCATGTAAAGTAAATGCAAAGTCTATTAATACAACATGCAAATATTTTACAAAATAAAAACATGTAGAAATCAATAGTGTTTGATTCATAGCACTAGGCCTTCCGGTGGTGCAACTACTAAAAAAAATAATTTACACTAACATTTCACATAAAATAATTGTTCTCCACGCATACAATATTATTATCCAGATTAATTTTCCAAACATAATAAAATAAAATAATTTGAAACCAGAGCTTACCTGCAGCTTTGCAATAAGTTTTGATGGCAATCAAGTCATGAGGGGGGAAAAAAATGGTTAACAATCCTTTTAAATGATATTAGGGCCAAAAAAAAAAAAAAAAATGTTTTTTAAAAATTTTTTAATATAAAAAACAAAAAAAAAAAAAAAATACCTGCAGCTTTGCAATAAGTTTTGATGGCAATCAAGTCATGAGGGGGGAAAAAAATGGTTAACAATCCTTTTAAATGATATTAGGGCCAAAAAAAAAAAAGCTGTTTTTTAAACATTTTTTAATATAAAAATCATAAAAAAAATAAAAAATTGGAAATAATTTCTTTACTTGTCTAAACAAGGCTTGATGCAATGGGAGTGCCAGTATTATAATTGAAATGTAAACTGATTCGTCAGAATACATCAGTCTTCTAAATTCTTATTTAGTTACTGGCTTATAAACTCCCTGCTTTTCTATAAAACGGACACATTCACTCATTTTATTGCTGTCATTTGCTTGAATAAAAAAAACGTGTCTGTCCATATAATACAAGACTATACTAAGATTCTAGGATTGTCTTATCTTGCTTATCCACACATTTGTCAAGAATCCCGTACACACTTTATTACAGGGATGAAAATGAGTTATTTGTACTTATTTTAATTTTATGATAAAATTTGCATTATAAGACATAACTTCCTGTCTAAGATCTAGTGGTCTCTCTCAGAGAGTAAGATCAATGATGGAAAGTTGCTGGTAATGAGGATGTTAGTGCTGGTCAATTTGATGACCAGCCTGAGGATGTTAGTGCTGGTCAGTTTGATGACCAGTCTGAGGATAATGGTGCTGGTCAGCTTGATCAACAGCCTCCTGATCAACTGGTCAACAAGGACTTACGTTAATGATGTAACACAGCTATGGACAAACCAAAACTGACTGAGACTCACTGCCATATGATTGGTGTATACGGTTATTATGTATATATGTACATCATAATATTATATGTACATATATGGGTTTGATGTGAGCCACCATGTTAATAAACTTGGCTACAAAAACTTTAAAATCAATTTGAATATGTTCATTTAAGATGTCAATGTCATTAATGATTATTTGGAAATTACTTCAGGTTCTATAACTACTAACTAACTGAGCATCACAAATCATCTCCCCATAGATGGGTAAACTGTCTTAACCGGCTGTAAATTAAAACTTTACACATTTAAAACAACTTTTGGTTAATTAAATTAACTACCATGGTATGTAGGTTCTCACTGAATTAACCAATCAAAGTAAAAAAAAAAAAAATAAATCTTTACAGATCAGTTAAATTTGTTCAATGGCATTGTTATTGAAACTTTTCAATAATATTTATCATCATTCAGATCCAGAGGCCTCCATTAGTTCTATGAAAGTATGTGCAATCTACCTGAAATGTAGCTAGGCTAAACATACAAAGTGTAGCTAGGCTATACATACAAAGTGTAGCTAGGCTATACATACAAAGTGGTGAAACTAAATACAGATGGACATTACAAAGGTAAAGGTTATTTTATATAAATACAGTAAGTTTTAAAAAATATTCAAAGGGAAAAAGATGCATAAAAAGGATTTATTTGCTAAGAAATCAGTCTATTTTCTATCCAAGAAAAGCGAGCTTGGCAGTCTAGAGATTAGATTCAATCCATTCTCTAAAATGTGAAAGTTGCTAGATAGATTTGAGTTTATCAGTCATTCCAGATGTTAAGTAAAAGTGAATAATTTATTGTTGACAGAGCTGGTTGTGTTCCTCTCCGGTGAGCAGCTTTACATATCAGTGGCAGAGGCCTTGTACACACTGTGGTAGGCATTCCTCAGTAGAGCATAGGGGAAGCAGAACTCTAGCAAGTCCATTGTCAGGAAAGGTGATTCCTGTACTATCTGGGAATACATTGAATACAATGATAAAACAGAAGTTAATTTAAATTATGTGTTCACAGTGCAAGGTAACTCTTGACCAGTTTAACTCATTCCCTCAGGCTTTCTCACTCACTGCGACCTTCTGCCTGGATAATGGGAAGCAACTCAGATTTTCAATTCCATAAATTAATAACAAATTTATTTTTTTTACAGTTGATCAGACTAAAACAAAAATATTTGAAAATGGACAAATTTTAAGCAAAATGTGATGCTGATTGCCAAGAAAATAACAGACCATGACAAAAAAAACTTTATTCTTGCACATGGGACTTATACGTGATCGATGTAAGAAGAACCGTTTTAACCCACGTCGAAAAAAAAACAATAGAAACTTCAGACTTTTTTGTTGAAATCACGCTATAAGGAAAGTCTCCCCTTCCCCTAAAAAATAACTAATGTGAAATAAAAATGAGTGGTGTGTCAGGACACATTTGATTAACATCCATCAGGACATTAACCCCCCCCCCCCTCCCCCCGCTTTAGCAGCAACCAGCAGTAATGAATTAATCACTGGAATGAGCAGAGCATTTTTAGGCTAGATGAGAGGTTTCATGCGATGTTGCCATCCTAAAAAATAACTAATGTGAAATAAAAATGAGTGGTGTGTCAGGACACATTTGATTAACATCCATCAGGACATTAACCCCCCCCCCCTCCCCCCGCTTTAGCAGCAACCAGCAGTAATGAATTAATCACTGGAATGAGCAGAGCATTTTTAGGCTAGATGAGAGGTTTCATGCGATGTTGCCACACCCACAAGTTATGATAATACAGATGACAGGTACCTCCCTACCTGATCCAGCAGTAGATACACCGACTCCCTGTTCTTGACAGCTTCCTTGTCATTCTCAGATCCAAGACGCAGAAGACTGGATGAAGCAAGCTGCAGATATGGGGTATAAGTTGAATGTTAACATCATTTAAGTAAATTTTTCTCTCATGACAGATTTCAAGATTGTAGTTCAGTCAGATTTAAACAGAACTATTACTATTAGTTCCATTGAAGCAAAGTATTATTTCATATGCCTCTGCTGACTGTTAAAATAACACCTGGCCAACTCCAAGTGATCTATTTGATCAGTTAGATCAGAAATTAATTCAAACTTCTGTACAGATATGTCCTAGCCAACCAGGTAAAATCACTTGAGTGGAAATGTTTGAGTTCACTTCTTTAATTAGACATTGCTGTCCTTGCAATTAGACACACATTGCTCTAAATATTACTGGGAAAAAAAGTAAAGATAACATTGATTTTTGTCCATTGGTCTGCAGATTTTTTTAAAAAAAATCTTTCAGTAGTTAGTGGTTTATAGTGATCTTTGAACTAAGTCTGCAGATATTTTTTAAAAACAACCTTTCAGTAGTTAGTGTTTTATAGTGATCTTTGAACTAAGTCTGCAGATATTTTTTTAAAACAACCTTTCAGTAGTTAGTGGTTTATAGTGATCTTTGAACTAAGTGCTGCCTTTAATGTTTACTATACTACTTAAATAATTTTATTTAAAGACTTGATCCCAGAAATAAAAAGTTATGGATGACTTACAGCCAAAAACTCTTGCAGTCTAAGATCTGTATCACCTGGTCCATAAAGGGAGAACAAAGCTCCGGCCAACCCATTGATGCTCTTGGCAAGGCAGTGGCTGTTGTTGAGGTGGCCTGACATAGTCATTGATAGGGATTAGGTTAGAGTTAAAGTATGTATGATAAGGAAGATGGACACAGGGGGAGAAGGCTGAAGTCAGAATAGTAGACAGTGGAAAGCAAAACAATATAAAATGGAGACATTGAAAACTTACCTTCAAGAGAAGCTCTGAAAGTGGACAAGTCCATACGGGCAAGTTTGGGTATGGAGACAGCCACAAACACGAACAGCAAACAGGAAATTGTATACTCATCGTCAGCATAAGCTGGAAGTAGAACAAGGAATATGCAGTACATGTGACTTGTGATCAAAGACTATGGGTAAAAGAATCTTGGTAAACTAGGACTTTAGGACTGTGTTTTACTCTACTGGATTGATACTAATCTCTAATTTCTTCACAACGCAGACACTAGCTCAATCTGGGCCTTCTAGTTCTAGTTAGTAGTGTAATGTGCCATATCTGCAAAAGGGTTTGTTTCATCTATAGTCATGGCTTATGCAACTAGTCTCAGGTTGCTAAGCTTACAACCAACATCTGGTATCTCCACCTGGCCAATGTAACTAGTCTCAGGTGGCTGAACATACAACCAACATCTGGTATCTCCACCTGGCCAATTTAACTAGTCTCAGGTGGCTGAACTTACAACAAACATCTGGTATCTCCACCTGGCCAATGCAACTAGCCTCAGGTGGCTGAACTTACAACCAACATCTGGTATCTCCACCTGGCCAATGCAACTAGTTTCAGGTGGCTGAGCTTACAACCAACATCTGGTATCTCCACCTGGCCAATGCAACTAGTTTCAAGTGGCTGAGCTTACAACCAACATCTGGTATCTCCACCTGACCTATGCAACTAGCCTCAGGTGGCTGAGCTTACAACCAACATCTGGTATCTCCACCTGGCCAATGCAACTAGTTTCAGGTGGCTGAGCTTACAACCAACATCTGGTATCTCCACCTGGCCAATGCAACTAGTCTCAGGTGGCTGAGCTTACAACCAACATCTGGTATCTCCACCTGGCCAATGCAACTAGTTTCAGGTGGCTGAGCTTACAACCAACATCTGGTATCTCCACCTGGCCAATGCAACTAGTCTCAGGTGGCTGAGCTTGCAACCAACATCTGGTATCTCCACCTGGCCAATGCAACTAGTCTCAGGTGGCTGAGCTTACAACCAACTTCTGGTATCTCCACCTGGCCAATGCAACTAGTCTCAGGTGGCTGAGCTTACAACCAACATCTGGTATCTCCACTTCAACTCTTTAACTACAACTAGGGTTTTCCTGTCTTAAGACTGAAGTGAGTCCCTTGAGCTTTCAGCATGACAAGAATCTACACTCAGCCTATCTGTCTCATTGTCCAACACCAAATAAATCCTCCAGCTTCAACATTTGATGGACAGTAAATTTAAGAAAAACAAATAAATTTTGTTAAGGGTAAAAGCATGAAATAAAAAACGCTTGTATTCTTGTAGTTTAACTATTCTTCATTATAAAAACACCAAGCCCAAAACAACATCAAACATGTTTTCCATCATAAGGGAGCTTGGTTGGGCAAAATTTTTATTTTTTTAGCTATTACTATTATCCCAAGTTATATTAGTTAACTCTGACTTACCCCCTCTATAGGAAAGGGAAAGATATAGACTATTTTAATTAAAAATGGTTAACTGAATCTTATTACGCAAGGGATACAATTTTTTATAAAAAATATGAAATAAATGTCATGTAATAAAATTTTAGTTGTAGAAAAAACAATAGGTATTGAGGCCTAATGATATCCGCAAATAAAAAATTTGTTACTTTTATTACACAGGCTAGATGCAGTGTGCCAGCACAATAATTTCCATCCTAACAAGGACTGTGCATTTTTTAAATTAATTTTTTATTGAGTCCTCATTTATTCTTCTCAAGATTTTCATTTTTATTCCATTTGGGGTATTTTACCCAGGTTTACCGACCCCAGTGCTGGAGAACGTTTCATATAAAAAATAGACTAATAATCTAAACACTACCATAGAGATATTTATGACAAAGTTTGAGTAAAGTATCATGAAAATGATCACTCACCACTTTTAAGGGTACGTAATGCATTACACAGCGTTGGGTCCACACTACATTTCTCACCAGCAGATGATGCCAGCTCATTGACTACCTGAAGCACATAAACAACAAAACTAGAAACCATGAAATGACTTAAGTCATGCTATTTTCATAATTTTTATTTGACCAATTCAACAATAGTCACAACCATACTATCATAAGATATTTGACGTATTGTAGTTTTTATGGACTCCAAAATATTTTATTTGTATTTCTTCCTTTTATCTAAAGAATTTTTATTTTATTTCAACAATAATTTATCTTATTTAATTTGGTGAATTAACAAGTTTTACTTCAAAGAAAATTATGTAGATCTTCATCTATTTATTGTAAGCACAGAAAGATATACATTGAAGCACAGCAAATATTTTATTTCGAGTTTTTAACAACTGAACAAGAGTAAAGCAAGGACCGTCCTTATCAATGCTGATTGACTCAGTCTGAAATTTTATTTAATGATTCATTTTTTGAGATTTAAGGCTCAAGCAATTTCCAGATTGGATCTTGAAATTCAAGCTTCACTCCATTTTGACTAATACTAAAAAATATTTTTTTAAATATTTATTAAAAAATTATTTGAATTCTAGATTTGGGTCTAGATTCATACCCAGAAAGCATAATTAAAATAAATATAAGCATACTAAGATTTACACCAAAATATTTAACACTTTTTTTGTAGCAGTTGAAAGACTTATAGAAAAAAAAAATTGTGGAATGTAGAGTAGATGAAACATAACATCAAATAGCTTCATTTAAAAAAAAATTGAGTTGTTTATTAGTCTTTTTTATTAATAAATATATTTTGATTCAATTTATAGAGGTCTTTAAATAATCCTAGTTGAATGTTAATATGGCACTTTAAAATAATTGCAGAGACAAATATAATAAGTAATAAAAATGTTAGTTAGCAAAAAAAAAACACAAATGGGCATTTGCCAACCAACTGAGTTCTGTCACACTCGATAGGTGACTAATATTTGTTATACTTGAGACTCTCAGCTACGTCCTGTTAGCATTTTCAAGGGATGCTAAAACCCTCAAGTAGCAACCAAAAGCTTTAAAGCTGAATTAAAAATTTTCCTCTTAGTGTAAAGGGATAAAAATAATTTGATTAAAGCAAGCTGATTGTTGAGCAAGGTATTTAGACTGGGATGCTGGCCCCAAAGCCAAGCTGTTGATAGGGATTTTTTAGGCGACTTAATTTAAAAAAACAGTTATTACTAAATTTTCACTAAATATGCTATTCATCACATTTAACAGTATGTTAAAATTGAAAGGGTTAAAGGTATTTGATTTTTCATTTGAGATTACGAAGTATCTTAATGGATTTAGTTTTACAATACCGTAGAACTGTTTAGCTCACAGTGGAGAGGTTTACGATCTACTACGACTATGACCAACCCTACACATCATCTCCAATAGGTGTGGAGGAGGGCACAAGCAAAGAAAGGGGCCCACTATTTGATAAGAGTATCTGAATATGACCTTTGGACCAAAAATATTAGGGCAGCACAAATAAGGACAGTGAGTACCATAAGTATGACTACGAGGCACAAACCTTAAATAGAGGTACATACAGACAGAAAGGAATTTTAAAAATAAAAGGACAGATCCCTAGGTATCAATAGGTCAAAAATTATTTCATCCCTTTTTTGAAATAACAGGAGACATTTATATCACTATCGGTAGATCTCTCTTGGATCTTTCAAAGTTTAAAAAAAATTTGAAATTAAGCTAAAATTGTTTCGCATAAATTAGAACTGAATTCATCTATTAGAACACAGTACCCATGTGTGCAGTTCAGTAGTTAGAATCAAACATGATTGTGGTGTCACATTGCACTAATTTCTTTTGGTCAAAGTTAATGCCACATTTTATTTAAAAACACAATCTTGACCAAACATTCTTTTTTATTAATGAGATTTCGTTAAATGATTCAGAATGAGACAAATGACCCAAGCAAATGGATGCTGGGTGGCCTAGTGGTCTAAGCTGACTCACTCCAAATAGTGGTGGTCTGGAGTTGAATCCCCGCCAAAGCCAACATCCCAAGCACCCCAGGTGGATGGGACTCGTTAGCCTTGGAAGGCAACTCATCTAAGATAAGGCCAACTCTGAATTCAAACCAGGAGCTAAAATGATCAATAAATTGATCGTGGGCCCTCAAATATGTGAAGAAAAAAAAATATATAACAATTAATAGTTGTAGCTCACATCCATAAGGGCTGAATTGTTGCAAAAGAAAAAAGTTTTACCTAGACAGCATGTGGTAAAGAAGAACATGATAAAGAAAGACAATCACAAAGTTCATACAAAAAAGGGAAACAGGAAATGCAATGAAGAGGGGAAGTAAAGAGTAATAGGAAATACTTTTTAAAAAATCAAAATCAACAGAGCAAACATGGCTAAATGTCAAACACTTGTATCAACTAAATATTAAATGTTTTCTTTTTCCAAGATACAACCTCAAATTAGGTTGATGTAAGATGCTTTTAGGTAGTCAATTTTCAATAATTAATAGTATTTTGGGGGTTTAAATTAGTATATTTTTTAAACTAATGATTTCATAATCATTGTTATTTTCCTGCCTGCTTGCCATAATTTTGTTATTGTCAACTCGGTCAGTGCATTTTCACTGACATAAAGCAGAGAAATAAAGCAGAGAAGCATATTCAAATCCGAGGGTTGTTTGTAACACAAAAAAACAACAACAAAAAAAAAGACACTTTTTGTATTTTCCCCTGCAATAGTGTTAAGGCAAAGACTTTTTCAAATAGGAACATAAAATTTTTTTTTTTGAAATTATCAAATGGGGATTCTAGTTACAGTAATAACAATACCATTTGTAAGAAAATTTCTAGCCAATTCTTAAAAAAATTATTTGAAATTCATTTGACAATCAAAGCCAGCTATTTGTTGTAGTTGTTAAAAATTAAATTTTGTATTGGATTATAGGAAAGTTACAAACATGGATGAAATTATCACTCTTGCTTCATTGAATTGTTTCATAATTTTTTTTCTTTTTTGAATGAAGCAAAAGAAAAAAAGAAAAAAAAAAGACAGCAACACCACAAATATTTGCCAGGCTGGCTTACAAACCTGTTGTTTTAGTGAGACCGGCTGGCATGATAAAAAAATAAACATTACAATAAGTGAGGAGGTTGCCAGAATGTGAACATGGTGAGGAATAGTGAAGAAAAGATGAGTGAAAATGTAGAACATGCTCAGGGGTTGAACTTAATTAACTAAAGAAAAGCTTATTAAAAAGTCTTTTTCAAGTTGTAAAGGACAGGTAATATACCTGGGCATGAATGAAGCTTAAGGCTTGCAACTATGACCATATACTTGGCCATGAATAAATCTTTGGCTTGCAACTATGGTCATATACCTGACCATAAATGAAGCTTAGGGCTTGCAACTGTAGCCATGCACCTGACCATGAATGAATCTTGTGGCCTGCATCTATGGCCATATACCTGGCCATATACCTGGCCATGAATGAAGCATAACGCTTGCAACTATTTTATTCATGTTATTTAAAGTACCGGTATACATAAAAAAACCCACCAGTTTTGAAATCTTATGCATTACGTTTTGGTAACAGATGTTCAAAAAAAAATATCATGTAATCCTTTAAGTGCAGGTACATAAATAAAACAGGATGCTATAAAACAGAACACACTGTCAGGGGGGAAAAAAAGCATATTTTGTAAATGCAGAATGTGGCTGTTTTGTTCCATATTTAATACATATTATATATTAAGAATAAGATTCTTCACTTCTGTGCATTTTACAATACAATTAATTTGCCCAGCCAGGAGAATTACTACAAAATCAATGACCACCACGGATAGAAATGAACTGAATATTAAAATTAACAAAAAATTAAATACATTTTTTGTGTGGGCACAAAGAGAAAACTGAAGAGAGGAGTATAAAACCCTCTAAGGGATGGAGGCAAGGAATTGGAATAACATTGTGGAATAGATGCAACAGTATTTACAACAGATAGTAATTAATGCAGGGTAGGTGACAAAGATGAAAATGTTTCCTTCGTTGGAGCTGCAAGGATTGGTGAAAAGATAGCATTTTTATGATATATTTATTCACCATTTATTTCCCATATCTCTTCCGCCATTATGTTATTACCTAAATTTTGAAACACATTAGTAACAAGTTGGAAGAGAAATATTTTTTGTATAACATATTAATAATTAGCTATACAATAGTTTACGTGTACACTAATCTAATTGTGTGGCTTTGTAAAGTAAAAGCAAAAAAAAAAAAGTTAATAAAACAAAAATTCGACTTTAATGAACTTTAATGTTAGTGAGAATCTTTACTAGCAAAATGTTCTTGTTATTGGTGGCAGACACACCCCCCCCCCCCCCAGCAAAGCTGCTGACCTAGAATTACATGAAATGATAGCTATTGGACTATGTTAACATCACCAAGTACAACAAGCCACTTCCTTCTTACCAGTTTGCTTTTTTTCCTCTGGAGATAAATTGGACAGTGAGTTTGTTTTGGGATAGATGAGGGGAGGTGGGAAGAAATGGATATTAAACAACAAACAGTGTTGTCTGATACAAAAACTAAAATCAGCATTACTTGGCATGGTATGGTTGATGGAATAAATATGCAAAATAGCCCGGGTTTGAAACTAAATGTATCATGTTTTGTTTATATAGTTATAAACCTTACATTTGTTCATTACAATTACAAATGTGGGTGATTGCTGCTACTGATACTGTATGTGTTTCATCCTGTGAGAATTCATGTCACATTAAAAGTCAATCACTCGCCTAGTCCACAGAACTGGTATATTTTACCTTTTATAAATAATCATGGATGGGTCATTGACAGTCCTTTGAGAGTAAAGGTATCCCAACATATTTTAATCTATCAATCCCTGTTGTGCTACACCCTGTGTAGGGGTTTGGCCTGCCTCACCACTTCCTTCCACTCAGATGCACCCCTCTTCACTCCACTGTCCTTTGCCATTCTTTCTGATTTTGCTGCCCAGCGTAGCCGGCCTTTTTTTATTTCTGCTACTAGGATGGGATCATGATATAGTCTAAACAATTCTTGGATGGTTCATATTCTTCATTCATATTCATCCTTTGTTGGTACTTATCTTTTACAAAGAACTTTTCTCTCTCATGCATTTATTAGGTTTTCTGCTGTTGTTTTTTAGGTCAAAATTTCACTTGTGTATATTATTTCTGTTTAACTACAGTTTTATATATAGTTTTCTTTGTTGTTTTTTTTGGTAATGTTTTTACTTTTTGAGTATTTTGTAACTAATGAAATATGCCCTCTATACTATCAGGCTGATATTCCTATTTTATTTCCTATTTGAAAGAGCTCTAATTTTAAAGCTCTGCAGCTAAACAATGAAAAGGGAAAAAATAAACAACTACATTTTTTTGTGTTTAAAACTTAGCACATCTCATCATCACTATTCCACTTGACAATACTCCAACGATGCAACTGTAAAATAACTTTTTAAAATCATGGTAAATCACAGGATTAAATTTATAGATATAACAATTTAATAAGACTTGAACATTCTGATTATTTAGAGACTAGTATTATAAGTGCAATAATGTCTTTGAACCCACATCTTTTCATTAGTATTTCTGTAGCTTTTTAAAAGAATCATGAAATATGTGAGTCATTCTTTCTCATTGCTAAAATAATTTTTAGAATTTAAATAGAAATTTGTATAAGTACTTACTTAAAGAATGTATTTAAATAAACTGTAGGTATGAATCCTAAACATTTAAAATGAACACAATGATAATAAAAAGAAAACAAATTTAGTGAGTGCTAAACAGTGAGGTTAAATTACAATATGGCTTTACTTTTATTCAGAAAAAGGTACATTATGGGGGAAATAAAACTTAAGTGCGTTAGTTTGAAATAGATGAAGTTATAAGGGCTAATAATACTAATCTAGTGTGTTTTTTTTTAATCAAGAGGAGGCTTCTATAAATACCACTTTAGAAAAAGTGGGGCTAAACCCTCAATGGTAAATATTCTTGTTCACTACAATTCAAATCTGGAACAGGTGGCAAAAAAAAACAACAACACACAACACTATTAAAGCATTAGTTATTCTATGGTGGGCGATGTCATTAATGAAAGTGTGAAAATGTATTGAAAAAGTAAAAAAATGAATATGAAAGAGAATGAAATATTATTATTATTAACAAACCAATGTAAAACATTGTTTCCGTATTTCCTTTGTCATGGTATTAGTTGCTATGTTTTAACTTAAACTTAAGTAGCAGACATAAGTTCTGTTTGAACTATTTAATCTTAATGGCCCATTTCAAGCAGTCTTTATTATTTTGGTTTTTTTTGTTGTGCCATACAATGAAGTAATGCCTCCAGGCCTCTCTTAGTTTTTGAGTGGCAGCACCTGACTTCACAGATGAATAAACCAAGCGGTGGCCCCTAACACACAAAGCATAATTAAATAAAGTACCAGCCAAAAGTGACAAAATCTGGCATTGTCACTGGAGAAGTGTGCAAATAGTCGGGTAAAAATCACATTTTTTCCCTCTAAAATATAACCCAGAGCAGACACACAGAAACAAACCAATCCTTAATAACATCATTAAAAAGAAAACTAACATGTACTTATGTTGCATGTCATGAAAGGGTTGAGAAGTAATCACAATAGCATTGACCCCCTTTTCTCCTTTGCTTAATAGAAATACATTACAATAGATCAGGCACAACATATCAGCTGATAAAAGTACATTTACAGTTGTCAGAAACAAGCTATTGTAACAAGTGGAGATCTATGAAGGGTCACTGAGAGTATGTTAAAGAGAGGCTGGTGATATTTCACTACTAATATGAAATTATTATACTTGAGCTACTATATTCATATGGTGAGATACTATTTTTACTGTAAAAAAAAAAATAAGCCCAACTTAAATGTTATATTAGAGTGCAATTACTGAAGAAAATGATTGAAAAAACAACTTACAAGCTGATGGGAAAAGAACACATAAAACTATTAAATAACTTTGTCAATGAATATATGTTTTAAAAAAAAATGGTACAATCAAATTAGCAAATTAGATTTCCTTTTAATTGTACACAAATTTAAAATTAACTTCCATGTATTTTGTACATTCATAAGAATTAAGACAAAGAAGATTCATGCAGGCTGTGCAAAGTTGATGATTTACTTCCTTATGCAAACGTTACATCCTCCAAATTCTGACAAGTATTTTAAACCATTTTTGACCATTTTTACACTATGCCCAACTAATTGTTTGTTACAATTTTCAGACCACTACCACACTCTTCCAAGTATATTGTAAAAAAAACAACAAACCCATATAACATAATTTATGATATTAAAAGATTAGTGCAGCCTTTTCAAGATACAGATGATTTGCTGGCCATGCTTATTTGATAATATCATGCAGCAAGAATCTGATCTGACATAATAACAAAGTGATTGTAAAGTTAGCTGAACCTCATTTCAAAATGAGTTCATACCTGATGGCTTTATGTAGGACTTCAGATAAGTAATCACAAGTAATGTTTCTTTAGTTCAAGAAATATTCATACACATACCTGACGGCTTTAGGTATGACTTCAGATAAGTAATTACAAGTAATATTTCTTTAGTTCAAGAGCTATTCATACACATACCCGAAACTTTATTTTATATTTGACTTTTTGAACACTTTCTTGTCCATGTCTATCTCTCCAAATAAACTGAGTCAACATCCCAACCAAATTGGTACTAGGATGACTGTGTCATGTGTTGTGATCAAATTTACTTACATCCCAACCAAATTGGTACTAGGATGACTGTGTCATGTGTTGTGATCAAATTTACTTACATCCCAACCAAATTGGTACTAGGATGACTGTGTCATGTGTTGTGATCAAATTTACTTACATCCCAACCAAATTGGTACTAGGATGACTGTGTCATGTGTTGTGATCAAATTTACTTATGACTGAAACTTACCATGGAATCTTTAGTGTTGGGCACATGATGGTGGATGTCTCGTACAGAGCCCATCAAGAATGGGATTCTTTGTTCCAGTACCTGACATGGATGGAAGAAATAACCTGTCAGTCCACTGCATTTGTAATTTATAAAAGGTTGAGTCCATGATGAAATTGTGATACAAAATTTAATAAGAAGAAAACATGCTCACTTATAAGGCTACAACAAAAACAATTTTTTAAATAGTGCAACTTACATCATTAAGAGCTTCCTGAGCCAAGGACCTGAATGCCAGCAGGACACCAATTCTTGTCATCCGCAACAACAAGACATCAGCATCTACAACACACATAGAAACATTGAGTTGTACCCTGTATCAAATGGCTGACTTTACATTTTGCTCTATTAATTTCACCAACACCCAGGTATTTATATAACATACATCAAAGAATTTCCAATAAAAAGTAAAAGTGTTAAATATCTGAACAAAAAGTAAAAGTGTTATATATATTTACACATATATATTTATCACATACATATTTGCAATACACTGTGTATAATGATAAGACTAAAATTTATTATAGAAGACTAAATCATTTTATAATATTTTATAATATTATACAGATTACACCAAAATTCAAAATAATCTTAAGACTGATTATTACAATATCCTAATGTTTTACAAGAAATGAATATAAAGTTATTTTGATGAACGTTAAAAAAGGCCTGAATTATAACTGGTATTTAAGATTTTAAAAAGTTATATGGAAAAAAACAGCCATGAATAAAATGAGAATTATATTTAAAGCCCACACATATTAAAAAAAAAACAACAATGGAATATTTTCAATTTTGATCTGTGGAAAGAAATGAGGTAAACCCCCCCCCCCCCCCTAAAAACAGCCATAAATAAAAAGAGAATTATAATTAAAGCCCACACAAAATAAAAAAAAAAAAACAATGGAATATTTTCAATTTTGATCTGTGGAAAAAAATGAGGTAAACCCCCCCCCCCCCATTTTTCATGCTTTTAGGTGACCACATCTAGATACCTCCAAGTACAGTAAAGTAAATAAAAAGGTGTATCCTAAAGCAAAGCTATATCACACCAAAGCAAATAAAATTGGCATAAAACGAGCAGAAAGAGAAGTTAGTGGACTAATCAATTTTCACCAGATGCCCACGATAAAACTATTTCTTTAGTTGAGATAATATTGTTCTTATATTAATAGTTTCTGCACATTCATTATAGAGTTAATTGAAGTACATCAGTAAAGCCAAACTTTAAAATGTATTGTATGATTTTAAAACCCTCCCCGACCTTCTCCTCCGTACCATTTTTGTCTCTCGTAATTTTTAGATCACATCATTTGTAATTTGGCTTAATTTAACTCTCCCCACCACCGTTAAACCCACAAGTGGGAAAAGATCAGGTTCAGGGTATTCCTGGGCATAAAACTTTGGACTTGCCGGAACGTGAAACCACAGACCATCTTAAAAATGCTAATTCTGTGTCTCACTGGCTTGACCACAAAGTCACTCAGTTAAAGATTTTTAATATTGAAATTAAATTAACAGCAGAGAAGAAAATACTGATAACGGCAATTAATAGAGAATAAAAAAGGAGGTTAGTGATTTTTTTTTAAAAATGGTTATGTCCTAACTATAAACAACCACCAAACTTAACTAAATGAATTTGAACTACAAGATGAGGACTTTAGGAGACATGACTTTAACATTGACTTCTTTCTTAATCCCATCTTGGTCAGGCAATATGTATGCAGGTTAAACTCGAGTCAATGCAGCACTTACAACATTAAATACTGCTACAAAAATAGGTACATTAATTATGCTAATGTTATTTTTTTTTTTTTTTTAAACAGAGGCTACACAAATTTACTACAAAATAAAGAAACAGAGGTGTTTAAAAAAAATAGACTTATTATAGTTTTATGTGCTGGCACATCTAAGGTGTTTAATAAAATAAACAGACTTATAATAGTTGAATGTGCTGGCACAACAAATGTGTTTAATAAAATAAACAGAATTATAATAGTTGAATGTGCTGGCACAACAAATGTGTTTAAAAAAACAAATAAGACTTATTATAGTTTTATGTGCTGGCACACAGGTAAACAAACCTTTCGAAAGGCTTGCAGAATTAAACTTACCACAAGGAGCGTTCTTGTATGGAGCTTTGAGTGGCAGAAACAAGAACATTGATTACAGAATGTATCATCACAAGTGGGGTAGATGGGGAAAATATTACGATATCATGAGAGGTGGGAATGGAGCGTATTAGTATTACAAGATGAAAAGGGAAATTATTATACTACAGATTGTATGTTTATGCTATAAAATTATCAGAAAAACTACAACATAATTTCCTTTGCCATAGTAAAAAATAATTCCATTTGAGAGAGGGGAGGCAACATCACCGAAGTAAGGCAATACAATAGGAAGGGGGGGGGGGGTTTGGGTTTATGGATGCTAAACTTAACTGAACCAACAAAATTGAAGCCAAAATGGTTTTAACAATAATTATGGTATTTTTAGGAAAAGAGAGTTCTTTCCATTTTGATTTAATCAAATTAAAGTTTTAAAATCATAATTAACCCAATCATTAATCATTATTGATTTATTATTATAAAGCCTAGAAAAAAAGATATGTTGTTGACACTACAGATGACTGATTCAAACAAGGTAACTCATCAATGCAGCAGTACATATGAGATATGAACTAGCCAATATTTCATTCCATTACCACACTACCAATCTGCATATCAGACAAACTAAGGTAGCTACCCCCTAATTCAGTAACATCGCAATGCATCACCACTACATGGAAGCTGAGAGATCAACCAGTTTATCATGACATGCCACAATAGGCTAATATTTTCATTTTCTAGAGTACATTAATACAAAGTTATGTTACGACATCCAGACCTTAGACTGAATCTCTTACTCAAAAATGCACTTGGGTTGCATGATGTTATAAAACAAAGGGACGTTTATGGTGAGACCTTAAGGCAACAAGGACCACTTGTTACATTTTTAGAAAAAACTTGTAAATCATGCCAGTGTTTGATTAGATCATCAGTGGTTATGTTTGACACACATTCCAATAGACTTGAGGGAAGAGAGGAGAAGGAATTTTGCCATAGTAGGCCTAACTGGCCCAGCATGACCAAAATTTGATATTACATCTACTTAATGGTCCTTCCAATAATTTGTCATTTATGATTTGACAAAAGGCATTAAATTTACTAGAAACATATCTTTCAGAGCCATGATGATGTAGAAAAAATTGATTTGCTTTCAAATTTATGTATGGAATATCTAATTTCATAAATGATGATCTTTTAACGGTTGACAGATCCAAAATCCAGGACTAGAGTAAATATGATCTTTTTGTTTCAATTTTAAAAAGTGACCCTTTCTTATACCTATAGTGCCAAATAAATTTATTCGTCTGGCAGAAATGTGAGAATACTAAAGAAGGTTTGACCACCAGGTGGCAGTGTACTCACTCATTAGCTTGCGTGTCAGAATGCTCATGACCTCTGGCTTGTCGAAGCTGCTCCTCAACTGTACAAGGGTGTCTTTGTTGGCCACCACTAGCTTCTGTTAGAGACAAACGTCCAGCCTCACATTAGAGATGTTTAAGAGAAATAAGGTCAGGTCTCCAACAACTTCAATACCAGATTCACGTTAACATTAACTGATACAAAGAAGAATACAATTGAAGTCTGTTGACCAAAGTCTGCATGAACTTATTTTATGATCTGAGACATTTTTTAAATTTAAATAGTTTTCATTTAAAAGCCAATCCAAAGAGGTAAGTGTCCTCATCTAAGGCAAAAGTGATGTTCTTTAGCCCAAGTAAGCTCTACAAACAATGACTACCTCCAATTACTCAAGTAAATAAATCTGTATTCGTGAAATGCACCTATTTATTTACCAACCTTGATTTCATCAACTTGTCCAGCGATGTTTAACATAAGTCTCTCCCCTAGATATTTCATGCCATAGGGCCCTATCAACTCTGCCAGGGCACGGAGTTCTGGTGACATTAAAATAATGATGATGAAAATGTCAACAGCTTTTGTTAAATGTCAGTTGATCCATGTCACCCTCTCCCCCTTAGTGGTGTCAGATTTATTTGATCATTGCACTTCAAAGCAGAGGTCTCATTTTCTGATAAACTGCCTTTTAATATTCAAAGTGGCTATTCGCACCCGGGTACCAGAAGTGAGAGGTTGGGATTAAAAAACTATTTAAAATATTATTGTTGGGTTTGTAAGACAAAATGAGGTATCAAATAATAATAATAATAAAGTTCATTTCAAAAACACGCTTCATCCCCAAAGGCTCGAAGCGCGGTACAAAGTCAAAAAAAAAACAAATCTATAGTTTACCACATTTAAAACAAACGCAACACGACAAAAACTAAGTACAAGCATACAATGGCAAAGTCTTTCTAGCCATTTCAACCATAAGCAACACAGCCATTATGCATTAACTGGAAAATAATGTTGACAATCATCACAGAAGGTGTTTGCGAAATAGATGTGTCTTTAAATCGGTTTTAAAGGACTCCAGTGTCTGGTTGTTTCTGAGATCGACAGGAAGGGCATTCCAAATTGTTGGACCAGCAAATGCGAAAGTGCGCTTTCCGTAAGTCTCAAGGCGAACACGTGGTGTCGAGAGTTTGCCACTATCGGATGAGCGGAGCTCTCTAGTGGGTACATAAGGCGTCAGCAGCTCTTTCAGATAGGACGGCGCCAGGTCATGTAAGCAGCGGTAGCACAAAGTTGCGATTTTGTACTCCATGCGAGCACGCACTGGCAGCCAGTGCAGCTCTCTCAGAAGTGTTTTTGCATGGTCAAACTTGCGTTTGCGGAGAACAATGCGAGCCGCATTATTCTGTGCTATTTGAATTTTATCCAGGAGCGTAGCTGGAAGACCCACCATAAGAGCATTGCAATAGTCCATGCGTGATAGCACAAATGCAGACATCAGCCTCTTTGTTGCATCAATTGTTAGGAAGGGCCTGATGTGACTAATCCTGCGCAGCTCTAGAAAAATCGCCTTGCATAGCATGTTAATATGACTTTCAAAAGTTAGTCTTCCATCTAGGTAGACACCCAGGTACCGCACTGTTTGAGCTAACTCAATACGCACACCTGAGAGAGTAATGGATGTAGTGTTATTTGCAGATTTTTGCTTCTGAGCGGTCGCGATGGGGAGCAGCTCAGTCTTATCATCATTTAATAGCATGAGTCTAATGGGACCCGGGTGCGAATGGCGTCGATGCGTGTCCGGGTCCATTTGATTAAATGCTATTCGGGTGTCATTTGTGGTAGTTTATTTAAGTTAAACTGAAGAATTAAGTTTACAAACATATAGTCCATTCAATTATCTTTCATTTGATACCTCATTTTGTCGTACAAACCCAACAATAATATTTTAAATAGTTTTTTTATCCCAACCTCTCACTTCTGGTACCCGGATGCCAATAGTCGCAGCCTTTAATATTCCAAATTTTACCACCCAATTATAAAGAAAAGTTATTAGAAATTTTGTTCATGGTATGAACAAAAATTATTTGTTCATACGTTGTTCTGTTGTCTCCACGTTCCAAAAATGGCTTCAGCTCAAACTACATAGCAGACTCAGTTTATAAGCTGTCCATTCAGTGCCATGTACTGCACACATTATAAAAGCTGAACTTATTTCACACCCCATGCTGAATCAGCTAATCTCAATGAACACCTGAGACCTGGTTCTCACCTGTCAGATCAGCATACTCCTCAGCTGCCATGAGAACTCCATCCCCCTGGGAGACAGTAACGAAGGCTTTTCTGCTTGGTGAGAAAACTATCTGACCTGCATTGCATGCCACTCGCATCAACAGTACCTCAAGATACCTGGAATAAAACAGACAATGTATTAATTAATTGCAAATATTCCCCCCCCCCCTCTTACCTTCTTAAAATTGTTAATAAGTTTTAAAGTGCCAAAGATCTGGCACCACCATTGATAGTTCCTATAAGCCTAACCTACCAATGAGTGTAATTGTGTGTGATTGTCTTCTCTCCATTAGCGTCAGTGGGCTGTGTCTGCATGGGAAGCACGTTGTTGAACACTCGTACGATGTCTATGTGAACTGTAAAGCATGGAGATATTTATAATGCTCTTTCCTTATCTAACATATAAAATACACAACACAAAACATAATATCATAATCATATATAATAATAATGGGACAAAGCTAATTTTTTTCACTTTCAAAAATTGACACATCTTATATCTCAACAATGGACCAAACTATTTTTCTTAATGTTAAAAAAAAGCATAACATTTTACTTGGATTTCAAAAGGTATTCATCATAAATGAGTTCTTTTGTTAGTTTGGAAACTGTAGGTAATTGGTATCTCGTGAGGAGATACTGATCTTCCATCGAGCGCCTCCCCAGGTGGCGGATAGGGGAAAGCCCACCAGATATGGAGGGTACTGGGGAAATAAAATACCCGGGGCGGACCAAAATCAGTACCTACTGCCTTGTAGGAAGTGGAGGGATCCACAAAGGCTAGGGACACGACCCAATATCAAAGGCAGCTACCCTGAGAGCTGCAAGGGGCATCCCCCAGACGGTTGTGCGCCAGGGCTGACGACCCTGTCACGTAAAAAAGCTAATGTTACGAAAGTGAAACCACAATCAGAAAAACGGACTGATATTTATGGATTTCGACCCATGCCTGACTACACACATAAAATTTGGATAGCGACTTGGAATGTACTCAGTTTATACAGAGCAGGGGCCTTGGCCCGCCTCAGTGAGGAATTACTTAGATATAGAATCGCGATTGCGGCACTACAGGAGATTAGATGGAAAGACTGAGATATCCTAAATACAAAGGAATATACAATATTCTACAGTGGAAACAACACAAATACATTAGAAACAGGGTTTGCAGTCAAAAGAGAGACAGTAAATGCAGTCATTGGGTTTAAACCAGTGAGAGAAAGATTATGCTCCATAAGGATTAGAGGAAAAGTGTTTAACATCACGTTGATCTGTGCACATGCCCCAACGGAAGATACAGATGAAAGCATGAAGGAAACTTTCTACGAAACACTGGAAAGAGTATTTGATGAGGCTCCACGACATGATATCAAAATAGTCCTTGGCGATTTCAATGCAAAAATTGGGAAAGAACTAGTCTACAGACCAACAATCGGAAAGGAAAGTATGCATGATGAGAGCAATGACAACGGGACACGTCTTATAGACTTCGCCTCTGTAAAAGGAATGATAATCAGTAGCACAGTATTCCAACATAAACAAATACATAAAGCGACATGGATATCTCCAGATGGATTTATCCGTAATCAAATAGACCACGTACTCATCGACCGGAGGCATGGCTCGGACATATCAGATGTGAAAAGTTGTAGAGGGGCGGACATACACTCAAACCACATGCTTGTTAGAATCAAATATAAGCAAAGAATCTGTAACATCCACAATAAACAAAATAAAAGAGAAAAACAGTACAATTGTCAGAAACTGAGTAGGGACCCAAAAATTACTGAGGAATATCAACAGAAGATTGAAACTCAACTAGAATTATACAAAAGAGAATCAGCCAGCAACGTTGATATAAATCAGCAATGGGAAAAGATGAAGCAAATAGTCACAAGTGTAACAGAGGAAACGATTGGATTTAAACCAGCAGTGAAAAGAACAGGATGGTATGACGCAGAATGCAAAGAACTTATAGAACAAAGAAACAAAGCTTGGCTAATGATGCTGCAAAGGGAAACAAGAAGAACGCGACAATTATATAATGAAGCAAGAAGAGTGGCCAGCAAAATTTGCAGAAAGAAAAAACGTGTTTGGGAAAAATAAAAAATAGTATAGATAGAAGAGTTGGCAAAAGAAAGAGATGTGAGGGGAGTGTACCTGAAGATAAAGCAGGAAAAGAATGGCTTTCAAGCAAGATCCCACACAAGCAAGATCCCACATGTGTGAAAGCACGGATGGAGAATTGATGACAGAGAGCAGTAGAGTACTAGAGAGGGGCACAACACTTTGAAGGCTTACTGAATGCCTCAGGTGGAGGAACCAATGAGGATTACGCCCCGCCACAAGGAGGACCGGACCCACTGGTCAACCAACCAACTTTAAATGAAATAAAAGATGTAATCTCCACCATGAAAAATAACAAAGCCCCAGGAATAGACCTTATCCCTGCAGAACTCATAAAGCTAGGTGGTAGCGAACTGCATAGGCAAATACACGAACTTATAACCAGAATCTGGCAGGAGGAAGAAATGCCAACTAAATGGTACACGACACTCATAATCCCACAAAAAGGGATCTAAGTTGATATGCTCAAAGTATAGAGGTATCTCCCTTCTTAATGTAATGTACAAAATCCTCACAAACTTATAGCGAGAAAATTGGAAAAGTACAGTGAACAGATCCTAGGGGACTATCAATGTGGATTTAGGCAGAATAGGTCAACCACGGATCATATTTTTACTATAAGAAGTCTCCTGGAGAAATGCTACGAATATAACATCGACATACACCAACTATATGTGGATTACAAAACAGCATACGATAGTGTAAACAGGAATTACTTATACAATGCTCTACAAGAACTTGGAGTCCCTAACAAGCTTACTCGGCTCATACACATGACAATGGCCAACTCCAAAAGCAGAATCAAGATTCAGGGAGAATATTCTAGGGAGTTCATAGTTAATCGGGGCCTCAGACAAGGAGACTCACTATCATGTATCCTGTTTAACATCACGCTAGAAAAAGTTATTAGAAGCATTCACATTAGCACCAGTGGAACCATAACAAACTATTTCCAGAGAGATACTACAGAGCAACGACCATCAGGAACCTTATATAGCCAACCATTGCAGTACCTGGCATATGCAGATGATATTGCACTACTGGGTAAAAACCGTAATGACGTAATTAAAGCATTCAGGGAACTAGAAAATGCCTCATTCAAAGCTGGCCTTGATATAAATGAACCGAAGACAAAATATATGATAATGTCAAGAAACTCCCATGCTGATGATAACATCAATATAAACAACCACAAATTTGAGAGAGTGGACACATTCAAATATCTAGGGGCAACTATAAATGAGCACAATGAGATAATGACAGAGGTGAAAGAAAGGATAACAGCAGGCAACCGTTCCTATTTCAGTCTACAAAAGCTACTGAGAAACAAAAACTTATCAAGGGGAACAAAGAAGACAATATACACCACCATCATAAGACCTGTAGTAACGTACGCTAGTGAGACCTGGACCCTCACCAGAAAAGCAGAGAACCTGCTCAACACATGGGAGAGGAAAATCCTTCCAGTGTTAGAAAATGATACCTGGAGAATACGTACAAACCAAGAACTTTACGATTTGTACAAAGAACCACCCATAGTCACAATGATAAAAAAAGGCAGAATACGCTGGGCAGGTCATGTTGAAAGGATGCCGGAATGCAGAGCAGCCAAAATCATATACAGGCAGAAGCCTAGGGGCAGACGACTCATCGGTCGCCCAAGGATGAGGTGGATTGATGATGTGGAGACAGATTTACACCAGTTGGGGATTCGAGCATGGAGACGGAAAGCCATGGATCGCTCCGAATGGAAGGATGTGGTGGAGCAGGCCAGGGCCCTACATGGGCTGTAGTGCCATTGATGATGATGATGAGGGTAATTGGTATAAAATTGTAATTTCCTAACACTGACTTACCATAGTTTTCAATGCTCTGTAAAACATTCATGTAGGCACGTACTCCATTGAGCAGTTCTGAAGGTTTGGCAATCTCATTGGTTTCAGGGTTGTACATCATCATCCCAACAAGAGCTCTGTGGAGATCAGTTTCATAGTTCTAAGAGTTGACAAACTTACAAAGTAATTGTCCTATAGCTGACTAAAAACTAAACAAAACTTCTAGCTATTTCTTAGGACATTGTGTATTACAAAAACAAATTTTGCAGCAGCCACAATGTAGGCGCTCTAAGGTAATAACTTTAGTCAATGAGTCTGTCAATAAAATTACTTGTTAAACCGGGTTTCTAAATGCTGAAGGAAAAACTCTCGTGGCACAAAGCCGTGGTCCCACACTTGTATCACTGTACAGTAATTGATGGCGTAGCAAAGATCTGTCAATGCCATGTGAAGTTTATCCATTCTGAAATTGACCAAAATTTCTTTCTTTCTTTCTTCCTTGTATACAAACAGATTTTATTGCATTTACCTTGTTTTGCAAATAATATTTGAGATACATTATAAGTTGTAATCTTATACAATATATAATAATTTTTTGTTTGTTGATGCAACGATTTCCTTAAAATCAAAATGATACACTTAAGATTTCCTATTCAAAGACAACTTTCCTTTTACTTGACAAAGTCACCCACCTAGTAAAGTTTTCTCTGTTTTTACGGACACTCTCCTGGCCAGGCTTTTCAGGCTCCTGAAACTTTTTCTCCTTCTTGTCTTTGGACTTCTGTCTTTGAGACAAGATGATGGCTGCACTATGTTTAGGGAGGAGCTGTGATAAAGGAGTTCATTTGTGAAATTCAAATGGTTTACTGCAACTTTCAAAACCCACCACTAGTATTGTCTTGACCACATCAGGTCTGGGGGGGATACTGTCAAAATCTAATTAGATTTATGATAAAAATGATATAATGAATAGTCAAAGTTTAAAAAAATTGTTTTTAAAAAAAGATATATATATGAAATGTTAACTTGTTCTATCTGTATTTTCTTGTAACGGACAAGGTTTATTTATTGGTGCTAACAGCTCAGTAGGAAGTTTTAAAAAAATATGTAAGAATCAGGCAATAACCAATGGGCAAAAAAAAATCAAACCTCAAAGAAAGATAAAGGTCCTCATACAGTCACATATTTGGGTTCACTTTGTTAACACATCAGGAATACATAGTCAATGATAAATCTTTATGAACAACATTATCAAGCCGATAAAATTTTTTATTACAGTTTACAAATAAAACAATGCTTTCAAGTGTGAAGGAAACAATAGCACCTTATTACAGTTAACATATCAAACCTGCCAACATCCTGGATTATAAAAATATCTTAACATTTAAATTAAGTTACCTCTGTTTCCTCTGAGAGGATTTTCATATTTCTTTATACACATCCTAGATTAATCATTGGGACAGTACCTTATAGAGGGGAGCAACTCAACTTCTAACTAGAGCACATTTTCTGACATCCTTCTCGGTTGAGATTAACAAAAGGGCGTGGCGAATAGGGCAGCTTAAACATCTACAGGTAACAGCCCTGACATGCGATTTATTTTGATTAAGGTGAGGGAGAGTTGTTTAATTCGTCTGCCTTACTTTCTCGTCCTTGCCTTTTTTGATCAGATGGCAAGTCTTAGTCAAAATGACTGGAAATAGACTAAGATGCAGTGGAAGACCAGCAGTGCTTTTTGTGACTCACTGTGCTCTTTATGCATTCCACATCACGTTTGTTGCCCCCGTTTTTCCAACCATTGGATCATGTAAGAATTTCTTTAGGGTGGTCCACCAGGTCCAGTCTTGAAATGGTCCACCAGGTCCAGTCTTGAAATGGTCCACCAGGTCCAGTCTTGCAATGGTCCACCAGGTCCAGTCTTCAATGTGAGGTAGACACATCATTGAGGTAGACACATCGTCAAGTTAAGCCCGTGTCTTGAGGCAAGCTCACAAGACATTGGGTCAGGAGAATAATTATATGATTATAAAGTTGTTGGATACGATGGCAGCATAAGGAGCTGTTCAGATTCTCTAAATAATTTATACTTATCCGAAAACATCTTGGCTAAAGTCTTTATTGTATTTTTCCACATCATCATCATTAGTGGCGCTACAGCCCATTCAGGGCCCTAGCCTGCTCCACCACATCCTTCCATTTGGATTGATCCATGGTTTTCCGCCTCCATGCGCGAACCTCCAACCGGTGTAAGTCCTTCTCTACATTGTCGATCCATCTCAGTCTTGGTCCACCGGAGAGCCATCTGCCTCTAGGTTTCTGTGTTTTTCCACAAATTTTAATATTTTTCTAATTAATTACTGTCCTTTTTTGTACTCTTATTTTGTGTTCCGCCATCTTGTTGGCATCCACATACTTGTAACAACGAAAACAGGATCAAGACTTTATAAAAAAAATCCATTTCCAATTTTCTGTGTGGTGCAAATTTGTTCATTGTCTAAGAAGAACTGGTTAAATTATTTATAATAATTCTTAATAGCCATCATCTTTTTCTTAAGTGATACCAGAATGTTCATCATTACTGTACATAACACCACAAACAAATGACATACAAGTCAAAGTTGTACACTTGAATGCTGGTAAGCTCACTAGTGTCTGTCGAGGGTATGAGAATCACTGTTGTTATGTGTAGAGCGTTGTTGTCATGTGTGATAGGGAAAAGAAGTTAGTTAGAGATTTTATGTGCAGCCGTATCGTTTGTGTGAGAGTGTTATGACGTAATTGTGTAGTGGAAAGTGACGCGTTAGTTTTGCTGTTGTTAGAGAAGATAGATGGCGGATGTGCTACATGGACTGTTGTGAATTGAATACTGATAAGTGTTGTGCTGAGAAATTAAGTATCAAACATAGTTTGGAAATTTCGGTTAATTAAATGAAGAGTTGTGCTGAAAGGATTCGATTGTTGCTTCGACATTAAGTATCAGCCTTGGTTTGTGAATTGTGGTTAAATAAACTTTTGTTTACAACGAACCGGTTGATGTTTGTTGCATTGGTGACTGTTGCTGTATGATGTACTGCCGAACGGAATGAAGTGAAAGACTTGGCCATACAGATGAAACGCTTCTTGACAGTGTCAACTGTTGGATTGCCATCAGATTACCAAACATTTTTTAAAACTAATATGAGATAAACACTTGTTTGAACAAATAGTTAAAATGCAACATCCCCAAAGTTGTGTCACATTGGCAAGTTGAAAAAACAACCCTCAGCCCCTTTCTTATTGGGCGTCACATTGAAAGGTGAATTTCACCCCCCAGCACCCTTACTTAAAAGGTGTCACCATGTAACATTAGGTGAATCTGACACCATACAGATCAAGCCTCCTCCTACCTTGTGGTCCATTTGCACACTCTCCTCACAGATATTTGTGATGACCTGATTGACTTCCTCAGCCATCTCTTTCAGGAACCAGTGGGCATATTTGACGCTTGACCTGCCTACTGAGATCCGCTGGTGAGATCACAGGGTAGGTGATTGGGAGACACAAGTACAAGCCATGATAAAAATCCTGCCCCAAACATGCTTCTACAGTTATACATGAAATACTTCTATTGCAAGGCCACACAGACTCAATACCATTACATCAACTATTACTGAATTGTAATACTTTTCAGTGTTATATTTTGCTACATACTGAGTCCATTTACAACAAAGCTGTCTAAAATAAATATTTTTTATTGCTTGAAATTCAAGAATTTCAGTTCTTCTTCCAACAAATTGAACTTTGGATAATGAAAATGGCCATGTTTTAATGATAATACCAGAGCTAGAAATGTCTTGTTTTAATGAAAATACCAGAGCTAGAAATGTCTTGTTTTAATGAAAATACCAGAACTAGAAATGTCTGTGTTTTAATGATAATACCAGAGCTAGAAATGTCTGTGTTTTAATGATAATACCAGAACTAGAACTGACTTTAAGTTAGTTTGTTAATCTTGTAATTTCGTTTAAAAATAATTATTAAAAATGTAACTTTTAATATATTCTCAGCTGAATGAACCTTCAAATTAAGCAGTGGATCCTTTAAATTAAGCAGTGATTAAATTAAGTATTTACTATAAATTAAAGTAAGCATTTACTACAGATTAAAGTAAGCATTTACCACAAATTAAAGTAAGCATTTGCCACAAACTAAAGTAAGCATTTAGCACAAATTAAAGTAAGCATTTACTACAGCTTAAAGTAAGCATATACTACAGATTAAGTTAGCATTTATATACTTACAGCAAGAAATTAATAACCACCCATTTATTCTTCACAGTAAGAAAATAATCATGTAAGATTGAGTGTGTGCTCATTAATATGAAGTAATGGCCGCCTTACGTGTGTCTTAAATTCAACCCCACAAAAAAAAAAAAAAATCAAACAAATCAAATCAAATTTCAGAAGTTGGAGTTTGTAAGAAAATTCAAACTGTTAAATGAAACATTTTTTGTTAGCAATTAAATAAGATAATAAATTACTATAAATGATGATCGTGCATAGGTAAAGGTGTAACAGAGTGAAGGTGACAACAGTACTGAAAAGAAAATCATGCAGGAGGTTTACCTACCGTTTAGGATGAAAGAATTTCCAACAGACTATTATAAAATCATCTTTGTGTAATACTCATGTTTTTATTTAATAGCCACAAATAAATATTTGTGAAACATTTATTGTAATAAATAACAGCCCAGATTAGTACATCAATTTACTACTTCCCATAATTTTTTTCTTCTCTCTTTATAACTATTACTTTAACAGACTCAAACTAAAACAAAATTAATAAATCAGAGATACATAAGAGAAAAGCTTTCCAACCAGAGTTCATGGTATCAACTTGGCATGGTTAGCTGAAAAAGGTACTTTTCATCAGTCATCAAAATTTAAAATTTTACAGATGTTAAGTTTTGCCTTTGTCCTACACCAGTGTTTTAGATCAATAGGAAAACCCATATGCCATGTCTGAGTGAATAAATTACAAGGGCAAACATGCAGATATTGAGTTGACAAGGGCAAAAATAAGAAATTGTGGATCATCACGGCAAACCTACCTTTTTTGCTGGGATCAATATACTATATTACTATGTGAGGTAACAGCAACATGGATGCAGTCTTTATTACTTTGATCAAATAGTATTTTGTTAAAAAAAAATATCATCATTAATTTAAGCCAAGAGAAATTATTATTATTTTTTCATCGGAGGAAAAAGGGGGGGGGGGTGTCGTCGTTATTCTTTAATACTATTTAAGACAGTAGACAAATTTCATATTACTTCTCTTCATTACACTTTACTATTCCAAGGACCATTAAACCATCTGATTAACATAAATAAAGTCTTCCTACTGAGCTGATACGAACCTTGAAAAATTTCAGATCATTAAAAAATTGACCTACTTTACAACACTTACTTATATTTTACATTAATCTGACATAAGACCAAACCCAATTCCATGTGTACCATCGCCGTGGTTACCTTATAGTTGAGCATACACTGTTCCTCACAAATAGAGGTGATCACTTGGTTGACCTCCTCAGACATCTCCCGTAAGAACCAGTGGGCATACTGGACACTAGTGGTGCCGATGGAGTGGCGCTAATTGTAGCAATGAGTGGTGAAGGTGGCAATGAGGTTGTGATGACATAGGTAATACATTCTAGAAGTACAGATTTGTCTGGGTTTTACAATGATCAGCAAGATGTGACTAGTCTCAAGATAGTATCATAGGTGTTTTAGAGTAGATTTACAAGCAAAATGTGTCCGAAGTCAGAGGTTTAACAGAGGTTTAATATCATTTTATATATATATATATGTGAGAATTTCCATTGTCAGTTATATATTTATATATATGGATGAGCATATTTGATAAAGTATATATATATTTGTTTATATCTATCATTAGAATATTTCAATAAATAAAAAAAAAAGCCAGAAAGGTTATTTTATGAACATTGTGGTCAGACAGGAGACAAGTGTTGAAAGCCATACAAACAACAACAAAGGTAAAAAATTACATTTTAAACTACTGCAGCTTTGTCTTTTCAATAAAATATACCAAAATGCTTATTATTGTAAATATACTGCTTCAAATACCCTGGTAATGAAGTCAAAATCTAGACAAGTTTGTAACAGCTTTCCCAATGAAAAATAATAAAGAAAAATTATGAAACCTGATTATCTAAATAAGATTACTAATATTTTAAGTGGGAAAAAATGTGTCAAAGGTTATAATCTAGAAATAAAATTGTTCATCAATATGCAGTTATTTCAACTAAGAAAACTAGAAGTTAATAATACATATTTTGCGCTTCCCATAATTGCTTTTTGTTATGACCTATGCCCTTGCACAGTTTCCCCACATTTTGTGTTTTACTAAGCAGGAAATGTTGGGAGAGAAGCATTAAAAAAAAAGCACATTTCTACATTCAATGATAAATGTGTTGAAAATATTTGGCATACATTTGTGATGACCAAACAAATATACACTTTCAAATATGGTTAATATGAAACCAGGTGGTAATTTTTATTATTAGCTCAACTTAAATCAAATTGAGGGGCAACATAAGTCATTAAAAATTATAATTTTCCCTTGTTTCTTACACTAGCTTTCATCTATTTAAAGAAAAAAAAAGCTTTGCTGGTAGCTTAGAAAATAAAGAAAAGCAACTTTTAATAATGGATGGAGAAGGCAAGAGTCAGAAGTAAAATAAATATTGGATAAAATACTTGTTCATTGAAGGTCAAAAGCATTTATTTTCACTTTTTAAAAAAAAGTATCTAGCCTATTTCAGTGTCCTATAAATTCCAAGCGTACCTCTTCAGGACAGAGACTGTGAGTAGCATTCATGAAATGCCCACAAATCATGGGGAAGATAATGCTGTAGCGATGCTGGGCAAGGAACTCCATACACTGCTTGAACTGGTGCTCAAACAGAGTTGTGTAGAAACTGAGTGATAAATAAAAATAGGAAAAAGATTTTTGTACATGTAGACTATATACTATCTAATAAACAAGTGTGAGTCACTATGCTTAATTTTTTGAATGACTATTTCACTTTTTTTTTTAAATTTTGATTTACCTTGCAATCTTAATCAAATTGTTAACAAAAAGGGTTGAATTCCTTTACCAATAAATGGAAAGATCTCCTGTTTCATTGATCATCTCATCCAGGAAGTCCACCATTTTTGTGTGGAACACCACAGTGTTCATGTGTTTGGCAAGGTCCTGATGGTTCTTTAGTTCCAAACCTGCTTTGCTGACACTCGTGTAAGCCTGGGACAGAGCAATGATAATGACGCGGATGATAAGAAAACTATGGATTCTCAAGCAACACCATAATAACATTTAAAAAGCTTAATTTGATCTTAAATATCTTAAATACTAGCAATGCAATAAATGTTAATTTATTTAGAAAACATAATGAAAAAAAAAATCTCTTAAGATTTTAAATTGAAAAAGGGAAAGGCTAAAAGTGTTGGGTGGTGAGTATGAAAATCTTAATTCAAAATAATAATATAGAGAAGGAAATTATGTGTCTTACTTGAAGTCTAAACCAGTCCAGGCGAAAACCTCTAAAATCAAACAATTCATTCTTTTCAACTGAGGAGAGTAAGAAAACAAAACATATTTAAAAATTAGTATATTTATAAATAAATAGTTTGATTACTATAATGCTAAGGGTCCCATTATCATTAAGTAATTTTGTTGATACATTATATTTAAATGAAATTTTAAAAAATTCTAAGTATATTATAAATTGAAACTGTGTGTCATTAGTTGATAATTGTTAAAAAAAATGTAATAACTACAATTCTGTTGTCTTATCTTCACATTTATGATATGCTCTTCATTAATATTTTTTATTTCATTCCCACAAAACTTTATTTAATACATTTTATCTTTTCCATGCAAAACATCTAGCTTATTCAAATAAGTTTAAATATAATTAATATAATTATCATATCCTTAATACCTTGTCTGACAGAGAGAGCTGCAATGCTATTGTAGAATGATGATAAAATAATGGACTCATCCTCAGGACACATGGAGATGTTCTAAAAAAATAGATGATAAAAAATAAATGAATACAAGTTTAAAGTTTAAAAAAAATTTTTTTTTGTAATCATGAAAGAAATTCAAAGCTCAACACCTCTGAAATTGAAATATTTTTTAACATAAAACTCATTTATGATGATCAGGGGAATAAATAACCAATCCCTGACTTGATTTAAAAATAAATGGAAATGATTATCCATTTAGTACCTGAATGAGTTGGTTGAGATAAACAGCATCATAGCCAGATAAATATTGCACATAATAACGCTGTATAACCTCATTGTATTTCTTGACCAGACCTGGAACAAGGAGTTAATATTTCAAATCAATAAACAAAATTTTAAAGTCAATGGCATATTTAAAAAACATAAAGCAAATAACCATAATAATAATCATAGAAAACTAAGCTGACAATTATAGACAAAGAAGATATTTTTAAATAAAATCTTTATATCAGAAAATATCTGCTTTAATGTGATGAGGGATAATATATAATGTGATAAGCGGGATTCATCAATATTCTGTGTGAATAGTGCAGGATTTTTTTTGAGTATGAAGAAATGAGATCAGCTATTTGTAAAAATAACAACAGATTTTTAAAAAAAATCTCTTTTGTTTATTTTGAGCACTTTTTGTAAAAAAAAGTGCAAGTAATATATATGAAATTCAAGTTATAGAAGGGTTTCAGTTAAATAGTAAATAAATATATATATATATATATATATAAAGAGCTAAAACAAAATTATTATTATGGCAAATTAACAAAATAATACATCTTTTACTGATGCTTCTAAATGGCTTTGATTTAAAAGTTGTCATGAAGTTTTTCTTAATTAGAGACATTACCTCTCAACTCCTCCATGTAAAATAACAGCTCCGGAAGTTGTCTAGAGACACACAAAGCAATATTTGTGATTTAAGCAAAAAGAAATCACAATGTTAGAATCACTGACTCCCAGCTTCTCCATTTAGCAACTGACAAATCAACTCTTAGTTGCTAATTTTATCATTACAAAACCAAAATTAGAGAGAAGTAAAGAAATAAAATTAACAGAGATGGCTAAATCCTGCAGGGATATGAAAACATAAGTTTGAACACGAATCTCACAAAAATTTTAAAGGCAATAGCCATCTAACCTACCTATCATAGAAGTCTTCAGGAGACATCTTAACATTGTGTCGTTTTGATGGTGGGTTTACTACATGTCTTAGCAGCCAAAGCACCTCATCCCTTGCTAAAGAAAGGCCTTGGAAGATGTACATAGCCTGCAAGTTAATAGTCAATTTCATGAGATTTCTATTTTAAACACACCCCCCCCACTAAATTACAATTTAAAAAAACAAGTAAACAAAGACTAGCCATATTTTAGTGAAATAACAGGGGATATAAGAAGAAACAGATTATGGGGGGAAAAACGTGCCCTTGAAATCTAAAACTCCTTTGATTATGAAACAAATGAGTTACAAAACATTGTTGTGTAAAAATTTGATTTCAATTGAACACAGTGGTCTTACAATGGTCTTACAGTGGTCTTACAGTGGTCTTGCAGTGGTCTTACAGTGGTCTTACAATGGTCTTACAGTGGTCTTACAGTGGTCTTACAGTGGTCTTACAGTAGTCTTACAATGGTCTTACAATAGTCTTAGAATGGTCTTACAATGGTCTTACAGTGGTCTTACAGTGGTCTTACAGTGGTCTTACAGTGGTCTTACAATGATGTTACAGTGGTCTTACAATGGTCTTACAGTGGTCTTACAGTGGTCTTACAATGGTCTTACAATGCCTGATATGCACACAACTATTAGCATCTAACATCACCTTGGGGCCCAGTAATCCTGGCTCCTCTGTGAACACAAGGGTCAAGTCTCTGAGTGTGCTGCGTAGGAACTTGCGTCTTTCTCTATGCAAAGCAGGCCTTAACAAATAACAAGAATAGTTAGTCGAAAATCTTTGAAGTTTGTTGCACTTTTAATATGTTTTGCATATCTGAGGCTCATTTCAATCTAATTTTTATGAATTAATAATTTATAATTATATTTGTAAGATAACATGTATTTTGATAAGAGGAGAATTTGTACGGGAAAATAATGTACCTACTATTATTTCTCACTGCAGCATTTGTAAGTATGGGGAAGTTAATAAAAAACAGGGAGTGTAAAGAAATAAAATGCATGGTAAGAATATACATAATTATTTATAATATATAATAATTGTGTACAATTTTTTAAGATAAGTGCTTTACTTACGAGTTGGTTAAAGCCTGTAATTGGAAGTCTTTCAGCTCAGCAACTCTTTTATTTTGTCTGAAACAGAAATAGTTGTTTTCTTTATGACTCAAGCAAAATTAACCTTTAAAAATGTGTTTTTTTTTAATCTGTAGACCTGGGTACCCTGAAACTCCGAAAATAGTACAATATCATTTCAGAATAGTATTTAACCATCTCAAAATTGTACAATACTGTATCGTATTAATAAAGAAATTAAACTATTGGCAGGCATGTCAAAAAAAGGTCGATTACAAAAGTCTTTGAAAGACGAAGATGGGGTGGGAAGCAGAAATCAAAGAAGCCAGCCGAAGACCCCCGCGTGACAGTGGATCTAGGGAAGGGGCGGAGCCGATAAATTCAAAATACAGCGATGTACTTTTTTGTATATCTGAATACAGTTTTGCATTATTCTACACCTAATCGCAATGCTTGTTGAAAATTAGGTTCCCTCTACCTAGCTGTGTTTATATAAATCCTTTTTATTTTAGTAGTTACTAAATAGTAAAATTGTTTCATAATTTTTATTTAAGATTACTTATTTTTTCATTTCAATTAGTTTAAAAATGGGGCAAATATACTGAAATGGTGCGTACCATCACCAAAAAAATGATGTTTATATATATTCAAATGAATCTTATCTTTAATAGTATATACATATTTGTTCATAATTAGTAATTAATGCTATATGTTGAGCAGAGTTATATTATAATAAAATAAAAATAGTCTTCTTGTGGAATCCTGTTTAAAAAATAGCAATATCCTGTAAAGAACTATTGGTCTCCTATACGAACAGTAGAGCTGTATCAGCCACTTACCCCCTTAGGCTCTCAAAGAAACTAGTGATGTAACTGTGAGTGTGCAGCACCTCATTACGACACAAAGTGATGATATAGCTGCCTTGGAGTGCTTGCTTCCACAAGTCCCAGGCTTGTGCGTCTCCTAAGTTCTGATAGCACAGCATGAGGCCAACTATATGGACCAGGTAAAAAGAAAAAAAAATAACTCGGACGACATAAAATTAGATTATGTTAACTATGGTTAGACTGTGGATTAGGGTTAATTATAGACATTTTGGAAATAGATAATTTGACTGAACCATAAAGCAACTGCCTAAGTTAAACTAAGTTACATGTTAAATAGTGCTTTGGAAAAAATACAGCATACAATAAATCTAATGTATGTTGCGTCAATTACAAAATGAAAAAATAAACAGACAAAAAATTACTTTTGAAAACTATACGTTTATTTTTTAATTCAGAGTCCTCCAACCCATTTACTATTTTGCCCACTGGGGCAGTTTGGCTAATGACTTTATACTTACAAATGATCCATCTTTCCATAGCGTCCAGAGACAAGTATTCGCACTGGATCTGAAACATTGTCTTGTATATTAGTTATTAGGACATAGAAGCAGCATCAGTGAGCAAACACCTTTACAGCATATTTTAAATTAAAGAACAATATTAACTCTGCTATTCTGTTTTTTATTCAAGACTAAACTTTTATAGCTTTTCGATAATTATTTATTTCAATAATGACTTATGTGGACAAATGATTTAACTCTATGCCCTCCATTTTTACCCCAGACAAGCTGAAAACTTATGATAGACACCCACCATGTCAGTTACAGGTACAGTGGACATCTTTGCAGGCTCAGCAAGAATGGCAAGAATCTGTTGGTTTCTCATCATCTCAGCAGACACATTGCGCATAGGATAAACTTTATGAATGGACATGAGTGCTGGCATCAAGTGCTGGAAAAAAAGAAGGGTTGATTTAGGATTAGATCTCATTACGACAGCCACAGCGGGATCAGTGAAATGCTGTCCTACTATATTTGTACATTACAACAACCACAGCAGAATCATTGAAATACCACCATACTATATTTGTATATTACAGCAGCCACAGCAGGATCAGTGAAATGCTACCCTACTGCAATTTTACATTATAACAGCCACAGCAGAATCATTGAAATATTATCCCACTATATTTGTACAAAAAATGTGTTAGCTTTATAAATTTCATAGCAATGAATATGGTTCATTATTAAAGTGAAAACTAATCAAGTGGACTGGCACAAATTTAGAAAAATGAGATAATAATATTACAAACTATTTAAGATTTTTGAAGAGTAAAAGAGAGAAAGTATAGAAAAAAACTATTTATATACATATACATTGCTGTTCTTTATTTCATAAATGTATTTTATTTTAATGTCATGATTATGTCTCTTTTGATAAAATTTTTATGTACAGCGCGGTGACCCCAGCCCTAGGCTGGGGTACCGCGCTATATAAGACCTCTTATTATTATTATTATTATAAGTGTCATAGCAAACAGAGCAAATGAGACCAAATGTCAAAAGCAAGCCTTAAAACAACAGTAGCATGAAAGTAACAATATCCAACAAGTAGCTACGTAATCAAACAGGTGCCATGTTACATGAAGGTAATAAGTGAAAGTGGCCATGTTACATGAAGGTAATAAGTGAAAGTGGCCATGTTACATGAAGGTAATAAGTGAAAGTGGCCATGTTACACGAAGGTAATAACTGAAAGTTACCATGTCACATGAAAGTAATTAGAGAAAGTTACCATGTTTCATGAAGACAATAAGTGAAAGTTAACATGTCACATGAAGGTAATTAGAGAAAGTTACCATGTTACATGAAGGTAATAAGTGAAAGTTACCATATCACATGAAGGTAATTAGAGAAAGTTACCATGTTACATGAAGGTAATAAGTGAAAGTGGCCATGTTACATGAAGGTAATAAGTGAAAGTGGCCATGTTACATGAAGGTAATAACTATAAGTTACCATGTCACATGAAAGTAATTAGAGAAAGTTACCATGTTTCATGAAGATAATAAGTGAAAGTTACCATGTCACATGAAGATAATTAGAGAAAGTTACCATGTTACATGAAGGTAATAAGTGAAAGTTACCATGTCACATGAAGGTAATTAGAGAAAGTTACCATGGTAATGAAGGTAATAAGTGAAAGTGGCCATGTTACATGAAGATAATAAGTGAAAGTTACCATGTCACATGAAGGTAATAAGTGAAAGTAGATACAAACATCTCAGTAAAGCTTTTTAATGATCTTTCAGGAGCAGAAGTGAGCTAAAATTATCAATACTAGGGCATAACCAGGTGCAGTTTTTTTTTAAAACCGGGTCCAGGTATTTGTTTTCACTCAGTACTATTAATATCAATAATAAGAGGAAGCAGAATGCACCAGAAGCAAAAAATATATATATATATATGAGATTTGGACTTACCCTAGAGTGGGGCACAAACTCCTCAGCAAGTTTTTTCATTGGTGGATCATATTCTAGACACATCTGCCCTAATCTGTGGTATGATGGATCACTGTTGAAGAAAATTTACATTAGATTGTTCCGATGGAAATAATAATTTAGGTCAAGTGTAAAAACTAATACCATTCCCTTTGATTTGTTTATTTAAAAATCATCCTGGTCTTTTTTAAAATATGATTATTACTACTGGCATGTTATTTTATACAGCACAAGATAATTATCACATGTTCATTTGAAAGGTTAACTTTGGTTTCAAAGGGCAGACATTTTAATATGTTTAAATTTAAGTATTAAAAAAATTAATTTCTAAAATTTGATCACTGAAATGTACAAAGTAAATGACATATTGTGTAAAATATTGCATGTAAATAATTTGTGTTTCGTCTTGAACTGATGACTTTAAGAGTATGCACTTACTGTGGTATAATTTTTTACCTCTTTCCATTCATGAACTCAAACGCACAATTGTAGAGAGCAAGAACAATTTTGCGATCATCCACCTTCGACATCAGTATCATGATGGAGACATAAGTTGCAATAAGCTCCAGATAAGTCTTTGTAAGGTCAAAGTTCAAGGTCTGGAATAAAATAAATGAGTGAATCAGGAGGTTTTACTAAAAACATTTGTTGATGAAGTTAAATACTTAATAATAACATTACACACATGGCTTTAAATTCCTATATAAAGTATTATTTATTAAATTATTAACAACATTCATAGCGCTAAACAATATATGACTATACATTTGATACTTACTATGTCCATCTGTACCTGGCAAGCATCTATGGTTGTCAGTAGATCAACAATATGATCCTGAGACAAACAGATGAATTGGGAAATAAATATATACTTTATTATTATATTAAATTTTATGAAAAAAAATTTGTTAAATGCTAATCCATTAAGTAAAATAAGACATGAGTAGAAAGATTTCGTGAAAAGGAGAATGTCAATTTTAGTTGAATTTGTTGTACTCAATTTTAAGGGAAGTTACTTTAGAAATCTTTGGATAATTTAGGGGCACTCCTTGACTTTTTAGATATGTTTGTTACTTTGTCATTTAAACATTATAACCTTATTTTTTTTCCTTAAAAAATCAATCAAAGATCCATCAAAATTAATAGATAAAATTTCCCCACCATTGGAAGCTATGTGCTTATTTTCAGTCCTTAAGTCAAGTATGTAAGGGAACTTAGTTTAAAAAAAACAGCCACAAATTAGTCAAAATAGACAGATGAGCACTCCTTGCATCAAGTTAAATAAACTTAAGTTAGAATTTCCTCCATTGCTAATTTAATCCTAAAGAATACCTTTAATGTCAGTATATCAACAAAAGTGTGGTAGTACAATGATAGACCCTTGGCAATGTCTGCTTTCATCTGGTTTACCACAGTTAGCTGAAACACATTTTTCAAAGGCTCATGGTTAAGGGAGATCATACAAATTTTAGAAGGACAAGAGCTATCGAGTTAAACTATTTTTAAAAAAACAGGTCTAAAATGTTGGCCAGGCCAGCTACTCTTAAATAATTCCAATGTATGTTAACAATTATTTTTTAAAACCATAAATTTAGATGTTGGCCCATAAGTAGTGGCATTTAAAGTTAATAAATTAATAATATTTCACATTTGGCTAGAATTATTTTCATACCAGGATTTATTTTAATTTCAATATCAAATGTGGGAAAAAAATTGTATAAATAGGAAATAAAGGAACAAACCTGACTAGCTTTGCTATCGTACAGAGGAAACTTTTTAAGTAATACTTTCTCAATGGCAGGTTGAAGTGCTTTATCATTAAGAAATGAAGGTTTATTCTCTGCACTACCAAGCATCTATGATGTTTTGAAAGGATTTAAAATTATTTAAAATGTATAAAAGTAGAAAATTAGTGTAACAAATGCCGATAACTTTAAAATTATTTATACGTCATAATAAATGGCATACTTTTAATAGGGGTGTGCCGGACCCCGGTCCGGAATCCGGTTCCGCCGGATTTTGCACTATCCGGTGAAATCCGGTTCCGCCGGATTTACATGTATCCGGAACAACCGGATTCCGGAATATACCGGATTTCGGAATTTGCCAGATTTTGTGACTCACCGGATCATAATCTGAAATAAAAGTAATTCTCTTTCCCGAATTTCACACGATCACGATACATTAATCGATTGTTTCGAGCGTTGAGCTTGTTTAATGTTTAATATTCCGTACATACCAGAGGCTAGAGTCAGCACCGCTAATAGTGGCCAATAGTGTAGGGACTTTGATAAGAAAATTTAAACTTTTTGTAAAAATAAACCAATGGCATAGTTGAAAAGATGTAATTTTTTAAAGAATTATAACACCAAAATCATATTTTTAGCTGTTGTAGTTTTAAAGTTATGAATTTTTAAAGTACGACTTGGTTTGTCATTTTTTAACATGGACTGCATCTCCACATTCTGTGATCTCATTCCACCAATCCCGTCATGCGCAATGACTATATAGTTTATATAAGGCAACGCATTCCCTGCCTTATCACTAAAATACTGTTTAGACTTAGTTTAAACTTTCAACTTTGGCACATGAATAATTAATTAAAGCTTTCCCTGACCAATGGTTTAATAGTTTTTGCACACGGCAAACTCTTATGAATGAAACTCTGAGGTAGTACTACGATACAGTTATGCAAGTGGCTGTGAATGGTTGCCAATGACAACGTGTTGCACACGGTAAATTCTGATCATTTATAATATGGATTCTACCGGGTTGTTAAAGCTCAAATTAAAACATTCCAGTTTAAATGTCTTTAAATGCATTCTGAAACACAAGTTATCAATTATTTTGATGTAAATAGTGATAATAAATTAATATTTCCTAAGTATCGTCAACTTCCGCCATTAAAAAGGGGGGCGTGGCCAACCCCATGGCGAAATTAGGTTGAGCGAGCTGCATAACCTGCTGCGAACGCGTAGAAACATGGCGTCTCTCGTAAGACACTTATCCAAATGGAACGGAACTCAAATATATATCGAAAGTACTAATTTAATAATAAATAGACACACACATCGGAAAATTAAAAACTCGGATTTTTTGGCGCCGATTGCGAATTCCCATACACAAAAAGTAGTAGTCCACCTTGACTTACCGAAGTATCTACCAATAGTACCAAAATCCGGAATCCGGGAGAAACCGGAATCCGGATCCGGCGGATTTCGCATAAGAAAATCCGGATCCGGTTGGAAAAAACGGATCCGGCACACCCCTAACTTTTAAGAATGAAAGTCAATGGTAGGAGTAGTTCAAGAGAGCAGGTTGTACATATTTTCATCTGGATGGAAGATTAGACACTGCAATTTTTTTAATTTTTTTATAATACAGGTGCAGGTGCCAATGCTTTAAAATTGAAATGTTCTGTGCTTAGACTTTACTGATTCGAAGTGGCTATTCGTACCCACGTACAAGAAGTGAGAGGTTGGGTTTAAAAAACTATTTAAAATTTTATTTTGGGTTTGTAAGACCAAATGAGGTATCAAATGAAAGATAATTGAAAGGACTATATGTTTGTAAACTTACTTCTTCATTTTAACTAAAATAAACTACCACAAATGACATCCGAATAGCCTGTGACTAATGGTACCCGGGTGCGAATGGCGGCGATGCGTGTCTGGGTCCATTTTGACTCTGTGTTATTCGGATGTCATTTGTGGTAGTTTATTTTATTTAAACTGGAGAATTAAGTTTACAAACATATAGTTCATTCAATTATCTTTCATTTGATATCTCATTTTGTCTTACAAACCCAACAATAAAATTTTAAATCGTTATTTAATCCCAAACTCTCATTTCTTGTACCCGGGTACGAATAGTTGCAACCTTACTGATTTGAAAAAAACTTAGTACTGAAGTACCTCAATGACAAAAATGCTTTGACCAATCCTATTGTTCATTGGATGTAATTTTAATTCAATAGGCCTAACTGAATGTTAAAGCACTAGCTTTAAATAAATTAAAATAGAATTAGGCCTAAACTTTTTTGATGTGCTAATCTGGATGCTACATTGTGTGATTGAATGGACATTGATCTTAAGTAGCTCTGGAACACACTGAAGCTTGATGGTTATCGAAATGCAAAAGTCTTTTCAAAAGCATTTTAGCTTTGGAACTGACGGAAACAAACTAGTGGACTTACTTAGGACCAAATAAGCAAAATATGACACAAGTTATCCTATATGTAAGTTGGATGGCAGCATTCAATAAAGTTAAAATTAAAACAAAAATTTAGCTGGCTAGTTCAATTAGTAATTAAATGAGACAATATAAAACCCAATAATCATATTCCAGATCACAAAATTCACAATGACACTGATAAAAGCTGACAAATTCATTTTCAAAAAATAAGTTTAAAATTTCGGTAAGTATTATTTTGGCAAATTTAATTATAATCCCAAAATTCCACTTTCATTTTAGCATCTATTAATGAATAATTTTCAAGATACAAAATCAAAGATCAAAATTAGTATTTCAATTTCAACATTTAAAAAAAAAAATTAATTAGCCACAATGGCTTTCAATGGCTTGGTATGCTTGTAATTAGGTTTTGTAGTGTTGCGTTTGTTTTAAATGAGGTAAATTATAGATTTGTTTTTTGTTGACTTTGTACCGCGCTTCGAGCCTTTGGGGATGAAGCCTGTTTTTGAAATAAACTTTATTACTATTATTATTAAAACAATACTTTAACAAAAGCTATGTCAAAATTGACACATTTTTTACATTAAAAACAGGTTTGGATTTAGACACTATACTATTAGTATTAGTATTGTGAAAACCCTTATAATTGTGACAATGTATAATAAATTATATAACGGATGCTAGACTTAATAAACAGAACATCCATATTGCATTTAATAATAATCATTACATAGCTAGAAAAGTTATAATTTATTTATATTTCAAGTGCATAATTTTGTTAGCAGTAATTTGTAATTTTAAAATTAGAAATTTTAATACATAGCCATGAATATGAAATGATCTGATTCTGATATGAATTAAAATTAAGCCTTAAAAATTAAAAAAGCCTTAATAAAGTGTCTAAATAAAGACTAGAGCCTAAAGTTAGATACTCCGCCGAAGCAAGGGACACTCCTAGAAAGTTTGTATCGGAAATGGGCGTCGGCGAAATAGAATCCGAGTTTTTAATTTTTTCATGTGCATGTAATTTGAATAAATTAGGAGTACTTTTGGCCCATAATTAAGGTTTGACTCCGCCCATTAACGTTACGAGAAATGTTGAACTCCATTCCCATTGAGTTAATTTGTTCTTTATCTCAACTTTAAGTGAGGAAAATCGTATGTCAAAATAAGGCATCTTCGAATTAAAAAATTCGGTCTAAATATTCAAAGTAGGTCTTTCATATTAAAAGTAGACCTGCATAATATGTTGAAGTACACGTGTGCATAATTTCAATGGGGTAGCTCATGAAACATTTTCACAATTCTCCTCTACGTTGACCTCGTTATGCAAAGGTCGCACAAGCCATATTGGATTAGTGATCCCGCCCCCTTTTAAATAGCGGAAAATGCCGATACTTAGCTAAGGAAACATTAATTATTACCTCTATATACATCAAAATATTTGACAACTTGTGTTTCAGAATGTATTTTGAAGACATTTAAACTAGAATGTTTAAATTTGAGGTTTAAAAATCCGGTAGAGTCCATATTATTAACTATCAGAATTGACAGTGTGCAAAAAGTCATGGGAAACCATTCACAGCCATTTGCTTATGCTATGCCATAGTACTACCTCAAGTTTCATTCATAAGAGTTTGCCGCGTGCAAAAACTATTAACATCATTGGTCAGGGAAAGCTTTAGTTAATTAGTCATGTGCCAAAGTTGAAAGTTCAAAATAAGTAGATCCCATACAATATTTTAAGGGGTGCGTTGTCTTATATTGACTATATAGCATATACCGATATAATGGACGCTGTAGATTTAGTAAACAGAAAAGCCATATATTATTTTGAATTTATTGTTATACATAGTGCATAGTTAGATAAACTATAATTTATATATAATTGTATAACATTATTAAAATTATTTGTTAACACAGAATTAGTTCTGAATCACATAAAATTATTATTAAACCGAGAGTTATATAGCTCGTGACGCGAACAGCGGAATTGGGTCACAGAATTTGGAGGTGCAGTCCATGTTTGTTAAAAAATGACAAACCAAGTCGTACTTTAAAAATTCATAACTTTAAAACTACAATAGCTAAATTATGATTTTAGTTTTAAAATTCTGTTAAAAATTAGCTCTATTCAACTATCCCATTAGTTTATTTTTACACAAAGTTTGAATTTTCTTATCAAAGTACCTACCTAAAGTAGATACTTCGATGAAACAAGGGAGACTACTATTTTTTTGTATCGGAAATGGGCGTCGGCGCGAAAAATCCGAGTTTTTAATTTTCCGATGTGTGTGTCTATTTATTATTAAATTAGTTCTTTCCACATATATTTGAGTTCCGTTTCCGGCCTTATAATTTGGAAGACATCTTGGCCTACATTTCTAGCCAGCTATTTTGCTTTTTTCAATCGACCTTTATTTTGAAAATCTTTGGTATATATAAGGCATCTTCGCATACAAAATTTTTTGTGAAATAATAAGATAAGGTCCTTTTTGATTAAATCTGTATGAGCATTAGATATTGATCTATATCTGTGCCAAGTTTCATTGATGTAGGTCGTGTCTCACGTTTGTTACACTTGTCACAGTGACCCATATCACCATAAGGTGGCTCAGCCTAATTTCGACATGGCGTGGGCCACGCCCCCTTTTTAATGGCGGAAGTTGCCGATACTTAGGAAATATTTAATTATTACCACTATATACATCAAAATATTTTATATTTTGTGTTTCAGAATGCATTTTGAAGACATTTAAACTGGAAATGTTTTAATTTGAGCTTTAAAAACCCTGCAGAGTCCATATTATAAATGATCAGAATTTTCCCTGTGCAACACGTTGTCATTGGCAACCATTCACAGCCACTTGCATAACGGCTACGTCGTAGTACTATCTCAGAGTTTCATTCATAAGAGTTTGCCGTGTGCAAAAGCTATTAAACCATTGGTCAGGGAAAGCTTTTATTAATTATTCATGTGCCAAAGTTGAAAGTTTAAAATAAGTCGACCCTAAACAGTATTTTAGTGATAGGGAATGCGTTGCCTTATATAAACTATATAGTCATTGCGCATGACGCGATCAGTGGATTGAGGTCACAGAATGTGGAGATGCAGTCCATGTTAAAAAATGACAAACCAAGTCGTACTTTAAAAATTCATAACTTTAAAACTACAACAGCTAAAAATATGATTTTGGTGTTATAATTCTGTTTAAAATTAGCTCTATTCAACTGTGCCATTGATTTATTTTTTAAAAATGTTTACATTTTTGACCAAAGTATCTACCTAAAGTGCCTAAAGTCTCTAAAGTCTAAAGCTAGAGAAATTTGATTCTCGAGTATGTTTCATTTTTTTATATGAAGAAGTTCGCTCAATATAACAGTAGTAGTTTTATAATTTCTGTATGCTTTTTACCGAAGTACCTATAAATACAACTCATAATCACAATGATTTATTTGTGACAATTTGTTTATTTTTTTAAATTTAAATCAACGAACCTTTTTTATATTGTAAATCCGCGTCAGCATGCCTGTACCCCTGTCATTTAAAATAGTCAACTTCTCTGCCAACTTTTGTTGGGCTGGCATCATGCTTCGTGCCATTTTTAGTATTTTTTACAGCCCAATATGATACTGTCCTACGGATGCATACAATATTCAATTATCTTGATCTCTTCCTGACTCAGACAGACGCCATTTTCTTTGCTATTGAAAGCAGTAGAAAATAACCCTTAGGAGCAATGGGAAATAACTCTTAAACAGCTGTGACCAAAAAAAAATAATTATTTACATACGCTCATTCATCGTCAATTCATATAATTCTCTATATATGAAAGAAAGTATGGGGTAATGGTAAATTCAATGGCGTGCAAAATAAAATTTCCGAAACCTGCAATAGTGTTAGTGCATGTCATTAAAGATGCACAATATTGATCTTCTTCTTCTCTTCTATGTCTATATCTTAAGGGCCCACGATCAATTTATTGATCATTTTGGCTCCTATGCATGTATATGGGATTTGCAATGTTTCTGTTACTGGTGGTGATGAGGAAATTATGCACTAGGGGTTTGAAGGCTTGAGGCAATAGACACAAATGATCTGTACTCAATCGTTTACATATTAATATTAATATTATAATTTCTTTTATATAATTTATAATAATTTTATTAATTTTATTATACTTATAAGTATGTAAATTGTAAATTTAATGTAACAAATAACATACTTATACATTACGTATACAGTATACACATTTTCTTCTGCACATCATTTACAAGATTGCAATCAGTATCAGTATTGCAAGCTTTCTATTATATATTATTATTAGTGGTGTTTGTCTTCTACTACACATCAGTAATGCAATCTGTTGTGCATATTGCCTTCTCCTACATGTCATTGAACATGCACATAATTAGTATCATATTTGTATCCCTTCTCCTACCATACACATTGTTGAAAATAAACACAGTCAGTAGTGTAAGCCTTCTCCTGTTTTAGTTCATCTATCAAAAAGCCATCATGACCATTCTAAACATTGGATTGGTGTCTGTGGGTGTGTATATGGTTGATCAGGCGCATTCTGACATGAAAATTACCTGTGCAGAAGGTGCAGGGGATGGATGGGACAACTCCAGGTACAGAGTTAACTCTGACTTTTCTGGTATATCTTTTGTGCTTTGCATTGAGCCTTTGTATAGGGAAGACTCTTTAAAGATGCTTTCAGAAGACTACTCCTACACATAATGCCTTCTACTAACTATCACACATATTCTGTTGAGGGTTTGAGACTGCTCTCTTAAAAATCCTGGCTAGTTCTTTGGCAACAAGCTCTATCTATATCTGTTGTTGAGTTGTGCCATATAACATTGCCTTCAGATAGGGCTCTCTCACCTGAAACATCTAGTGAGGGACATTCAGTCCAACAGATACGCCAGGTTTTCTAGAACCAGGCTACAATGCCGGCAGGTTAAGTACCTGTTGTCTGCTACTCTGGCAAAGGTCCGTCATGATGGTTTAGACTTTGCAGAATGAAATCACAAGGCCTTGGATTAATTTTTAGAAGTATAAGCTGGTTCACTACACAGAACATCACCCCTCACAGCTAATCGCCCCTCTCAATGCACCCAGATAACAAAACGGAGTACTATAAGTGGATTATAAAACTTGGCACCAGCAGTGTCGCAGGAGTTGTGGGAATTTTTCATTATGTGAATTTTATCCGCCTTTGAATTCAGAGTTTCCATCTCTTAAATGAGTTGCCAGGGCTCACTGCACTGTACATACAATTTAACAAACAACCATGAACTTAAAAAATTAATATACATTAATGAAATTAAAAACAGCTGTATAAAAACAAAACAAATGTATATTCATAATTCACTCCACCCATTCCAGAACTATTTACATGTCAAATCATGGACGGCGGCCAGCAGCATTGTTTATCGGTTAGAGGGGGGAAATCATTTAGGATAGTAGAGTTTAAAGAGATGTGGTTTGAGTGCAGTTTTGAAGGCCTGGATGGTCGGTGTATTGTGTATGTGTAGTGGAAGAGAATTCCATTCCTTGGGGGCACAGAAAGAGAAAGATCGTTCACCGTATGTTTTTGTGCGTGTCTTGGGAGCATAAAGAATATGCGTGTCTGCGGAAGAGTGAAGCTATCGAAGGGGTGAATAGACAGAGAGAAGTTTGGTGAGCAGAAATTCGAGAAAAAGTTGTGGCAGAGAACAGAGAGTTTGTAGTCGATTTGTGCTTGTACAGGGAGCCAACGTAGTGAATGAAGTAGTGATGTGACGTGATCACGTTTTTTGCCTTTAAAACTAGCCTAGCAGCTGAGTTTTGAACCTTTTGTAATTTTTCTATGAAGTGTTTTGGTGAGCCTGACAGAAGAGAGTTGCATAGTCAAGACGAGAGAGAACAAGAGCATAGACTAGGGTTTTTGTTGCATTAACTATGAGGTATTGGCGGATGGATCTGATCTGACGGCTGACGGATAGCGGTGTATGCAGAGCGACAAATGTGAGAGATATGATTATCGAGAGACATGTTGTTAGACAGAATATAACCAAGATTCCTAGCGGAGGATGTAAACTGTATGTCGGTCTTACCGACTTGAAATGAGGTGGGTAGAGCTGAGTTAGAGGATGATTTGTGATTGTGAATAAGGAGTATATTGAAGATACTATGAATATATTATGCTCTACATTGTAAAAAATAACTACACAAGTAAACAAATTCAAATACATTATATAGAAACCAAAATGACAGATTTCAGGAGATGTAGGAGAAATAAATCTATCATAATTATTTTGGATAACGTAGTTTGTTTTCATCTGAGGAGTTATAAAGTACTGAGCAGTAACATATTTTTTTTTGTTGCTTTCATCATCTTCTAAGCTAAATTTATTGAGAAAAGTAACAGATCTCAAATAGTTTTAATTGCATCAAAATGTTACCTTATTCTTCTTTCTTTTAGGAAAAATTTATTATTTCCAAACTTTTAAGATCTAGTTTGAAATTGAGCAAACGTTTGTTTGCACTACAAGAATGTGACTTCACAATATCCTCTGTATTTAGTCTCATGTTAAAATGAGACATTTTTTAAATTAGGGACCTTTGTAGGCTCTTACTTACTTAGTACCGGGTATTAAGTGATGAAACACTTTTTTTGGCTTTATGAAAAGCCAGTAAAAATTAACAACTGTGCACAAATCGATCATAACAAAACGTAATTAATATAACAAGATTAGGCTACCGGTATGTTACAAGAGAGAGGCTAAACTAAGGGGCCAGTTATAAAATAACAAGATGTTTGGTCTGCTTGCAATGAGTCTTTTTAGAAAACATCATAAATATTCTACTTTCAGCATATTTTTCATGCAGCTTAAAAAGCTGCAATATTTTTTTGTTGGACTGTAAAGGACGTGTGTACAAATAATGAGGAACAAATGTTTTTTGTTTAAATTATAACCTGAAAATAATGCAATAAATAATTTATGATTCTTATACATCAACAAAACTTTTTAAATCAATTATGCCTTTAAAAAAGAATGATTTCTAACACAGCAACCAACAACAACTCAAAAAACATGCTTTACACTTAGATCTTTTGTGAGTAAATATTTTCTTGTCAATACATTTTTAAAAATTGTTTGAGGAATTAAAGAAGCATTAGATCATTTATCTTTCTTATCAAAGTTAAGCATTCATTAATCTATCACTATAATTATAAGACACAACAGCAGCTCATCAAACAGTTAGACTGGATCCCTGCCCCACCTTCCCATGCAGTCTTGAACCAGACACATCAGCAGCTCATCAAACAGTTAGACTGGATCCCTACCCCACCTTCCTTCCACCCCACCTTCCTTCCACCCCATGCAGTCTTGAACCACACACAACAGCAGCTCATCAATGCCCCACCTTCCTTCCTCCCCAAGCAGTCTGATCCAGGACCCTGTGGTCAATGGCCGGTGAGTCTTCATCCTCTGAAATTTTGTCCATGTCTTGGCCCCCTCCACTTGACCCACTTTCATAGCAGGTCATTTGTTAATTGCATTCCGCTTTGACCCTTGTCAACAGACATAGGAGTTATCTGTTCTTGGGTGCGTTACAGAGCTTCCATAAAGTCTTCCTGTGCTGAAGCTTACTTAAAAATAAGTAAAAGTGCGTTTTGCACTTATAAATATAAATGTTAAAAACCTCACCCTGATTTTTTGCTGTTATAGCGCAACTAACCATGTTACCTTGAATAAATAAGCTTGCATGATCTTGAAAAAGTTCATGACCCCATTGCAGATAATGCAGATAGTGGCAATACCCATTAGCTGGAGCTGTTAACGGTATATTAAAAATTGTCTGCTTAGGAAAATTGTACTTTTTAAATTTCTTACTTTTGGAATCCTTACTTTGACTTTGAGCAAATATAAAATAGAAATCTTAAGTATATTTTTTCAATACAATGCCTCAATTTTTCATATTTTTCTTTAAGATTTAAGCTTTAATTATTATTTTTAAAAAAATTATAAAAAAATTGATTATACTTTGCTTTAAATTCCACAAATGAAAATAAATTTATAAAAATTAAGTCACCTTTGTAGTTTTTTTCTTGCCCTTATAGTTATTGTGATTTTTTATAAAAAATTATGAGTCAACAAAAATCTTAGCTCTGAAATATCTCTTTACTTACAGTTTAAGAAATGTGAAACAAAGTTACTTCCCAGGGAACATAGCTGGTGATTTGATGAGCGATTCACCAGCCAGCCCATAGACTACAGTTTCCCACATCTCTCCTCCCCCTCTTGATGAATCCTTGGGCTAAATGTTCACAGTGATGTCAAGGACATGCTTGGCTATATTGGTTTGGTAACTAATAGGACAAAAACCAGGTTACAGCTTGCTTGGCTCTATTGGTAACTAATAGGACTTTCAGGTTGCTTGTCATAATGCTTAAAACTACACATTTAGAATAAAAGCTCCCTTGAGCATATCAGATATAATTCCTCAGACAGGCACTGCAGAGAAACCTACAAGTGAAAAGAGAATGTGGGAGGCCCAAGTTCATGTGGGGGCCTGAATGTTTATTGAGGTAATAATAATCAAATAACACATCTATGACTCTAATGCACAAAAATTGATTGCTTATAGTGTGCCATCCATTGAGGGTAAAATAAAGCAAACAATCCTTTTAAGACAGGACTGACATTCCTTGGAGATAGGGTCAAGCACCAGGAGGCATCCAAGACTGAATGAATAATAGCTGACCAATCATTACACAGAGACTCTTCTATGGCTAGGGTCGACTCCTAATGTAAATGTTTAATGCCAAGTTAACCCCATTACACGAGAGTTGGCAATGCATACATTTTTAATTATTCAAGTTCAAGTGGTCTGGTCCTTGAAAAAATTATATTCTACCACTATCAAGTATGTGACTTATGTAACATTGGCATTAGGATATAGACAAAATGCCTCAGGTGAAGTAGGGATTTGATCAAATCTAAAATGTCAGCTATGAAAGGATTACAGGCAATTTTGTAGCTTTTGTAAAATATGAGAGTTTTTGAACATAGTCTCTGAACTATACCTGAGAGTGAGAGTAAAATACACATAAAATAATATCTAGGATAGAATATTTTTAGAAAATTTTGATCATTTAGAGGAATTTTATAAATGTTTATGACAGCTTCATGGCAACATGTTAGAAGATGAAACATGCCTGAAAAGTTGAACTCATAAAGAATGTTTGAAACATTTAAGCTGTTAATTCCCAAAGCTCCAGTCTAATCACATCTAATTCCAGTATGGTAAATAAAAAGTTGTTAAAACATTGGTTTGAGACCTGCCTAACATTTTCATTTTTGAAGACTTCTGGAAAATTTCTGATATTGCTTTTATAAAAAAAAGACCACATAATAATGAAGTAGGGGTGGATCAAATGTAGAAAAACTGTGCAGAACTTATAAAAAAATAAGCCAAAGAAACTGAATGTAGGTATGATGGATGCACAGCTCTTTATTTATTTGGGGGCGGCGTGAGATTTCTCAGGGTTGGGCAATAGGGAGTAATTCTCAGAGTTTGACTTGATAGATGAGATGCTCGAATTTCTGTCCACAGTTATAGCTGAGAAGCTTGACTTTCTGTCCAGAGTTAAAGTCTATGTCATTGTAACTTGCTCACTCAAAATTTTTAATATATTTCTGGGATAGCTAAGTGAGAGTCCTTTGAAACGCACGACAAAATAATGGCATTAACAATGCAATATTAGCTAAATTTAAAATGTGAATTTTTTTTATATGATGTCTATTGGAGTACATGACTAAATGACATTTTTGGGAGCCACACAGACTGTAATTGAAACTTTCAGTGAAAGGAACCATTAAACAAAATTAGACAAATTTCACATTACATTCACATCATTGTTTACATTACAGAGTGTAAAATGATAATAAAGAGCTGTGAGATGGAAATAATGGATTCAACACTGAATGGGGACGCTTGAAAGATAAAGACAGGACAATAATTATACTTAAACAACCCCTAAAAACAAAGTTTTTCATATAAACCATTTAAATGCATTTTTTACAATTTTATTTTTTATTAATATTCTAACGTTCCACCTGCTTTTACACCGCATATTTAATTCACCAATTATTTCAGAAAAAGAAAATAAAATATTACACACCAAACGCACTTGCAATATTTTTACTAATTTTATTTCGTGAAATCAGTATCATATTTCTTCATCTCCCATTGAAGAACAGGAAAAACTGATTTTTTTTTTTTTTGGGGGGGGGGGGTGAACGAGTCTATGTGCCAAGATTCAACTCAATAGGTGGATGGTAAGTGGGTCAATTAGCCATCTGAAGATTTTTGCCACAGCATCTCATCTATCAAGTCAAACTCTGAGAATTACTCCCTATTGCTAGAAAAAACGCGAACAAAAGTTAGATAAAGAATTTATAAAGATAAAATTTTTGATAAGACTAGGATAAGAGCCTTCTGCAGGAGAAAGTACAAAAGAAGAAACAATAAGATTTATTAGAAATGGTAATAGAAAACAGTTTTAAAAAATTAAGAATGTCCCTTAACAACTAGTAAGTCTTAGTAAGCATTCCTATGCCTATACTTAATCATTTTGATATTTAAATTTTCCAAGTTTTCTATCTCATTAAAATCATTGGTTAGATGTCAATGGGATGACTTTGATTCCCATGCCCATGCCATGGCCATGGCCATATCACTTCAAATATTTGTCAGATTCAGATTATTTAAATTATTATTATTAATTATTGCATTAAAATTCAAGGAATATTTAGTTTGGTTTCTAAAGTTTCTTCTACCATTGCCTCAAGGTCTAGTATGACTGCCTCTGTTTATTTGATACCCATACTAAAACTAATAAATTTGCGGGCTTTTAGATGCTCTGTTAGGGCACCAGGATCTGAGAAGGAGTAGGAGAAATAGAGGTTCACAATTTTTCGATAAGGTTTTTTTAGCAATAGACATTGTAAGCAAGCGGCAAGAGTAACCTACCTTTTGTTTTGATGTTTAGGAAGTAGGAAGTAAATTGGCGTCAAATAGAAAAGCTAATAAAACTTTAGATTATGTGAATTAAGAATAGGGGTAGAATAACAATTAGTATTAAAATGGCACAAGCTGCTATACCATCTCAACAGAGATTAGCTGAAAAGCTGACTATTCTCAATGACTCTGGAATAGGAATGCTAAATAGACTTTTTAACATAAAAAAGGTAGGCCGGCTACCGTTGCCGTTATTACACTGAGGCCAGGGCATATACTCGCGACTGTAGGTCGCACCAGTGGATAGGCTGCACCCTTAATTTGGGATTGGTAAAGTAATTAATTGTGGTTAACCACTTTCCATCAATCTGAAATTAAATCTCAAAAGCAAATCCTAAATTAGGTGATCTCTTTTACTTTTAATAAGCATAAATAACAGATTGCCCTCTGCTAAAAAAAAAAAAAAAGTGGGGGGTGGAAGATTTGTTTTCTCCCTAACTCTGACAGCTTGATCTCAGGTGCGGTGGTTGTTTAAGGTATGCTATCCAATATACTTGGATATGCTTGTTCATACTACCATTTACTACAGATCCATGACATGCAGTGGGTCACACCCCTTATTTAACTTATTTATGTCAGATTTTATCTTTTTAAAAGAGCAATATGTGAGTACATACTGCGGTTACTCACTAAGACTAAGATACTAAAATACTACAAAGGGTCAAAGACTTAAAGCCTAAATTGTTAAATAAATACACAGAAGAATAAAAAAAAAAGAGCTGGAATGGAATTAACTTTAAAAAAAAATATTTTAATGTTATCCTTCAATCTTTACCCTTATAATATTCAATTCAGTGGGACTAGGTAGCAAAACTTAATCACTTATATAGCAAGCCTATTAAAAATGCTTTTTTGTCACATGATGTAATAAACTGTTTCAATACTCAATGTCTCCTTGAATTATTGAAACTTTTTTACCTTAGGTAAAATTTGTAGAATGCTACAAATTTACTCATGATTATTATTTATAATTAAGTATTCAAAAGTAAAATGATTTAATGCTTTTTCTGTGTCCATTGCTAGGTGAGACTTAAATTCTGTTTTATTTTCTCATTTAGATGCTTGGGACCATGGAATTTAAGCCAAATCTTTTAAAAGATAAAAACATACTTGCTGTGACAGAGAAGGTCTATCTTAAAAAGTTCCCTTTGTATGACAACAAAGCTCCTCAGGTTAGTGTCATAAAATGTAACCCTAGATAAGGGGCCATCCATAACTGACGTCATGCACCGGGGGGGGGGGCAGCTTTTTGTGATGATATGGGGGGGGGGGGGGCTCACGCAATGTGACGTTACATGAAAGTGGAATATCGTAGTAAAGACCTGCACTTAATAACCCTAAATTACAGACATTTTTAACATTATTCTTTTATACAACAATTATTTCATTTTTCAACTACTATCACTGAGAGAATCAGGACAGGTATGGATGGTCTGAAAATGGCCTCTAATCAAGTTACAGAACACCACGGATGAGGAGAATCGGGATGTAGTTACAATGAGAGTCATGAAAATATAAGGCTAAATGTTGACATGGGAGCCATAGAATTAGGACTACCACTTGAAGTGGGATGGAACTGAAAAAAAATGTTTCACTGTTTTGGGCGGGGGGGGGGGGGATCTTTGGAAATTCTTTTGGGGAGGGGTTTCTTACCCCCGTTTTTAAAATTCCCCCCCCCAACCGTATAAATTATATTGTAATAAAATTAAAATTAATTTAAATTGGATGGAACTGAAAAAAAATGTTTCACTGTTTTGGGCGGGGGGGGGGTATCTTAGTAAATGCTCTAGGGCAGGGATTCCTAACCTCTGTTTTAAACATCCCCCCCCCCAACCGTATAAATTATATTGTAATAAAATTAAAATTAATTTAAATGATTTAGATATCGGAGTTTTATTTCTTTAATTAACTTTTGATAAACAAGGGAAAAAAATTACCAATAAAAGCAAGTGCCAATGGCGCCAACAAAATTCACCAGCAAAACATTTACTGCTGCTAATCAAAATGCATAAAAAATTATTTTGTAAAAAAAAGCAGGAACAAGTCGCTAGGAAGCAAATACAATCAGTGGCATAGCTAGGGTTGGTGTCACACAGTCCGGTAAGCTCGTGTTGTCAACCCCCCCCCTTAACTTCCACGATGTAATTCTTCTTGTTAAACTTGGTCCACAGCATAACAAATACAAGAACAAAAACAAATTAATTGAAAGTCAGGAGGTAAATATATTTAAAAGCTGTGACATGTACTAGAATCGCCCATTTTTATCAAAGGATAGCTTTATTTCTCAGAATTTAGATAAATATAGCTTCCTGTCCCTTACAAAAGTTAACAAACACTTCATTCGGCATTGAAAAATGGTCAAAACGGTGTGTTTCTGACCTAATAATATGGTGACCTAATTGCTGACGCATCTACCTTGAAATTTTAATAAAAAAGGGATTTTGATTGGTTACATGGGTGGAAAATGTATGTGTCATTTGTTATCATTTTATGAATTTTGGTTAGACCGAGCAGTGTGTGCTCTGTAAATACGCAATTTTTCAATTTGGTGTCACCTCCTGAGATGGTGTCACTCGGTGCAGTCAGGACCCCCTAGCTACGCCACTGAACTACAATTTTCTGGTCTTCCACACCTCAGGGTTGGGAAGGTACTTTTACCCCTGGTTAAGAACCATTGTTCTGGTGAAATGTTTCTGACACAGGTGCAGTAATTTGATATCCACGGGAAGTGAATTTCTTAAGGGTTTGTAAAGGACAGTAGGGGACACAGGGACTTTTTATAAGGGAGTGGGGGGGTTTTACAGAGATTTGTGACATTATATTTAAAGGGGGGGATCTTTCTTTTTGTGATGATTTTTGATGATGGGGGGACAAGAAGGGGGGGGAGGGGGGTTAATAAATCAGCAAAATTTGTGTGACGTCATTTATGGATGGCCCCTTACTTTGTTTTAGCAAACGTAATAATCTCTATGATAAAGCAATATTGAAACTAATATTCATGGATGCCAGGTTTATTTTAAATATAGGACAAAAATGAATTTACAATATTATTATTGAATTTTATATTTCAGTTATCAGTTATATCACAGATGAAGGAAGAAATCCTTAAAGATTTATCTCTTTTCTATCTTACACTGGTGGATGTTCTAATGCTTAAGGTAATAAACTATTAATTTATGGTAGTGTGTTTCTTTCTAAAAGGTGTTAATATTTTCATTAATTTATGAACAATGTCAACATGATGTTTGAAATTTTCTATTGATTTGTTTAAATGAGTTCCTGTTTCGTCCTTTAAGATATTTGAGCCTTAATTTAATCAAATAGAGATTTTATTATATATAACAATATTCTCAAAAGATTATTTAGGATTGTCATGCAGAAATTAAGTTGCAAAAGCTTATGAATAATTGTAATACAGCTTTATTAAAATTATTAATAATTTCAGGATCATATTGTTGAACTTTTGAACACTTTTGATGCCTGCCAAGTTCAACTGGATATTGTAAGACATCATTAAATGACTTAAAAAATATATTGCATACATATATCATTGTTTCATTTATCTCTTACATTTACTTTTGATAGACATTTTTATTTTACATTTAAAAAAAAAAAACCTTTATGTTTTTAAAACAGCAGTTGATATTTTGCAACCTTTTCTAAAAATGTGTAAGTCATAAAATAATGCTTTGATTTATATGATTATTTTACAGGGAGTAAATTATGACTTGACAAAAGGCTATCTGGATCTCATAACCACCTATGTGACTATTATGATAATAATATCACAAATAGATGACCGCAAAGCAGTACTAGCTCTCTATAATAATGCTTATGAATTCAAGAATGAAAAGAGGTAGCCTACATTGCATTGTTGTCTTCAATAAAGTTAATTATGATAAGTATTGTTAATTTTTAAAACAACTGATAAAAAAAGTATGTTAAGTAAAACTGATAGTAACTTTTAGTTGAAATATGATTTCAATTACTTTTTCATTTCAATGTCCTTCTACCCTTATAGTGAGTCCTCATATCATCGCCTCGGTCAAATGTTTTTAGAATATGATCCTCCAATGAAGAAACTGGCAGAAGAATTTGTACCACATTCAAGAGTAAGCCTATAAAATCATTCATAAGTCTGTTAGTTGCACTTCTTGTTTATTCTGAAATTATTTTAGAATTAATTAGGAAACTCAGACAAAAACTTTGTTTTTTTTAAATATTTTTATAGTGTTTATTTAAATTTTTAATTTATTGTTTTTTAAATTTTTTTTTACAGCAATTACTTCCTGCTTTATTGTCACTACAAAAAGTTTATCCAAAGAAAATTTTTTCTGCTGAAAATCTCAGGAAGTACAATATTCTGGCCATTTTTACAGAACCTACCAAGTTGGCCATCATTCCTGACCCAGAAACAGTAAGCATACATTTTAAAAGGGGTGATTAATTTTGGGCGCCTCAAAATTGTTTAAAATATATCGATTTACAGTAATAAAAATGTACCATGGAGAGCGTTTTTTTAAAAAATGGTTTGATATAAAAACATTGTAAAGACATTTACTTGGAAAAAAAATGAATATTTTAAAATTTAATATTTGATTTGATAAAGTTACCCTTTTTGAGAGAAACAATACTGTTAAAAGGGCCAAGAGCTAAACCAAAGAAGTCAAAGCATTTAATGTAATACAACTACAGTGATCGCATCAGGACTCTTGAACGAAATAAACAATAATTTGTTGATTTTAAAAACAATCTACGACTTTTATCTTCTGGTGTCTGTCCAATAAATTCTTTGTAGTTTGGAACATTGTCATTATGGTGACTCGGAATTGGGAAGTTTGTTCATGTAGATCAAGGTTTACCCAGCTTTACTATATTCTACACCCCCAGGAATAGACTAAGTCTCGCACTGGGTACAGAAGTAACAACGCATCCTTAAATTTAAATAAATAATTGACTTCTTTTTATAAACCCCTTTTACTTGCTATTTGAGAAATGTCACCTGGAAGTCTTGCACCCAAGGTTAGGAAACCCAGATCTAGAGGGTCAACTTTGAAATGTCACCTGGAAGTCTTGCACCCAAGGTTAGGAAACCCAGATCTAGAGGGTCAACTTTGAAATGTCACTTGGAAGTCTTGCACCCAAGGTTAGGAAACCCAGATCTAGAGGGTCAACTTTGAAATGTCACCTGGAGGTCTTGCACCCAAGGTTAGGAAACCCAGATCTAGAGGGTCAACTTTGCAATGTCAAGTTAATTCATTAAAAAAAAACAGATGTGTGAACTTTGTTTTTGTGCATTTCAGATTCCATGTGAATACTTGTCCCTGAACACATTGGACAAATGGATAATATGTGAGTATTTCTCAATCATGAGATATAGAAGACAAAAAACAGCTAGAAAATTTTAATATCCTTTATTATATATCAAAATAACCTAGAAATTAAACTCATGGATTACTTCAAGATACCTACAGATTATAAAAAAAACTGAGGGAAAAAATAATCAATTAATGCACCTGCAATGCAACTTTAATTTTTAAAAGGAGAATGTGTACTTTGCAGATGGGTTCATGCTGTGTTACCAGAGTCTGACAGATCCTAATGCCCAGGCACTCTGGAAAGAGTGCCTCCAGTCTGGATTTATCATCACCCTGCACCGCAACGACAACTTACACATTCACAGCTATGTCATCAACTTTTTTGAAAGTCTCAGAGGGTAGATACATTAATTTGTTTCTGTTATGTTCTTTCTGTAATCCCCTCCAGCTTTGAGCTGCTTTACCTTTGTTAGAATCATTCCAGATTCTGTTCAAGTTTTTCTCCTAGATATGGATAAAAACAAAAAATTATTTTAAAAAAAAAAAGGGTTCATTGTTATTATAAAAGTTATAACCACAAACAACTTTATGAATATATTTTAAAGTAATCGATGAGCTATTTCAGTGACATTTTAATAAGGTTCTTTTAAAAAAATGATTATCAGATAAACAGTAAATTTTTAAACTAAACATTCAATGATTAAGAAACAGGTTCTCAGCGAAAAACCTTTGAGCTCTGCTGATTCTGAAATAAACTTTTTAAAAGTATCTAATATTTGCTGGTTACAACATAATGAATGCTCAGGATACATTTACATAATACACCACAGCTGCTTGAACCTGTCCTATTTTAAACTCTTATCATTCCTTTATGATTTGTTGCTCTCTTCTATTCTTTTTGTACTTTTATATTTCTTTTTATATGACCCTTTTGTCCCTTGATTACAGAGGTGGCTTGTGAATAGCACTGTGGAACTGCAGAACCCCCTATTTTCTCTCAAAATTTATGAATAACTTACAGTGTACTAATGATTTTTTTCTTTCTTTCTTTCTGTAATACTTGTACATAATATATAATACTATAATAAATAGTTAGTGGTCATCCTCATTCATTATTTGTGAAAAATGCTTGCATGGAACTGTGTACTTTATAGCTCCACTGACCCAGTGTTGGGTTGTTCCACACATGCGCACATGTCAGAGGAAAGAAGCGAGCACCCAGTAGAGAGAAGAACTGTCTCTCATCCAGCTCTAATCGTTTTGTCTGTGTGAGAAACTGTGTTTACCTTTTGCATCAGTGTGTGGTCTCTGTAGGGTATCATACTTAATATGAATGGGATAAACTGTAAATGATAATTGTAATATTCTATTTAAATACACATACATATATATACCGTATTTATTGGCGTATAACACGCACCTCAATGTAAGAAGGAAATTTCAGGAAAAAAAACTAAACATTATATTGGTGTATAACACGCACACATGATTTGCCCCTATTTTCGGGGAAAAAAAGTGTGTGTTATATATATATATATATATATATATATATACACACATACACACATACATTCATAAATATCTTAGTTCAGGCTTTTATCATTATATATAAGTTTTTTTTCTCAATGTGTATGCATTTCATTTTGCACAAATGCCCAAACATCTTCTGAAGCAGCACCTCCACTAAGTCAAGTCATGAGCTGCCACTGCTTGTTTATTTACAAAAATATATAGATTTTGTCATGATTTGTTTATTACACATCTTTTATGAGTTGGCATTCCATTTTTTTGAAAACATTAATTAATAAAACTAAATTGTTTTCTCTTTTTTTTGTCAGTCAAAATAGGAGAGTTAATGAACTTAAGGAATTCCAAACTGTTGCCTTTCAAAACTCGTAAGTTGGTTTGAATGTGTCATTTTTTTTAGAAAAAAATTCTATACAAAATTTACACTAAGTTGTTTAGCATTAGATAGAGAGATTTCAACACTAGTTTTAAATAAATGATTTTGATCCTAGCCTTGACATTGCTGAGAAACAAAGTATAAGTCAGAGAGGGGCGGAAATCATTTGTGTCCCAATGCACTACACAGTGAGGGATGAACTAAAAATAAGCAAAATTATTTGAAAACTTAAAAGTACCCAAAACAAATATTTTCAGGCCTGCATTCCATAGAGAAAGACGCAAATTTCTGCGGCTTGCTCTTAGAGATTTAACTCTTGCCTTCTCAGAGCAACCTGGCCTCCTTGGACCAAAGGTCAGTTTTTATTAATTGCTGTTGTAATTTGACCAAAAAAAAGAAAACTACCTAAAGAATTTAATTCATAGGCTACTTCTTAAAATATTCACAATCCCTTGTTGCAACAATTGAACTATTTATCCATGACTCATAAATGTATTGGTTTAAATTTTGTTTTCAGGCTTTGTATGTTTTTCAAGCACTCTCCATGGCCAGGGATGAAGTCCTCTGGCTTCTTCGCCACACTTTCAATTTACCTCAAAGAAAAGGAAATGTCAAGATTTCACCTGAAGATTTTTATGACAGGTCAGCTAGAAATGTTGTGGCCTTACCAAAATAATCGCAAGCATCTTTTTTTAGCAGGCTATATATTTTTTTTAAAAAACCAAGGTTATGTGTGTGTGTGGGAGGGGGGTGTATATAAAGTAAAGATACATCAATTTTTCAAATATACTTTATTAACTGTAATACGAATTATTATAATTATATAATTAAAGTGTATTGTAATTGTTAGATTTCTGTATTAGATAAATTGAAAAACAGCTGATGATGATATATAATGCTTATCAAACTGAACGGAATTTTCTTTTAAATTAAAAAATTGCCTATAATTATTACAATGTTTTATAAATAAGATTTGTATTACAGACAGCTTCCGGAGCTAATTTTTTACATGGAAGAATTGAGGGGTAAGCATGAAATCAAAAATTTTAACCATGATGAGTTTGAAGTGTTGCCACAATTCAAGCTTTTAATTAAATTGATATTTATCAAGTTTCTTAAAAATTGCTATAATAATTTTTGCTGGCTTACTGCCTTAATTGAACAAATTTAACATGAGACCCTTCTTCCCTGACCTTCATCTAGTTGAGAATCACGCTGGGCAGTTGTACAGTCTACTCAGAATACTGATCATTTAGCAAAAATGTTGAAAACGTCTGAAATAATTTGTTTAACTCCCCATAGACAATTAGAATTAGTTATAACATTAAAGTTTTTACATGCTTTAAAAAAGGTGGTCAAAATATTTGAGGAGCTTCTTTAAATCACCTTTGTAATTCCAGGGCTAGTAAAAACCTACAGGGAAGTGATACAAACTTATTATGTCCAGTATTTGTCAGGATTTGATGTTATCCAGCTCCAGCAGCTAATGCGGGTGAGTAATCTCTGTTAAGAAATGCAATCGTCAAAAAAGATTGTTAAAACAAGCTTATTCCTGTTTGTTAAAAACTGCTTAGAACTAAACATTATATAAACTAACTTGAAGCTGTGAGAAGTGGTTGTTTTTGCATAAGCATAATTAAAAATTATAACTTGTTTGTCCGAAAAAGAAAAAAACACTTTTTCTCACACTATTGATTTTATCATTATATTGCTTTTTTTTTCTTCTGACCTACTTATCCAGAGCATTACTGGATGTTCTGAAGATGAGCAGGCCATTCTCAAAACCTTCCTTGAAATTTTAAAGGATTTAAATAATGTTAAAGGTAAGCCACAAAGCTTTAGTCATTGTGTATTATTAAAAAGTATTACTACTGTTTTGTATTAAAGTATCCTTCACAATTTGAAATGTTGTTACACAGCTTATGCCCCCAGTGGCTATTCATAAGTTATTATTCCATAATATCAGTTTATTTTTAAAATCTTGTCCATTTAAAAATGTCTTTTTTCAATACATCAGAAGAGAAGATGAATCAGTTGGATTTTTCTGGCTTGAGACTTGACTGGTTCAGACTTCAGGTAAGTTTGCAGAATATTCCATGAACTTTTGGTTTACTAAAATATAAATGGGGCAGTATGCCACCTATACTGCCACCTATGGGTAATGAGCTAGCTCCTGTGTTACTGTTGTTTACCCCAGGCATGCTCACACCCACTGAACTGGGGCATGCTTGCCCCACGGGTGACTGATGAGCAACTCATGAAGCTGACGTCATGCGTTCCCGTTGTGGGATATATAAGCCAGGTGATTTAACCCGTGGGTATGTCTGAACTGATATTTGGTGTGTGTAAATGGATACTTGGAGTCGGCTACATATGTTTTTATATTTGACTGTCTGTTTGGAATGATTGTACCACAAGTTAATTCAATAAACCTATAGTTCTCAAGACCTGCATTTCCTTAATATATTTAACCTGACAGACATGCCATCACTCAGCTACATAAAGTTATCTAAAAATGTTGTAAGATTATAAGAATGAGTTTTAACTAATTATCATTAAAAAGAAATCTGAGAACATGAAATAAATTCTATGGCCATAAAAAATCTTTTTAAATATATAAGATTAATCTTATGTTCTGAATCAATATCAGAAAAATGCTGTCATAAAATTGTAAGCATTTAATAAAGGGCTCTGTAAGAGGAATTGAAATCTGAAAATTAGCTCCACCACTAATTGTCCTTTTTTGATGGTAAAGGCTTACACCAGTATCAGCAAATCAGGCCTGGAGCTAAAAAAGCACCCAGACCTGGTCAAACATTTGAATACTGTTACATTCCATATCAAAATGGTGGACTTTCTGGATGAGATGCTTGACGAAACTGGTGATCTTTCAGTTTACTGGTAGGTTCAAATTACTGCCTGGATGTAGCATCTTTGAAATTCAACTCTTTTTCTTACTTTGTTCTAAAGTTTTGAAAGAGCGAAATGGGACTTTGATTTAAACAATTTTTGGTTAAAATTTGTTTAATTACCAGCCTTAGTCACACGCTGCTTTCAAGAAGTAATCCATATTTTAAAGGATGTTTTAAAAATTAATTATGTAGATATTTATTTAATGGTAAAAATGCTATGAATAACAAGTATGAAGATTTTATCTTTATTCAGCTTCTACATAACATTGTTTGAACATCAGTTCAAACAGTGCATGGAATTTTTACCACAGTACAGATACAGTATTGTGTTTCCTCTGATCTGTGGACATTTTATGAAAGCAACTCATATTCTCTGCCCAGAAGAGGTCAGCAGTAGTAGCAGTAGAAAACATTCTGTAGTAGTAGAGGAGAAAACATTCAGTAGAAGAAGAGGAGAAAACATTCAGTAGAAGAAGAGGAGAAAACATTCAGCAGTAGTAGAGGAGAAGACATTAAATTTAATTGCAGAGATGGGAAAATCTAATTCATTTTGTGTGTGTGTCTTGACTTACTGTCATTGTTTAAAAATCATACACATTTGTGATTGTCAAGTAATATTAGGAAACAATATATTTTTTCACTCCTTAACATAACTAATAAGAAAGGTACCAACTAAGCAAAAGCCACCATGTAAACAAATATATTTTTTAACAACCAGATTACTCAATCTTTTTAGAATGTAAAATGTTAATCAATTATCAACTCAAAATAAATTTTGTTGAAATAAAATAGCTGTTTAAGTTTCCAACTGCCGTCATTGTCAGTTTGCTAATATAATACATTAATGTTTTTCCAGCGCATCTCCATCGGCCAAACAAGTTTAAAGTATGTTCATTGGCTTCTTAAAGAGATGTCCGAGGAGCTTGGACTGGTTGTTTCTAAAATTTGTGAGCTAAGCATTCAGATGGAGAACAAGGTAGGCTTATTGGGCGGCAAAAGTTCCATTCTCACATTTGTTCATACAAATAGAACCTTTACAATTACATTGAGAAATATGTTTAGTAAATTAATTTTAATAAATTTGTGTTCCTGAAGGATTTTATGTAATCTCATTTTAAATTTACTGTCATATGTATGCAATATATGTGTAATATCTCAAAATATCTGATCTAGCTGCTGCCTAGGCATGGCGTGGCTAATGCTGTGTATCAAAAACAGAGGGACATAGAGAGGAATAAGGAGAAAAAGGACAAGAAACTGCATAAGCCAGACAAGCCAGGGTTAGAGAGTATTAGAAAGAACAGAGAGAATGTGACTCAGTGAGTGTAGTTTTTTTTAGGTCATTATTTGCCCATGTGTTCTCAAATTTTTTGTCACAATGGGATTGAATACTTTCACAATAATATGTGTTGCAAATGTTTTACAGATGTGTTGCAGATGTGTTTATTCTTTAAAAAAATCATTCGTGTGCAATTTAAGAAACATTAAAATCTTTTTTTAACCTGTAGGATTCAAAATCAAAACTTTGTTAGGGAAATTTCAAAACTTTTAAATATTTCTATTTTAATTATCAGACTAGACAAATTTCAAATGGCTTTGACAGACTTGTGTTTTGCCCTTGACTACTGCCCCGTCATACAAGTTTGGGATCATGGATTTGTGCCAAGAGAGTTCTTCCAAGAGAATCTTAAGATTAGGTTTAACAAGTAAGTCTTCCATTACCAATATTCATTTTTGACATTTTGAGTGAAAAGGCAGCCATGACAGTTTAGGAGAACATTTTTAAAAAATCATCCCCGTAAAGAGCTTCGAACATTCTTTCCATTTGTTCTTGTACTGGGTAATTTTGTTGTGAAGAGAATTTATGACAGCTCTCTCTATCATCATCATCATGTCCCTTAGTCTTTGGACCGTTGGGGCGCCACAGATTACATATGAACTATCCTCCTCCATTCATCTCTCTATATATTTTATTAAAACCACCTCAGGTCTTCCATGTTCATAGTAATATGTTAATCTATTACTTTAAATTTAACTTTTAATCTCAACTATCTAAACCAAGCCTGCACAACATACGGCCCGCGCCGCCAGCACCCAATTGTGGCCCACGAAAAAAAGAAATATTCTTTATTATTATTATTTTCTTAATACCTCCCCCCCCCTTTTTTTTTTCCTATCATCTTTGAGTTGTGCAGGCCTGATCTAAACCTATAAGTTTTTTGTTCTTTTTAAATTTCTTCAACGTGACAAGAGTTTTTAAGATGTCCTATTTCATTCTTTCAGAGCTATTGTTGAGATGGCCAAGTACAATCCAGAGACCAAAGAAATTGCCAAGCCATCTGAAGTTCTCAGTGGAGTACGGGCCTATATGAATGTTCTGCAAAACATTGTCAACTATAGTATGTTTTAACTAGCCTTTTCCATTTCTTTAATAAACGGCTCAGTTGATTTTTCATTAATACTAACTTAAATGTGAATCAGAAACTTTGCAGCCACAGATAAATATCTGACTATGGCGGTTAGTTTTATAAAAATAATTAAATATGAAATAAGGAAATTTGTATTAACTCCACAGTCTCCATTGACATGACAACGTTGTTCAGGGGGATACTACTCCTCCAGACTCAACCAACAGATTCAAATGGACAGAAAACCATCACCCATCTCTACACACAGTGGTAAGTTCAACTTTTGATAAAGAGTAACAAAACAAATTAGTCTTTATAATACTTGTCTTGTTTTTTCTTTCCCTTTTACTTTGAAATGACACAGATATGAACTTGAACAAAGGGATGAAAAATGTCATTTAAATTGAAATAATAAATTTTTAGCTTAATGAGATTACATTTATGACAGGGGTGATTGAATATTATCATGCAAATGAACAAAAATAAAATAAACTCATTGGATAAATGATAGCATCCAATGACGTTATCGACAGTATAAATGTTGTGATTATTATAGACATTTGTGTGAAAAAACATACCCCCGCACCCATGTACCCTCATAGGATCCCACACCTTACTGGAGATTTAAGCAAAATGTAATTCATTATAGAATGATTGAAATTTGACTATAGCCCATCTCACTCTGTCATGTCAAATTGCTTCAAGGTTTACCTATTGTTTTATTCACATGTACAAAGGTATGTTGATGTGTTGATGAACAGGCTGCTGTCTACCACAGGAACCATTGTTTTTTCACCAAGCAGAAAATCATTTGTTCCTCTGACACATGTAGACAGCCAAGTCACAGCAGTGGAAGAATTTCTTGATACAGGAGGTTGTGCAATTTTATTTTAAATTTCCTGAATTTGTAAATAATGGTAGTTAATTTGGCTTTAGAACTTTGACCTGGGCTTAAGTTTTTCACATGATCATATATTTTGTAATGTTCCATTGTTCCATCATTTCGGTTCTAGTGCTCACGTTATAGTTAAAACAAAAAATAATTATTTTTAGCTTGATTTTCTACTGTTGAAAAGATAAAGGAATTAGTCCATTAACACTTGATTGTTTGGTAGACACAACACATTTAATTAATGCTTATATTGTCAACTCTAAAAGGATTTTGACAGACGGTCTCTCATTTGTCTGGCTTTTGACCTAAATTTAACACTTTTTAGCATTTTAAAACATTCCAATTTTTTCATATTTATTCAAATTAAAAAAAGTTTTAAAAAGTTTCTATTCACACATAAAAACACTTTTGTGTAGGAAGATTTGAATATTTATCAAAATCAATTGATTCCTTTCTTGAAGAACTTGAATTGGTATTTTTATTTAAATTCATTCGCAGAACTTCAAGCTCTTGTGGAGCTGATCAGTCCTTATGGAATGAAATATTTGGGAGAGAAAGTCATGCTTTCTGTTGCAGACCAGGTGGATGAAATTAAGGTGATAATTTGAAACAAACCTTTGGGGTTTAAATTTGTTAGAGACAATATAAAGTAAAGATATTCCTAAAATTCCAATTACGAAAAGACAACTAGAGATTTGCGTTTAAGAACAATCAGCAAAGAACATGTTATGATGGATTCATTCCTCTGCTTTACTTCCAAATGATCTGATCAGAAACTGGTTGTGGCTAAAAGGGATATCCTGGAGCAGCTGAGAGTGAGTTTTGACAAACCTGAGACGATGTCACAACTAACACAGAAACTCACAAGTGAGTAATGCCATATTTAGCTAATCTATTCCATGTCTATTTCGGAAACACCTTTTTATTTCTTCATTTATATTTTGCATTACTATTGTTAAAGAATTAATTGAGTTACTTGTTATTAGTGAGTGTTTTATTTCTTGTTTTCTCAGCATCTCACAAGAATGTTGCTTCTGGTGAGTTGAATAATTTCTAGTTGCCAAAATATACATTTACTGACCACAATTTCAACATAAGCGGGTGGATGTATAATCATTTAAAAATGTTTGTAAAATTATTACCTGACTTCATGGATTTGTTTCATATCTCAAATTTACTTTCGAGGCGCCGCTCTGCAGGCGACTCGATTTCATCTGTGCACATCTCTTCAGCTTTCGTAATAGTTTAGAGTTTTTACAGCCTTTTCTATGGAATCAAGGCGTGTTGAATGTGTTTTATTACTGGTAATATTTTGTTTTTTATCGCGAGGAACAGTGGTTACATGGATTTTTTGAACATCGTTGCCATACACCAAGAAAAATCCATAGCTGCCATATTGGAAACAATTGATATGCCATCTTGTAAACAAATGGCAAGTTTCAAAACCATTCAAAGACAAATCGGCTACAGACAAAAGGCGTTCCCCTGATGTTCAAACAAAAATCCAAGACTTTTGTTCTCACTCAAGAACTCAACAGTTTTTCTAACCACACAATTACACGCCGAATTGCTACAGACTAATTTTAAGGAACAATGAAAAACTCAAACAAGCATTTTAGGACTTAAAAAAAATATGTACGATGAATGTAGAAAAAACAAATTTCCATTTGTTTGGATCAATAAAAATATCTTATCTTATTTCTCAGAAACACCAAAAACTTTTTTTAAGCAAAAGTTCACTTTTTCTTTTTTTAAATTACTCAAGCTTGCACATTCATGACTGAAACAAATGGTATGATTATAGATTTTTTTCCCCAAGTCGTTTGAAGATGGCACTAATTTGTTAGTAAAGCCTATGTTACAGCACAGCATTCAAAAACTTTCTCATTTCGCCTCACTATGAAGGTCTATGTTATTTGTTTGTTACAGATGCTGAAGTATTGTTATCAAAGATGATTAGAGTCGGTGTAATGTTGGCATTCAGGTCACTCTGCCAGGGAGCACTCAATGAGGTAATAATTGTAAATAGATTAACTAGACATGAACAATTTGTGTCAATACAACAATATATGTTAAGCTTTAATAATAATTTTACATAATACACAAGTAAACGTTTGGGCACATGCCTTCATCAGAATAACAACAAAACATTTAAACAAGTATAAACTAAATTTACATAATATATATATATACACATATATCCTACCTAAAAAAAAAAGAGAAAAGATGGGAGTGGGCGCAAAAACCAGACAGAAACAAGGTAAAGAAGAATGGAAAGGAAGTGATTTGAAGTAACATGTAAAAAGCCAAACAGGAAAAAGACAGCAGATTCTGTGGAATACGGCCTCCCTCCAATATATATATATAAAAACTTGTATGAAATGGCTAGGTTATAACCTTATAGGGTTTGTCATTTAAAGGCAGAAATCTATTAATAGAACATCAGGCAATCTCACTAAGATATTAATAAAACATCCTGGTATTCTGTTTGGCCAATCTCTCAACAACTGTTCAGTACTTTTACGTTAATTTGAGAACATGCAGTGGGTCTTAATTTTACAAAAGATTTTACAAACAAATATTGTTACTGCTATATATATGCGGAAATACATTGTAAGAAGCTATTCTTTATGAAAACATGGTCTAAAAATAGTTATCTTCCTTAATGCGATGTGATGTTTTCCACTCTTAAAATTGACAAACCCTATTCGTCTGCATCCACAATACGTTAAATTGTGTCAGTTAAACTGATTATTTTTTATTCATGATATTATTTATGTTCTTCATTCGAGTTGTTGGTCAACATGCTAGAAATAATTTATCTCATGTTTGCTTTAAAGGTGTTGGATCGGAGAGTTCCATATCTCCTCAGCTCTATCAAAGACTTACATCACCATGAGCCAGTAGGCAGAGAATTTATGGTAATATCTTCTCCATAGTTTGGTGATGACCAAATGAATCCTACAGTGCATTCAGATCAATTGATCCCTGACAATGTAAAACTTAAAAATCAAAACTCTTTGGGTTGATCAAGTTTGAACTCATAGAAGCATCCTATCTCCTCATCATCAATGTTTAAATTATTAGAATAAAAGTTGTTAAAAATGAAACCAAATAAAATGTGAGAATAATTTATCTTTTTAAAAAAAAAAAAATTAATTAAGAAATTTTAAGCATTTATTGTCGTTATTATATATTATGGATAAAAAGACAGAATCTTTTCCCCATCAAATCTAGATTGTGCATGAATTGGCTTCATCAGCAGGGGAGAAATGTCCAATAGATCCTGTTTTGTGGAACATTCTGAGGAATATGAAGAGTTCAAGTACTGAAAAGGGTCCCAACAGTAAGCACAATCACTTATCATATCTGCAGTGTTGTCATGAGGGGGAAGCAAAGAAAGTGATGAGGACCCTTGGAGCTGTAGATATTTAAAAATACATTTGGCAATAGGTCAGCGTTGCATTTGGCAATAGGTCAGCGTTGCATTTGGCAATAGGTCAGCGTTGCATTTGGCAATAGGTCAGCGTTGCATTTGGCAATAGGTCAGCGTTGCATTTGGCAATAGGTCAGCGTTGCATTTGGGTAACATTTTGCATCACTAGTAACTTTAAAAAATAAGTTTCAAAATTTTCATTAAAATTTCTCACAGAAGAGGATTACACTATAGCCTGCCTGTTGCTTGTTTTTGTGGCTGTCTCCATTCCAAAGCTGTCTCAAAGTGATCTTTCCACATACAAGGCTTTTCTGGGAGGTTGGTTTTACTATATGTTTTCATATTTAATATTTTTGTGATCATCATTCTGTTTAGGCTGTCTTGTCATTGGTTTAGAGTGTATGGGCACCAAATCATTCAAATACGATACATGAATAAAAATTGTAAATGAAAAATCTGCATGTTTTGTTCCCGGGTGGAAAAGCTCATAAAGCAGAGGACAGTGCAAGCAAATTGATGGCCAGGTTTCCAAAACTAAATGTGCACTTCACTTGGGGGATAAACAGATTTAGTATGAATCAAGGGCCGTCTTAACAACATAGGAGGCCCTGGGTACGGTGATGCACTTAAAAATTAAAACTTGTTCACCCCTTGGCTAAATTACAAGAAAATGTTGATTTTCAATGTGTTTCCTGCCCCCAACTAGGTCACCTCAACAACAGCCACTGCCTGGCAAAGAGCATCAATACTTTGACTGCAGTCCTTTTCTCTCTTAGCGACTCAAGAGACATCAGCTTGAGGCTTAAAGAGTTTTTAATGGTCAGTTTATCTGTGTAGTAACCATTAATCATATCTGTGTAGTAACCATTAATCATATCTGTGTAGTAATCATTAATCATATCTTTGTAGTAATACTTAATCATATCTGTGTGGTAACCATTAATCATATCTGTGTGGTAACCATTAATCATATCTCTGTAGTAACCATTAATCATATCTGTGTAGTAACCATTAATCATATCTGTTTAGTAACCATTAATCATATCTGTGTGGTAACCATTCATCATATCTGTGTAGTAACCATTAATCATATCTGTGTGGTAACCATTAATCATATCTGTGTAGTAACCATTAATCATATCTGTGTAGTAACCATTAATCATATCTGTGTGGTAACCATTAATCATATCTGTGTGGTAACCATTAATCATATCTGTGTAGTAACCATTAATCATATCTGTGTGGTAACCATTAATCATATCTGTGTGGTAATCATTAATCATATCTGTGTAGTAACCATTAATCATATCTGTGTAGTGACCATTAATCATATCTGTGTAGTAACCATTAATCATATCTGTGTGGTAACCATTAATCATATCTGTGTGGTAATCATTAATCATATCTGTGTAGTAACCATTAATCATATCTGTGTAGTAACCATTAATCATATCTGTGTAGTAACCATTAATCATATCTGTGTAGTAACCATTAATCATATCTGTGTAGTAACCATTAATCATATCTGTGTGGTAACCATTAATCATATCTGTGTGGTAATCATTAATCATATCTGTGTAGTAACCATTAATCATATCTGTGTAGTAACCATTATCCATTAATCATATCTGTGTGGTAATCATTAATCATATGGCCCTGAAAATTTTCTTTTGTTGAACATTTTGATTTTTTTTTTTTTTTTTCTGTTTCTTAACCTACACCACTTGTCATTTACAATGACATCAGATTAGTCTGGATAAAATTATTCAGCCTTGAACATTTTGCTTTTTTTTTTTTTTTTTTTTTTCTGTTTCTTAACCTACACCACTTGTCATTTACAATGACATTAGATTAGTCTGGATAAAATTATTCAGTCTTGAACATTTTGCTTTTTTTTTTTTCTGTTTCTTAACCTACACCACTTGTCATTTACAATGACATCAGATTAGTCTGGATAAAATTCATCAGCCTTGAACATTTTTTCCAAGTTTTACCTAAGTATAACTCTCATACCTAACACAAGCAGTGTGATGTGAAGTGTATTTTTCCTTTGATCTCCAGTTTACATCTTCCAGTGTCCTGTACTTGGGGATAGAGAATGATAAAGAAACAATGAAGAATCGGGAGTCAGTCTTTTTGCTCCTGGATCAAGTATTAGTATTTCTTTATTTATAAATTTTTTTTAATTTAGTGCAATAAATTTAGAATGTTCTCCTATTTTCTAGATACTGAAATTATTTGGTAGACAACACTTTCTGGGGAAAAGTTTTATTTTAGTAGTTTGCTCATTAGGTGTCATGCAAGTTAGGGTATTAAAAAAAAAATTTGCGTTTTTAAAAACATGATAATGTGTTGGAAGAAGTGAGGCAAGTATCAAAACATGCTGTGAAGAGGAAGGTAGTTTTGTTTACAGTGATTAAGTTCAGAGATAGCTGTGGAATTGCACTTTACATTTTTTTAAAAGCAATTTTACAAATATTTTTAAAAAGTATAGGAAATAAATCCCCCCCCCCCCTTCCACACACACATTTTTCAGAAGCCTGTGTGTGGATAATGTATACTTGAGGTACTGGGATTCTAAACACAATGAAAATAGTTAAAATAAATCTGCATCCAGATGGTCTGGGACAGACCGACCAACTGGCATAGTTATATGGTGTTTGTTTAAAAATATTAACTCACCAGTACTTTTAATAGATTTTTTAAATTTACTTCCTGTTATATTATAATTAGTTATAACTTAAAATAATTTTCAAATGGATATTTTAATATGGAATTCTACTAGATCTATTCATAGAGTCAAGTTTTTTTTTCTTTTCAGATGAATTAATATGGTTTATATTTTTCTTCTAGTTAAAGTGATTTTAAAGTTAATTAAAAATTAAGAAACATTAATATAGCTTTATTAAAGGAATTTCGCTTGTCTAAACAGATTGTTCAGGAATCTCCGTATCTCACAATGGATGTGTTGGAGTCCTGCTTCCCATATGCGCTGCTAAGAAATGCTTACCACAGTGTGTACAAGTCATCTGCAACAGAGTTATAAATAAACATGTCACATGACTGACATCTGATCTTGACTGGACAATAGACTGTTAACAGTCATTGACATTGCCTTTTTTAATTTAAAGAAATAACAGAGATTTTTTTACTTTTAGATCAGCTTCACATGTTTGTAAATATGGTAAATTATAACTAGTTGATTTATTAAAGCACACATTTTGACAAATTTGTGTGTCAAACATCACACAAACGTTCCTGCTCCAGTTTCTTCCTTTATAATTACTATTTTATTTTGTGATAGATACACTTTTAAAATGGCCGCAACAATTTTATGATTCAGTTGTTTGTTTTTAATACTCATATATTTTTGTAGGCTAAACAGTTTTCACTTTATTACTTACTAATATGTAAAATTATCCCTTTAATGTCTAGATCACACTTTTTACCCCCTATACTCTTATATTTTTTAAATTCTGGATGGTTAATTCATGCATACATATTTTTAAAAATAAAAATATTGGATCATTTCATGAAAGATTTCAGCTTTAATATCTCAGTCAGAACATTTATTTTAAATTTAAAAACCGTTTTTGTGAAAGATTTATTGATTCATTTTTTTTGTTTACCAAGACTTGAGTTTGTTCGACTAATAAAGTGGCTTAGGCCGGATTTGAAATTTGTTTAGATATCTGGCAAGCATAAGCTTGAAACAAATGTGAATTTACTTTTTTTTTAAAAACACCCCCTTTGTCCGCTATGAATATTTAAGGAGTGCTCACTGCCTTGCGCCCCTACTGGCTATGGGGTTAAATAGACATTGACGGTATTCCATCGGATGATGCCATTGGCAAACTGTGGCGGCAGTCAACTTGGAACATTGATCTTGCAATTTATTTTATTTTTACCAAGTTATACATTTATGTAACTCTAAGTTTACCAGTCACAAAAATAAACTTTCAAAATATTTTAAGAAATATGTGTTTTTGTTTTTAAATTTAAAAAAAATAGCAGCAAATGGGCTGCAACTCATGTAGGTCAAGAATGACCCAAAACAAGTTTAAACGTCTATGTATATTATTGTTTTGTTGAATAAAGGCTTGGAAAGTCTGTTTTTTTCAGAACCTTGTACTCTTTATTGGAACTTATAGATGCATAAGATATTCACAAAGTTTTTCCCCTTTATTTCTGTTATGAGCTATTATTTGTAGCTTCTTCCGGTTCTTGCCGTTTCTTTCTCTGATGAGGTCCCACGCCCTCCCCTCTCTTCATGTTTCATAATCTGCCTCACTTTCTAATACCTTTTTTGACTAATGCACAATGGCATATTATGTACATCTGACCTGTTGACTTTATACTAAATTTAGTAATTATGAGTGTTGGACTGTGGTTAAGCTTAAAGTAAATTAGACACAAAGCCAATCTATGTGTTGAGTGAAAGCCAATCTTAGTGTTGAGTGAGAGCCAATCTTTATGTTGAGTGAGAGACAATATATGTGTTGAGTGAGAGCCAATCTTTGTGTTGAGTGAAAGCCAATCGTTGTGTTAAGTGAGAGCCAATCTTTGTGTTGAGTGAGAGACAATCTTTGTGTTGAGTGAGAGCCAATCAATGTGTTGAGTGAGAGCCAATCAATGTGTTGAGTGAGAGTCAATCTTTGTGTTGAGTGAGAGCCAATCATTGTGTTGAGTGAGAGCCAATCTTTGTGTTAAGTGAGAGCTAATCTTTGTGTTAAGTGAGAGCCAATCTTTGTGTTGAGTGAGAGCCAATCTTTGTGTTCAGTGAGAGCCAATCTTTGTGTTCAGTGAGAGCCAATCTTTGTGTTGAGTGAAAGCCAATCAATGTGTTGAGCGAGAGCCAATCTTTGTTTTGAGTGAGAGCCAATCAATGTGTTGAGTGAGAGCCAATCTTTATGTTGAGTGAGAGCCAATCTTTGTGTTGAGTGAGAGCCAATCAATGTGGTGAGGGATAGCCAATCTTTGTGTTGAGTGAGAGCCAATCAATGTGTTGAGTGAGAGCCAATCTTTGTGTTGAGTGAGAGCCAATCAATGTGGTGAGGGATAGCCAATCTTTGTGTTGAGTGAGAGCCAATCAATGTGTTGAGTGAGAGCCAATCTTTGTGTTGAGTGAGAGCCAATCTTTGTGTTGAGTGAGAGCCAATCAATGTGTTGAGTGAGAGCCAATCTTTGTGTTGAGTGAGAGCCAATCTTTGTGTTGAGTGAGAGCTAATCTTTGTGTTAAGTGAGATTTCCCATTACGATTTTTAGATCTCAATCTGGAAATTTTTCCAGCATGGATTGCATTCCTTTTCATTTTCCTTACTATCATTGGTTGGTGCATAGCGCCGTATTTCATTCATATTTACTTTCTTCTGCTTGGTTCGGAAAGTTGCTGTAATCATTCTTGGACCATGGGCGTCTCATCCTATCAATGACTAGTACCATTCGTATCATCATCAAGGCGACTCCTTGTATGGGTGGAGCATTTTCCTCCTCACGCCCTGAGTGTATTAGTGTTTCTCCTGAGGCTTGTGTCCGTCTTGTTTCACAGATGCCGAGCAGTGTGAGTTTGTATGTTTCTATTTCTGCCGTCACCTGTGCTGATTTCCCTGTTTCATCCATGGTTCTAACATTCCACGAGCCTATGATTATTGCCTTTGAAAGGAGGGTCCTGGGCTTTGAGGCTTCCAGTATATAGCGTTGGCCGCAAGTCTTCTTGGGCAATAAGAGCCTTCTCTCACCAGGACTGAAATTGTTTTTTTTTGTTTTTTTAAATTCTTGTTGACGTTTCTATAGCAATTTGAGTTTTACGGTACTCGGACTCAAGATCTGCTCCCGAGATCTTGGGAAAGAGACCAGGTACCACTCACTTAGTTGAAGTCATCATTGATGACGTGTCCAATATCGGTGAACTAGGAAAAACGGTGACAGCGCAATGGACACCAGGGCACGTCAACGTCAGTGACAATGAGCAAGCCGACACTGGTGAAAACTGGGTCTGCCCAGCCTCAGCCAGAAATACCAATAATTTATTTGGGAACAAAGAACTGGCTGGCAGACCACTTCAGGACGAAGTGGTACAGGCAATAGGCAGACAACACGACTGCCAGATGTGTCTTTTCAAACTTGCGCACTCCTAGCAAACAGGACCCATGGTGGGGGTTAGGCCGCAGACAGCAGAGCTTAGTGACGCAGATGCGCACCCTGGCGGCTGGACACCAACAGGGATCCTACATGTGGGCATTGCAGCCTGGTCCCGGAGACACTAGAGCACCTGTTGACCGAATGCCCCTCACTAGATGTCCCGGGGGAAGCCAGGGCGGTTGGGGAGCCCTTTGTGAGGAACATGTTTTATGACTCAGCTCAACAGATGGAGCTGGTAGCCAAATTTACTAGTCGGGGTCATAAGAGGGTAATCTCAGACCCTCACCAGGATATGGGTGTTAGTTAGCTGACCTCATGCCAACCCTCCTCCTTTTGCAAAGGGCCTTGGACCGGTCAAAGAAGAGTTGCCAAGACATATAGGCAACTATATGATATCAGTCATCATTATGTCGTTCTCTATGCCTCAACACTGCTAAAGAGTAAACAGAACTGCATCTGATTATGGTTGTAATGTAAAAGAAGAGAAGGGAATGGATGGCCAGGTAGGAGAGATGGAGACGGGGGTTGACTTTCAGATTTTCTTCCGTTAATTTTGGTCTCGGGTTCAATTGAATGGATGATCAACATTGGCAGTTGTACGAGAAATGGTCACAACCCTTGACTATCAAGAACTCGCTGTTTAATTGGCTGCCCGATTACAGTCTAAAATTATTCTTTTACACACTGCAGTCTTTTAATTTTAAGAGCGTTTAGCGAAATAATCTTTGGTTTTTCTTGGAATTTGTTTTTGACAACCGTGGCAATAGCAGCATCCGGGTCTCGATGCATCCTTCGGCTAAGGATAATTACACTGTTACAGAAATTATTATTTTTTTAAATTGAAATTTCTGAGACTAGGCTAGTAGGCAAAGACCCGGTATGACCTTTCCTATGAAGACCAATAAGACCCAGAATGACAATGACCTTTCCCATAAGGACCAATAAGACCCAGAATGACAAGTACCTTTCCTATAAGGACCAATAAGACCCAGAATGACAATGACCTTTCCCATAAGGACCAATAAGACCCAGAATGACAAGTACCGTTCCTATAAGGATCAATAAGACCCAGAATGACAATGACCCTTCCCATAAGGACCAATAAGACCTAGAATGACAATAACCTTTCCCATAAGGGCCAATAAGACCCAGAATGACAATGACCTTTCCCATAAGGACCAATAAGACCCAGAAGGACAATTACGTGTAAAATATCATGTCGGCCGGCGTGTATAACGTCAAAGCCCCCGCAAAATTGAATTTGCCCAAGGCCCCGTACCACCCTAGCGCACCAACCAAAATCGTCATTTTACTTTGGGAAGAGGGCGCCTAGACTCGACAGGGACTTCATTTGGAAAGGGAGGGGTGGAAAATTTGCCACCACCCCCCTTAAATTCGCAGGTTTTATTTAAATTGCTACGTACTGTAGCGCCCACAGTAATAAACAACTTAACAAGCCGACCAAGTTTTGCCCCCCCCCCCCTGAAAAAAACCTGAAATGACGCCCCTGAGACCCGAGCTTAGCTTCGGCTGCAACTTTTGCTTGAAACGGAATTGGTTATCAACCAATTCACAAATTATACGTCATTTAGGGACTTCATTTGGAAAGGGAGGGGTGGAAAATTTGCCACCACCCCCCTTAAATTCGCAGGTTTTATTTAAATTGCTACGTACTGTAGCGCCCACCGTAATAAACAACTTAACAAGCCGACCAAGTTTTGCCCCCCCCCCCCTGAAAAAAACCTGAAATGACGCCCCTGAGACCCGAGCTTAGCTTCGGCTGCAACTTTTGCTTGATACGGAATTGGTTATCAACCAATTCACAAATTATACGTCATTAAAAATACGTCATACTTTGTGACCCAGCAATGCAAGATGACCATGCCATGACAATAAAAACAATGTAGGCTACCATCTCAAAAGAAGAAATCGTCATCAATACAATTTCTTGATTATTTTAATCATGTTTGTTAGTTTAGAATTTTTTAAATTTTTTTTTTGCCTTCAAATCTTTTAGCATTTTGAAGTTTAAAAATCAGGCCAGCCCTACCACGGTACCTCTTCTTACTGTTCTTACCTGTCTTAAAACGTATGTCAACACCTGGCGCATGCGCATGTAAGTGTCACCTACCTTCAAGTTCCGTTTGAGAGGATTTGTTTTTATGAGGGTTAACCTCGTATGTGAATCAAGTTTTTAGTTGTTTGGACAAATTAATGTAAGGTTTGGTGTCACTTTTGAAAAACAGTATCGTTCCCATCATTACAATTAGGCCTAAGCTCAATAATTATTTTAATTACCAAAGTCATTAACAATGTTTAGTTTAGAATGTTTCTCTAAAGTGTTAACGTTTGACAGTCACTTCCGCATTTACAAATGAATAAGATTATATTTATTTCGGTGACTCTTAATTTATCTGCAAAACCCAATCAACGTTATAAATCTTAATTGTCACCTTTCACTTAATTCATCATTCGTGGATACTCTTTCAGAATTCAGATGGATACCTTTTTAGTATCTGAACTGAATTATTTCATGCAACTTTCAAGAGAAGACATTCACAATAATACTATTACTATTGACTATTGATCAATACAGAGCACCAATACTCGTCATTAATAATAATAATAAGCCTAAACAATTTAGTTAATGAATACTCAACTTATTCAATACTCACCAATGCACGCAATACTGCCAATAAGAAAAATTATGACAAAAAAAGCAATGAACAGAAAACCCATTTTGGCCCATCAATCACTAAATTTATTATTACTATAAAGTTATTAATATTAGACAATAAAGCCTAATCCAAAATTCCATAATAATTTATAAGTTTAATTAAACTAGGTCTACTCTTTATTATACATGCATATTCCATTAGTTATTTAAAATGTATTGTGTACTTTTTAACCTATTAAGGGCTATTAGTATTATATTTTGAGTATACCCAATAAATACCTGTACTATTATTAAGATTAAGAATTGCTAGAAAAGATACTAGGTACATTTTAACTGAATCCTGAATAAATTACAAAGAAAATAAAAACATAGTTATTCAGCTGTTGATAATATGAGTAAAAGTTTATTCTAGTAATTAAGGTTCTATATTAAATAAATGTTAACAAAAACATGTCAAATGACAATTATTTCTGTTGTTGCTCTAGGTAAGTCCACAAAAATGACTACTCCAGTGGAAGATGATGTTTACAGAACAAACTCCAAACAGATCCTTGTCAGTCGGGACCCAATCTATGTACATCCTGAAATAATTCGAGGCCAATACATTGGAAGAGAGCCACATACTTACCTCCCTTTTGCCATTATGGTGACCATCATCAACCCCATCCTTGGGCCTATCGCTATTTTATTTGCTTGTAAGTACACACAGGTTATTTGTGGGCAGAAGATAAGCCGTATTAAAAAATGTATGTAAATATCTTTCTATGTAGGCCTATGTAATGTATTCAATAATCCAGTAATGGCATAGTATGTTCATGAAAGATTTTTGTATACAAGCACCAAAATAAATTCTTCTAACCAAAATTAATCTATGGCTTTGTCAGGGTCGTAATACTATCATCAGCTTTGATTTGACAAAATTTTGAAATACTTTGCCTTTAATAATTATATTTCATACAAAATAATTTCACCCTTAATTAAACTTTTCCTTTTTTATATAGTTATGTCTAGAAGATCATACAAGGATGGAGACCTCAACTATGCCTACAAATGGAGCAATTATGCCTTTCTTGCTGGAATGATCACTATTGTTGCCTCCACATTGTTTTACATTGCTATAGGATTTGCTCTGTCAGGTCCTGGCTTAAGAGGTGGACATTCGTATTGAAACTGGCTGGTGGTTTAAATAACTTTCACATGGTAACTTAAGAAGTAATATTACTGAAAATCTGTATTAATTTTTTAGATACTTTCTCAACTTATAAGGTTAGAAAGTTATAATTCTGATAAGATGATGCAGAAAAAAATATGTTGTCTGGTATTTAAAGTGGCAGCACTGATGATTATTTTTCACGAATGTAGCCAGCTTTTAGATATGAACCCAGAAAACTGAAAGATATGAAACATAGGATTTAATATGTAGAATTTTTTTTTAGGGTTTATATTTTGGAATAAAAAATTTTTGAGTTAAAACCTTTGTATGTTTTAAGAGAGGCACTTGTCATATAATCTCCATTGTAAATATCATTTAACTTGTACCTTAAAATGATGATTCTGCATTATACAACCTTTAAAAAAATATTTTTATATTCTGGTTACTAAAAGAAAGCATGTTAGAAACAGTAAGAATAAGTATGTATTAAACTACAGTACTTTAATAAGGCGCTAAAAAGATTATTACTAAAAATAATCGTTGGTGTTCTTCTAAGCCCTCTGAATTTTCAAGAAAGATTTGGCATTTATAGTTTTTGGGTGAAGATGAAGAACATAACAAACTAACCAGTGTCATTGCAGATTTGAAGAGCTTCAACATTGTAAATATAAAACATTTGCAGCAACACATGAGACTGTTGACATTTATAACTGTACATACAAATCAACATAATCTTGTGCACCTATTCATTTTTTTAAACTGATTGATCAGTGTACAATCCTGGTAAAACTAGGACCAATGCTTAAAAATTTAAACATTTTGTTTGGTTCCAGAAACTACCTCAATAGTAGTTCAGTGGTCCCCAACCCTGAACTGTTCACAAGTCCCCAACTCTGAACTGTTCTACAAGAACATGATTGAGGCTTTATAATAGCATACTTTGTCAGATCGTATTAAACTTTTATTTTCAAAGAAGTAACTGGAAAGAACTGAAGCTTAAGTCTCTATAAGTGTGTTCTAAATTATTAACTAGAAGACACTAAATTCATGCCTGATTGAAAACATCAATTTTACAAAATTTTGTGTAGTTTTTTGTTTGTCAGCATTAAATCCCACCCCCCACCCCCTTGTAATGTAGAAGTAGAATTCAAATTAATTCATACATTTGTGTCTAATAGGCACCTGAATGCAAATTTACCATATTTCATTTTTTCTTAGAGTATTTGATAATACAGTATTTACTTGCATAATGAATTTATGATCCAGACTAAGTGCTTCTATCACAGTTCCTGTGTCATATACTCCACATATTATACTGACACTGATTAGATTTGGTTCAAAATAAACAAAATATGCTTTCATGTAAATAGTACACATCATATCACCCATGTTCTCAAATGAGTTAAAAAATGCAGTGGTTGGGGACCACAGCCACAAAACAATGGTGTACGAGTAATCTTTTTGGAATAACATAAATTTATCACCTTATAATGTGTCATGGTAATACAGTTTGATCTGTATAGTAAATGTTTGGATATAGAGATGATTGTCTTCATTACTGACACAAAAATGTAAGTTTTTCTACTTTTGGATTGTTCTTAATAAGGTTATTGCTTCCAAATATATCTGATACATTCCATGCTGAACTAGCAGTGTATTATTGGTAGAAATATAAGTCTGTTTTGATTCCGATAATGAAATAAAAGAACACTTATTAAAATAGTTGAATAAGTTTTTTTTTCTTCTGAGTGTATTTAGTCATAGTATTATAGCAGGTATAACTTAAGGTATATTAATTTTCATTAGTTTGTGGACAACATTTTAGTAATTTTTCTCATTTTTTTAATTGGTAAAATGAAATGGACAGATTTATTTTCTTTCATTTGACCATAAATATTCATGTTGTGCAGACTGGCAAAGTAAGCAGTGGTGTGGATGTTGGGGGAGGGGGGGGGGTCCGCCCAGGGGGGTACTTTTTATTTTTATATGTAAGGGTAGCGATTTCGGCCAAATGTAGTAGCTTTTTCGTGGGAGGGATGCGGCACTAACCCTAGCTATGCTACTGAACGTAAGATTTACAGACCGGCGCCGGTATGCTGACCATTTGGGGAACGTTGATATACGTTATAAGGTTTTTTTAAGCTGGTTTGAACATGTTAATATCTAACTTAGCTTACCGTAATAGTACTAATAGCCACCTTGCACTTAAAATAGATTTACAAATAGATTTATAGATAAAGATTGGTTACATGGTAAATGTCTAACTATTAATTTTATGATTGATTCTCATATTTTGGGAGAGCCAGTGCAAGCATAAAGGAACTGCTATATGTTCTAGCTTAATTAAGTTTCCTGGTCCAAGCATATAGGACAAGTTCTGGCTTAAGTTTCCTGGTCCAAACATATTGGACAAGTTCTAGCTTAAGTTTCCTGATCCAAGCATACAGGACAAGTTCTAGCTTAAGTTTCCTGATCCAAGCATACAGGACAAGTTCTAGCTTAAGTTTCCTGATCCAAGCATACAGGACAAGTTCTAGCTTAAGTTTCCTATTCCAAACATATAGGACAAGTTCTAGCTTACGCTTTCCAGTACATCAGTTTTTGGGTGATAAAAGAACAGGTTGCTTTAAATAAAACTAAGAAGCTTTAATTATTCTACGTGCCTCATCGATGAACAGAAAAACCTGAGTGACGCAATACTTAAACAAAATGAAATGATTCAAAGCCATTGTGAGGATTTTTTAAACGTGTCATTTTATTTATGACAATCTTAACCAACACTGACCACCATAAAATAAGTGTTTGAAATGAAAAATGCAAATTTAGTTCATCACCATTCATGTTTCATTGTTTATTCATTACAAAAATTGAAAGCATGAGTCATGAGTACAATAAGTCATTATTTGTTGATACGAAGATTATCTGGGGATTAAAAAAAATGAAATGGCTTTTTTCGATTTTCTCTTTAAATATTATCGATACCGTTATTCAAATATCCAAAAAAATCTGACTCTATTCTATGCTAAATTCAGACATAGATCATTATTCTTTCTTACATCGTACAGACGAAAAGATCATTCTTGATCATTCAAAATCGTGTTCTATAAACGTCCACCGGTATACCTTGTTTGTCATAATCATTAACAGAAACACTGTTAATTCAATTTAAACTTCTGGAAACAGAATCTTGAGATTGTCATTCTTAAACGTGGCATAATAAGTAACTGTCATATAATAAGTAATTGTCGTATAACAGAGTGGTATAGATAAATGTGCATTAATCCCCTATCAAGACATGCGAAGCAGAGCCGTCACGTGAGTTTTGGGGGCCTCCTACATTTTGGGGGCATTCATTAACCGGTCCAGTCGGTATTTCAGCCCAGAAGCATGCGAAGTTGACACTTTCCTTCTACCACAACAGATATTTGGCTTGATGCAATGTTTCTGGCTTCTGATTCACATCTTCAGCAATGACATGTAGGTTATTCTGAAAGCTGCTGTATTATGGCCATGATATAGCCTAATGACTTGGTCACATCAACCAATGTCACGCCAGCCATTGTCACATTGCACTCACTGTGTCACATCTCGTGTCGGTCAATATTTTTAAAACGAGTACGGAATCTTGGTGACATTAACATTCGCCATCTTTTTGATCAACAAAGTCAAGAAATTTTAGCATAGGCTAACCACCCATAGGTGGGTTGATGTCGAGTAAAGTAAATTGCTAACAAGCCCCAATAATTTGATTGCTGCACCTAGAACCGTGCCGAGAAAAGGCGGCGCCTGGGGCCTGGGGCGAAGACTAAAAATGTTAAACTTGGCGACATGGGATTTTATACTTGGCTTCCTGAATTTTATTTACAAAGTCAAAACACAATGCTCTTTGCTTATTCACAATTTTTTAGACATAACGCCAAATCTACTAGGATTGGGTTAACGAGAAGAAGGGTCATTCATGATTTCCTGGATACTAAACGAACAAAGGCACATTTTGAAAAGTGCTCACTACTTGGTGCTTTCTAGGGCATTCGCGGTCAAAGTGAGGTAATCCATGAAGCGTTCTACACACGATTGTCAGCAATTTTTAGTTCCCCTTCTAAAACTACGATTTATGTATGCACCGATAAATAATTTTTAATTTTTTTTTTAAATTAAAAAGAGAATCAGGAAAACAAATATTTTTTATTGTAAAATGTATTAGGGGTGCAGAATTGTGTATAAGGCTGATTAATTAACGATTACATATTAATAATATTATTATAATTACCATTAAAATAGTCTGGTTCTGGTAAACTCTCCATCTCTAAAAATAAAGTGTAACCCAAGAATAGATCACTCTGGTACAGGAAGCAAACAAAGTTCAAAGTTCATAAGGTTGAGTTGACGTTCTTAGTTATCTGCAAAATCGTTTGCTAGACTTGTGTAAAGTGAAATAGAGCGTATTCTATTTTATCTTGCTTTGTTGCAGTATATTCAGTTAGTTAGTCATTAAGTTTTCCAAATCTTACAATGTCGAAAATTAAAGGTAAGTTTTTTGGGTATATTTAATATTTATGTTAATGTCAGAGTGACTGTTCCATTTTTGGACACGACGTCTCCAATTTAATAATTCTGTAGCCGAGTGTAGCCTGGTCGGCGAGCGCAAACCAAGGCCATGGCCATGGCCACGGTATGAGACTCAATACTCAATTTAGTGATTAGTGAAATTTAGATTTAACAATACTTACTTATGAGTTCACTTTGTCTTTAAGTTTAAAAAATATTCTTAATAACTAGGGCTTAACCAGGTGCAGTTTTTTTGTTACATCCTGTCAGGATATTTTAAGTTGTTACAATGTCGACAATGTACAATTAAAATTAAACAACCCCTTACTTAGACCTTACTAGCCTTACTTCTTAAAACAGTTTTTCCACATTAAAAATTATAAAATGTAATTAACATCTAGCAATGAGGCTGAACATTTGACAAAACATGCATTTAAGTAGCATACTTAATAAATATGAATCCCAATTCAATTAGTGTGCAGCCCCCGTCTCGCAAACGCATATTTTTTTACACACCCCTGACCTGAACTATATATAATATATATATAATATTCTAATGTCCCACCTCAGATTTATTACACCAACTATTTCTGTAAACAAAAGAAAATATTAATTACACACCAAACACACTTGCGATATTTTGAAGAATCTCATTTGGTGCAGTTATCAGGAATTTTATTTAGTGAAATCAGTGGCAGCATTAACTCTTTCTCTCCGGAATTATTTTCCGTGTTCTGACAAATTATCAAATTTTGTTAGGCACTACCATGCTAACTCCAAACCATCATACATTTTTTGTTTTTTAATCAGAAAATGTTAATTTAGGTATGGAATTAAAGGGGAATGCATGCCCTTTACAAGCAAACCAGACTTGGCTTTAAATTTTAATATATAAATGTGATTATCATTTCAGGAAAATCAAAATTTAAAAAAAACAACTTACCAACTGTTCACAAAACGCTCATTTAAAGTCACACGAAGAGAAATATATAATCCAAAGTGTAACAAAAATGTTTTTTTCTATATTCATATGTGCATCACAAATAATAAAGATCAACTTAAAAAAAAGAAAAAAATTTAACACCAGAGCACATTATCCATTGTCACCGTCACACAAAATATTTGCGAAAAAAATTTGCACTGGAAACAATTTGTTGCTATTATAAAATATTTGCACTGTATTCTTGTATGTACTAACATTTATTATGGTAAATGGAAAATTTACCATAAATTTGTCATATCTTTTCATCTGGGGTTTAGCTATGGTAAGCCTAAAAAACAATCCATATGGATGTGCACTTTAGCTGGGGGAGGGGCTGGTTGTTCACCAGCTGATGAATTACCAATTTCCTTATTTTGTCACTAGTACTATTAATACTAGTACTAGGATTATAATCATACGATTCAACAGAATCAGCCTCTGCATTTGAAATCATAAAATCACCGCCTGAATCATCATCAGTGTAATATTTTCAACCTTTATTAGATCGATCACCAGATGGGTCAGGTTAAGATTTCATGTTTGTAAACAAAAATAAAATGGACAATGAAAACAACCGCTTCAAACACTTTGTTCTACGTAAAACCTCGTTCAAACACAGAAAAACTGGATGTTTATCCATAGGGAAATCATTCTAGAATTGATTTGAAATAATTGAAAACCAATAGCTAAGAAAAGAACTGAAATAAACAGGTTTTTATACATCGACAATACCGTCGTTGATACGCCAAATCTTCATTTCAAATCGACGACGGGAGCATTGTTCCGGAGAGAAAGAGTTAAAACTGATTGTTCGGGGCTGGGCTGAAAATTTGATAGACTGTCTTGTCGTCTGCAACAAGTCTATATGCCAAGTTTCAACTTAATATGTTGACGGGAAGTGGGTCAATTAGCCTTCTAAAGCTTTTGCCACAAACACAAAAGAAACAGGAACAAAAGCATAAGGATTTTTAAAAAAAAAAGTTAACTTCTTATTTTCTATAATATATGCCGACTTTTAAACAATAGGTCTACAGACTGTACTATACTCTAGCTGCCGTCCTTTAAACAATATGCTTACAGGCGGTCCTACATCCTACCTGCCGACATGTAAACAATAGGCCTACAGACAGTCCTACACCATACCACAGACAGTCCTACACCATACCACAGACAGTCCTACACCATACCTATGACTCTTTATTGATTAATGTAATGGTCCTTTAAAGAAAAAAATTCACCATTTTTACCGGCGTTTAGACGTCACGCATGAAAGCTTGCTGTGTGAATGCTATTTTCTTCACTCAGTACTATTAATTTCAAACATGGGGGGGGGGGGGGGGGGGAGATCAAAAGGAAGCAGGATGACCAGAAACAATAAGAGATAAAATTATCCTACCATGTTTCATGGTTTAGCCAACTAACACTCAGTCCCAGGGTTGGTATCACCAAGTGAGGTAAGTTCTCATTAGAGCAATTCTTAATCAGATTATGCAGAATTGCTTATAGTATTGTTTTTAAATTAAGCCCTAAAGCAAAAAAAGATAGAAGAAAACATAGAATTTGAGGTAACAGTGTGTCTTCTTCAGAATGATGATAAGTTCAAACTCCTTGCAGGCATGAGAGAGGTGACTTACAAAAATGATGTAGTCCATTTTCTGTGTGTGATTTTAATACTGTATCATGGGGTGTTGAACAGCTTGCCATGAAACCTGCTGTGGATGTTCATCAACAGGTGCAGTCTATGAAATCAAGCTGGAGTGTCATGAAGATAAAATTAAAAGTCCTTGGGTGCAAGGGTCAAGCCTTGACTTACTTCGCTGCTGACTGAAAAGTTATCCTGTATAATGTGCATGTCTGCATATGCTTGTGGAATTATGTGATTACAGCTAGTTGAAGTCAGTGACTGTCAATATTCTGCAGTAACCTTAATAGTCCTTCTCAGCAGACAAAAAATGTCTTTATGAAATCTATGAAACTGATGTAGATGTTATAAAAAACTACTGGTTTATACTGAAGCACATACAGTAAAATAGATTCATGCTTTGTCAGTCAGATTTCTATTGTCACATCTATCATATTTATTTAATTCAATCACAAACTACTTTGCTTTAATTATAACACTATTCAAATGTATTTGAAATATAGACATTTGAAGAACTTGGTTTACAAGGAATATTACTCAATGGGTGGATGGCAGAGTCACTAAGATATTAATTTTTAAATCAAAGGCTAAGAAAGGAGCCCCATTGTGGATGTTAAACCAAAAAAAAATAAATAATAGCATGTCAAAACATGACATAACACAAAAGAAAAATATGGAAGCTAAATGTATTTTCTCTAAATGAAAATGAGTCAAAACTTTAACTAAATTATTTGTATAAAAATGTATTTTGTTATGAAAGCTCTTTAAACATCTATGTATCTTGTTACACTGCCTACAGGTAATTTATTTCACTTTTTAATAATTTTTATTCATGTAATTTATGCAACTACTTTTTTAACAATGATTTGATGATATATATTAATCTAAGCGGGGCCATTGAAACTAGTCACTAAACATACCAAGTGTTTAAGTACATCATTATCTATTCCAGGTGGTCCCATTGTTGAGATGCAAGGAGATGAAATGACACGGTAAACAAATGAGATAACAGTATTTAGTGGAAAAGCAAATTAACTTTAATTAAGATAAATAATGCTGGAAAGAAGTATGTGATTTTAAAGTCAAGTGAATTAGTGTTTAATACTAAAATTTTGATGATATGGGTAACATTATTGTGGAGGCTAAAAGCATTATATTTGTAGATGATTATAGGGGTCCTTATAGTTTTATATTTCCATTTAACAAAAATATGTACAAATTCCGCTAAATGTTACTCATTTTTATAAGAATTTGTAAGGCCCAAGTTTTATTGTGCCAGTTATAATACTATGTGGTAAATAATCACCTGAGCACAAATACAAACTTTGGTCTACTATTCTCATACTTAACCTGATTTTTTAAAGATATTTTTTCATCATGCTGCTTTAAACAAATACTTTCCTTCTGGTGCTTAAAGCTAAAAGAATTTCCATTAATTGGAAAATACCATAGAAAATTTCGCTTATTAACTTCATATTTTTTGTTTAAAGCCGAACATATTTAAAATGTTTATTTTTATTTTGGTGCTTAAAGCCAAAAGCATTTCCCTTGAACGAAAATACTATTTAAAAAATATATTTTTCATGATGATACTTAATTTAAAAGGAATAATTATAAGAGTGAAAGTAGAAAACTGACCCTGCAGACAACTCAGACAGAAACAGCTGAGAGGCAGGTATTAATTGGCTGTCCACTTCAGTCTTAATGGTGATAGGTTTCGCTCCAAAACAATTAAAGATGCAGAAATAATTGTCAGTGTTTAAATTCTTTGCTTTTCTTCTTCTTTTATGTAATCCCTTAATTTTCAAATATTTAAAAAAACGTTGATTATTCTTTTACTAGTCTTATTAAAACCTATACATTTATTTATAGTATGCTCTCATTAATATATATAAACATAATGTAAAAAAATCTTAATTTTTCCTCCCCTTTTCAGTATTATTTGGGATGTCATTAAAGAAAAGCTCATTCTTCCATTTGTGGATTTGGAAATTCATTATTTTGATCTTGGCATTGAAAACAGAGATGCTACTGATGACCAAGGTATTGCAATTATTCAAGTGAAGAAAAATGTATCACAAAATAATTTGCTAGTACTATTAAACTTTAAAAAATGTCGTATATTACTAAAATTTTGGAAAAAAATTAAATGGTGTTTTGAATATTTAACACTACTAAACCAGACATGTATTTTTACTCCCACTTGAAGGGCAATTCAAAAGGGGGTTATTACTTCCCTTGTCATCTAGAGTTATCATACTTTAGTGATGAGTACTTGTGCAACTAAATATTAAATCAGTCTTGCAAATATGTTATTATTAATTCTCGTTAATTTACAAACAAAATTTGTTATTGGTTTATTGCCTTTGTCGTATAGGAAATTCTAAACTAACAAGACTAATAAAATAAATTAAAAAATCAATATAAAAAAAAAAATAATCATCATTACTTAGCTGATATTTAATTAAAAAGACTTATTAAATACCCCTACAAAGCCTTATCTATGCCAAGCAAGTTCACTTTTAGTGGAAAAAAATCATGACATTTTAACAGATTTTAAGGAAAATTAAAAAAAAAAAACAAGTCTCCAATAGAGATGTGTGGATTGTAACAAACTGAAACCCTGCTGACAACCGAACCTGAACTGAACCCTGCTGATGACCGAAATCAATCTTCAATGTCATCAAGTACAAACAAATCATAATGAACCTATCACAAACTTATTAGAATGTCAATGTTTTATGAAATTGGGACATTATGACTTATGCCAGAAATGTTTATATTTTAATTAAAAATTGAAAACCCAAGTGCAAAAAGATTTTTCTGGAAACAACCATATTTTTTATCATTCCCTACCCCCTTCTCCCCTGCCGACACCCTTTCCCGCATAGTCTTGAGTTGTATTAATGCTTGACAAATTAAACAACACGTTTTAGCCGACTCTATTTCATCGAGTATCAGTGAGTGTATCGTTCAAAGACAAACAATATTATAAGTTTGTATAAATCTAGAAATACACATTGAGTAAGAAAAGTTTCAGTCAAGACTAGTTACATTCTTTTTAAATTTATTATTTACTCTCTTCACATGATTCACATGTCCTTGGCCGTTGGAAAATTTAAAAAAAAATGATTCTCTCATTCAATCATATTGATTGCAAGGTTAAAATATTCTTGTTTCAGTTACTATTGATGCAGCAGAGGCCATTAAAAAGTATAATGTTGGTGTCAAATGTGCAACCATCACTCCTGATGAAAAAAGAGTGGAAGGTAATGTACCTTGGTTCATTGCTGCTTTTCTCCTTCTTTGATAGGTTTGCAATCAAATTCTTTCATGCTACATACTTATTTGGTTATTTAATAAAAGTTGTATACATTAAGTACATGATTCTCTTTGTATATCTGGATATAAAGCTGTAAGATGCAGAGTGCACTCAAAAGTTGAAAATATTACTTTCTCTGCTTGCATTTTTCTAATTATTATTTTTATCTACCACTTAAAATTAATTGCACTAACTAATAATGAGCACTATTTGGTTTATTTTTTAAAAAATGAAGGGAATTTTGAATATGTTATCGAGTGGCATTTTGCAAAATCAAATAATAAAAATAATTGTGATCTGTTTTATATGTGAATGAATCAAGCAAGAATTAGATTAAATGCCATGTATTCTTTTTATGATGCAAATATTTGTTAATAAATTCAAACTGTAACCATAGCCATGGTGTGTTGATGGAGAAAACTGCCTCTTGACCTAAACTTAGCTGAATAGATTTTGTAAAAAATAACTTTTATTTTTGTAAGTTACTGATACGACGAAAATTATAATTTAAAAATTTTAAAAGATTTATTTCTTAATCTACTCACATATTAATTAAACTTTGTATTTTAAATCATAATAGTTTCCAGACTGCTAAATAATAATATTTTAATGGGATCAACTAGAATGATGGAAAGAAAATTTAATTTTTTTGATTTGCATTTTTTACCAAACATTAAACAACAATTCAATTTTGGATATTAATAAAATTTAAATTTACACTACGTTATGAGAGAATCCTTTATTTTTTACAAGGTAAATCTAATTATAAATTATTATACAAATTAATATTTTTAGTCATTGAATTTCTAGACAATGTCACAAACATTTAAACTATTTTTCTCGCCTAATTTCAAGCAAGAAATAAAACATAACCACAATAGTTTGGAGATAGAAATACAAGTCCAATACAAAACTTAATCACCTGGAAACATGAAGATTATAAATGATAGATTTCTTATTAAAAGTCCAATAAAATTATTTACCAAATTTATTTTTTCTTTGAAGAATTTAAGCTCAAGAAAATGTGGAAATCCCCAAACGGAACAATTCGTAACATCCTAGGCGGGACAGTTTTCAGAGAGGCCATTATCTGCAAGAACATTCCACGTTTGGTGCCAGGGTGGAGTAAAAGTATTGTCATAGGACGTCATGCCTTTGGTGATCAGGTATGTTATTTTCTTATTTCAGAATATATGATTTTATTTGTCAAACCTAAGAAAACAAGAAGTGCCTGGTGCAAAGGTGATCACTGTGTAAAAGATTGTGTTCTTAAACTAGATTTAGTGTAGTTGGTGGAATGCCCATTCCTATTACCTTTTAACAGTGGTTTAAAATAATTTTAAATTATTATCAGCAATTTTAAACACAAGATGTCTTAGAGTTGATCCACTGTAGCTTCATGCTGTGGGTTTAGTTATTGTTTTATTGTAACCTGTTCACAAAAATGATGAATGTATTTCTTTTATTGCATTCTGGAAGCTACATTGACTTATTTAACATTAGATGTAGAATAAGTTGGTCTAATCAGCTCAGCAAATGAAGTAATCAGTCAATATTAAGAAATTTCTGTTTAAGTCTTATTTCACTTATTACATATAACTTGAAAATAAGAAGAATTTCTTGCTTATTTCATGTGGTTAAAGACTGTAACATGTTTTAAAATACAGTATATTGTTTTGATTACTCAAGTGTTAAAAATGTCAAGAATACAGCACACTAAAAAAATTTGTTTTGATTGTGTTTTTTAATGAATGTGCATCAGAGGTTGGCGAAGCAATGATTTTTAAAAAAATTAAATTTAGTCTTCAGGGATGCTGTTGTACACGTTTGACTTGAAACATTGTGTCAACAAAGATTTTTGAGTCCCATTGAAGTCCACTTTCCCCGTCGTTAAATTCATCAGTTTCAAGTAAAAATCATCATGAAGTTTGCATCAGCTCAGCCTAACAAAACCCATTAACTTCATTAACCATTCATCAGAATTATATTCAAGAGCCATTAAATCTACCGTTACAAACAATAACAAAAAAAATCAATAATGTTTAAAAGTAAAATGAGACTTAGAGACAATTTTATGTGGTCAAACATTTTTCATTATCACAGAAAAATTAAATCTGCTCAAGTTAATTTTCTCAAATTGGTATTTTTTTTTTTTCAACCCATCTTTAAAGTTTAATCTGTGTATATAAATATAGATGTATTAGCTTACTGAAGATCTTCAACATAACTCTGAGTATTCTTCATCATCTAACTATATTTTACTGAGGTAGTAACTGATGATTAAGTTAATAGTAGATCAATAAAATTCCATTAGATAAGGGTTTCCCAACCTGGGGTGCTCGTCCATTAGATAAGGGTTTCCCAACCTGGGGTGCTCGTCCATTAGATAAGGGTTTCCCAACCTGGGGTGCTCGTCCATTAGATAAGGGTTTCCCAACCTGGGGTGCTCATCCATTAGATAAGGCTTTCCCAACCTGGGGTGCTCTCACTCCCAGGGGGTGATTGTACTCCCAGGGGGTGCTCCCACTCCCAGGGGGTGCTCGTGCTCCCAGGGGGTTTTAAGTGGGCTTTCAGGGAGTATGAAGAAAAAGAATTGTAAGAACACAGGAGACATTAGCTTTTTAGCTATCATATAAATGGCTGTATATTTGAAACAATTTCTTCATCAGATTTTCCTCATTGTCATAATTTATGTCACAAGTTTATTTTGTAAGTTCTTCAGCTCTCTTTGAAATTTAATAAATATATTGCAAGTTCATTATTTTCAAATTCAAAAGGCATTGTTACTTTTGTTGGGTTTGCGAAACTAGTCAAATAATTTGTTGAAGTTGCAGAGTTGGCAAATACTGCTTTAGACGACCGCCTTTAAATATGAATAAATCAAAGCAATTTAAAAGTCACAAGCACCTTGCACATAAAATACAACAGGAAAAATTTGGGAAACCTTGGCATGCTCTCTTATAAAATACTCTGAAACTCTTCGCCTTTAAAATAGGTTGGTATAACTGATTGTTGAGTACCAGTGAAATTCCAATCAAAATATTAAATTTTTGGCAATGGATTAACATAGATGTTAAACATATAGTCTGTGGAGAAGAAATTCACAGACGGGTGTGCCATTGAGATTTTATTTCCTGACACTTTTAAATTTTGTGTGACTTTGATAAATGCTATTTGATATCAGAATGCTCATTTTGACATTTACAACTTGAAGACATTAATTTTGGATAATCTGGAACTTGTACCAAATTTAGAAAGCTAAATTATTGCTACACAGCACATAGGTCATAAAATATTCAAAACCCCTTTCGATAGTTCCCTATCTTATTTTGTGTTGCAGTAAACAAATTAGGTATCCTTTTACCATTTTTTAAAAATTGGGCCTGTCAAAGAATTAATACTTAAATTGTGTAGCACAAGATGTTGGTTTTCTATATTTATTCTCACCCAGATACTGTACTTTTATTTCATTTAGTTGACACATTTAAAATCAGTTGCCTACTAAAATATCTAGTGGCATCCAGAGACAGTAAACGTGAGCACTTGTTTTTTCGTTTTGTAATAAAATAGTGTAACTATGAGCTTTTCTGCATTTTTTTGTGACAAGCATATTTCATCTTTCAGCTTAAATCCACTACACTGGCTGTAACATAATATCCTATTCTACCATTGTACTAAAGCAAATGAGATATCCTTGATTATTAGAGATTATACTTTATCATTTTTATCTTATTTGTTACAGTATAAAGCCACAGACTTTGTGGTGCCCGGTCCAGGTAAGCTGACAATAAAATATGCACCTCTTGATGGAAGTGCTCCAGTGGAATACACAGTGTTTGACTTTGAGGAATCTGGAGGTGTAGCCATGGGAATGTATAACACAGATCAGGTGAGTTGACCTAATAGATATACGGTAGTCTCTATTTTTTTATACTTCATTAACATTCATATTGTGTTTAGTATCCGATTTGTGTGTTGCAGATTAGTAGATACAAAATTCCACAAAGTAAAAATATGTCAGAAAATTCCATTTCTATTAATTTTATTATGTTATATAAATAATTGTAATGAGATATTACTAAATAAAAATATTTTCTTTAAGCTCTGTTTTGTGGTTTAAGACCTGTATACTAAAAATAATCAAATTGAATTCTCAGCTATAATATTTAATGGCCATTTAAAAATATAATTATCCCTATTTTTTTGTTGAAATGTATAATATAACGTGATAAATCAATGTTTGCCTAGCAAGGAACTGTACTTTTATTATTTTATAAATTAAACAAACTGTTAATCAGGTAATTTTATAAAGAATCTGATATCATAATTCATTATTTGATGAATACTAGATGAATACTAGATGTATATTATCTTCAACTTACACAGAGCATAACTGATTTTGCACACAGTTCATTCCAGTTTGCATTACAAAAGGAATGGCCTCTTTACCTCAGGTAATTAACTTTTCTTTGCCTTCCTCAATTTCTTGTTGATATATATCAAACATTCTTCCCCCATCAATAACATTAATCCCTGTGCTAAAATGCAAAGTATTCTTCTGGAGTTTAAAAGTTGTTTCTTAAAATCTATTTATTATATATATGATTAATATGTTTTATAAAATGCTTGTGAAACAGTGTTCGCACAGCCTTTGAAGGATTTGAAAGAAAAAAAATTAATTCCCGGAAAGTTTGAGAAAAAACATGGGGGTCTTTTTGTTTTTTAAAGTTTGGGTACAGTGATGCAAAAAAAAATTTGAAAGAAAAGAAAAATGTTGTTTTTCAATTAAACTGACTTGTGCAGTGCACATTTCTAATGATCCGTAACCCTGCAAGAAAGAAATTTGTTGATTGGTCTGTAGCTTTCTGCCAATCAAATTAATCTTGACAAGTGAGCGATTGCTTAGTAACTGCCACTGTTTTGAATAGGCCTACATGTTCTTAAGTAAAATTTGTTGGCCTTTGTTATCATTTTTGATTTGGATAAGCAGCATGTGTGTTTTCTATTGAAATGTTTCAAATCTGATGTACAGTTTACAATAATAAACATGACTTGAGTTTGTTCTTTTAATGATATATGGCTCAATAAGTCAGAATACAAGTTATGGCTACAAAAAAAAGTGAGGGAAGACAAGAGGAAAGCCTATTGTAATGTTTGTAAAAAAAAAAATCGCTAAGAGTATCCTGATGAAAATTTTGAACCATTTGAAAGAGCTACTGGTATCCTGATGAAAATACTGAACCATTTGAAAGAGCTACCGGTATCACGATGATACCAAATCTGGAAATCTATGTAAAGAGTGAGGCAAAACCCTTCCCAAGCCCTCTTGCAAATCCTTTAAGGATGTCTGCTACGCCTTTGAAGAACCTCTCTCAATGGAAAAGCTGCACTTGTTCTTAGTGGTTACCAGAGAATTACAACCACTTCTTAAGTTGAACCAGACATCCCTATGATGCCATTTTTCTGGAGTTTGGTTCAGTCTCTTATGTCAAGGTTCATCCAGCCAGAGTTAATGTTGGTGGCCAAATATGTCACAGCTATGTGGAGATTAGATTTTTTAGAGAAAAATAATCAAATGGATACCAGCAAAATGATTGTTGCATTTTTTGCCTCCAAGCTTGGAAGTTTGGAAGGCATTTTCAATTGCCACTTTAAAGAAGATAATGAGAAATATTTCCTTGCTGGACCCAAGGTTCATGGTGTCTGAATTTAGACAACATGAAATGAAAAGCTAAATTTGTCAGAGTGATGTGTGAAGCAAAATGAGCTAAAGAGTTAAACTGTGACACCATCTTGATTCAGTATGAAAAATATTTTGTCTAGCATCACAGCCAATTCATTGGAACACAGAAATTTCTTTCCTTCTGAAAGTAGGGATGGTGAATTTGCATTTTTCTACTGTCTTAAACTGAAGGGATTTGATTAACAAAATACGGATTTACTCATAGTTTGAAATATTTTGTTTTTTTAGCATAATTAAAGGAAATCAAGCAATCAAACATTTTTTACTATAAAAACTTTACCCCGTGCAACGTGTTATTATTTCCATATAATTCATGTTACATAAAAACTATTAATATAAGTTAACATTCAATCTTCAGTCGAACTTACCAATCACTTATTTGTCAATATTATGAAAGCACTTAAATTTACTTACCAATCATGTATCTTCACGTCACGACTCACGTCTCCATTTACACATTACACACACACGATGTAAAAACAGAACAAATCACAACGCCATGAGTCTTCACAAATGAACAGTACACAGATCAGCTCTCTTTGAACTTGAGACAAATGGTGTGAGGGGTTGGCACTTTGCACATCACATAAATTATTGAAATGTCTTGCTTTAACTATGACATAGAAACTAAGAAAAGTGATAAAAAAATGTTGAAAATGAAATCCCGGGAACTTCGAAAATCCCGGTTTCATCAATTCCAATCGCGCTTTTTCAAGTATTCTTCTTCTTCTATATCTTAAGGGCCCACGCATTCATTCATTCATCTGGTTCCGTTTTTATTGAGAGTGGGGATGCCAGATTGGGACCCTAGTATGAACCATGTTTATAAAATATAACTTGTTATTTGAAATATTCAAGTATTGAATATAATTAATGGATGCTTGGAACTTTCAGTTTAGCTTCTTATAAAGAAAATAATATCTTTGTTTTAGCCAAAACTTTATATTTATTTGTATAAAAATATTTACTTTGTTTTTAACCTTTAGTTCATTGACAGATGTGATTTTTAAAAATTCCTTTATTTAATAGCACCAAAAACACAATCTTGAAAAAGTATGATGGCAGATTCAAGGATATTTTTCAAGAAATCTATGAGAGGTTTGCTATTTATAGTTAGTCTGTTAATACTGTTCGCTTCTGGAGCGAGCATCTTTTAGACTTAGTTTTAATATCTTATATTTCTGGATATTTTGAAAGCTTTTTTTCATTCACTTGGTTAGATTATTATTTTTTTTTTATTTTATCATTACATCAGTGTCTCAAATAACCTTACAAAAATATATTTCTGAAATTTTTTTTAATATTAAAAATTAAACAGCAATTTGTTTAAAAAATATATTTAAATAAACTGTACTTTGACCACTGTTTAAATAAGTTAACTTTTTATTTTCCTAAGAGAGTACAAAAAACACTTTGAAGCCAAAGGCATCTGGTATGAGCATCGTCTGATAGATGATATGGTTGCATATTGTATGAAGTCAGAGGGAGGCTTTGTGTGGGCTTGCAAGAACTATGATGGTGATGTCCAGTCTGATTCTGTGGCACAAGGTAAAGTCTTGCCATAGTTTCTCTCTTGTGAGACATTATATAATCTTTGAAAAACAGCATTTACCTAACAGATGTTAGTTCCACAAGCTAAAATGTTAATCATTATTTTTAATGTTAATATATGTCATCCAGGCTTTGGCTCATTGGGTATGATGACCAGTGTCCTGATTTGTCCAGATGGTAAAACTGTGGAGGCTGAGGCAGCTCATGGCACAGTCACCCGGCATTTTAGATTTTATCAGCAAGGCAAAGAGACCTCCACAAATCCAATAGGTAGTGTTGAATTATTTTACAAATCAGGCTGTTGGTTGTCGGCAACATTACTAGACACAGTTTTGAGATGACTTATTAAAAAGTCTTCATTTTATGTTTAAAAGCTTTGTTGCCCTATGATCCAACTTTTGAATTTCGCATTTAGTTGTTTACAACTCAGAAGATAATCATATTTCTTTCATCTTTTATTTCTACCTGATTAATTCTTTTAGTGTATTCCCATTTTTTAAATCAAAATTGGGTTATCAGATATTAACTTGTAGATGTTTTATATTGCATAATTTGCACAAAATTAAAGTGAAAGCTGTGTTTTAAACACTTTATGGATTCTGGCCATCTGTCTACATTGAGAAATTAACATAGAAGATAGCATTGACTCTCTGTAGTATAACTAATAATGGGGACTTTTTTTCTCATCTTAGTATGGAACTCTTCTGGCTTAACTTTGTGATCTTTGTTGTGTGACAAATTGAACTATTAATGGCCCATCAACAACCTGATCAAAAGACATGAGATATATTTTTTAAATATTTTAAAAGTTGGGCACTTTTTTTAGTTGATGATCTACAACTTTCCTATTTTAAAAGTAACAATTATTGTGCATAAAGGAATATTCCATTCACTGCAGTTTATGTGCATTGTCATAACATATGACCCCTTCACTTACTTCCAAGCTTCCATTTTTGCTTGGACTCGTGGTCTTGCTCACCGAGCCAAGTTGGATAACAACCCGGAACTGGCCAAGTTCTCTGAGAATCTTGAGGCTGTTTGTGTTGACACCATTGAATCTGGAATCATGACCAAAGATCTGGCTATTTGTATCAAAGGGATGAACGAGTAAGTCAAGGAATGAATGCTTAAGTAAATGGCTTTATGTTTGGGTACTGACACTTAAGGGGGAAAATATAAACATATTTATTTGATTTGGGTATTACAGACCTGGTTACTCTTACGATTTTGGCATACAATGTACGATTATGAGATGCTTTTTATGATTGTGCGCCGAAACATGTTAGAAAATACAAATCTCAGAGACCGGATGGAAAATATATAATCTAACAGTTTTTGTCATTTAAAAAAAACTAACAAACAAATCTTTTTGTGATGTTAGTTTTAGCTCCTTTCCATATTGGGCAGTGAATGGAACAAGAAATAGGATTGGTTAGGGACCATCCATAATTATATTATGTATGCACTGAGGCGGATATGGGGAGTTGGTGTTGAACAAGGAACATACGGGTGCGCATGGGAAGGGCTAAGGGATAGGTGTCTAAATATTTTTAAATAAGACCGCCACTTTTCATAATGATGGTGATCATCAAATTGTTTCTTTGGGTTTTCACTCGGTGCTGCATGTTCGTGACCATTAACGCTTTCCTCCTCCCCAAACCCCACTCCACGGGCGTCTCCAATTTCCTCCTCCCATCCCCATCTTTGTCTTCACCTATCAAAGTGGCAAAGACTTTGGTAAGTGACCTTTTTTAGACATGTGATGCCAATAGTTATTGTATACATTATAATTTATGTTTATTTATTTACTCTTACGATACAGCATTGTACAATTTTGAGATGGTTATCCTGAAATGATATTGTACTATTTTGGGAAATCAGGGTAACCTGGTCTCGTTTTTGAAGAAAATAATAACATTACGGTTTTGTTGAATCAAAATAATTTTTTCAACAAATAATAATTTATTAACTTATTTATACAAAAACTAGTTTCAGTGGTCTTGAAAATCAAACTAAAGTACACAACCAAAGGTAGAAATATTCAGTCACTCAATTCACCCATTTTCTTGGGTGAAAACTTAACAGTTGTACTTTATCAGGTGAAAAGTTCACCAAATTGCATGGCACTCACTACTGATACAACTATTTTAAAATGTTTTCAACAGTGTTACACGCAAAGATTATCAGGAGACCTTAGAATTCTTGAACACTTTGGCAGCAAATCTGAAAAAGAAGCTTGAGTCAAGTTGACTACAGGAAGGAAGTGATTATACCAGTGTAAAGGGAAGGCTGTAGGCCAGCCACTGGTTTCCATTTTAAAATGTCAACAATCATTTCAAATAATCATATAAAATATGTTTGTTGGTGATCCTGCATTTAGTGGTTAATTGTAATGTCTGTGATTGAACACAAACCAATGAAAATTAAATAAATATTTGTGTCCTATTTATACATCAATGTGGGAATGTAATGAGGAGCTTTAATTATTTATTCAATAAGAGCCATTGGGGGTAAATTGCTGATAACTATGACAGACTGATCATATTTTTAAAATTTGTTGTTTCAGATTATTTTACTTTTGACCATCTAATTTCTATGCATTCAAGTGGGCAGCAGGTCAAGCTAGATTTATTTTAAATATTTTTTATAGTTCAATAAAAAATATTTTTATTTTAAAATTTAAGGTAAAAGAAAACAACCTGCACTGAAATTATATATTTTTTTATTTTTTAAGACTTTTCGTCAATAAATTATTTGTATTTTATTATAAACTTGACAGTGTGATACAGTTACTGTAATTTTCTATGCTCTCATTTGGACTAATTCAAATTTTCACATGAAAATGTGACGTTGATTAAAATTTAATAATTTTCTTTTTAAAGTTTACAAAATGCAATACAAATCTAATTCATATTTTAATTACTGTCAACACATAGTAAGTACTTAAATTCTTAGCCAAGTTCATAATTGGCATTAAAATGATTAAGGTGGTCATAGTCCACAGACAAACCATATACAAACTATATATACTTAAATATAGCTTAATGAAAAAGTATTAATTGTGCTAATATTAATATTCTGTAAAAAATATTCCACACCTCTGAAATCTCAAGTTGTTTGGGAAACTTCAACAGCGATTTTGTTATTATTAAAAGCTTTAACTGCATGATTTGCATTTTTTATAAAGATAATCTCCCTCCTACATAAGGACCAAAGCTATTTAGATGTGTGAACTGCATTTGATATTTTGCTAAAGGAACATTTTAAGTTTTATTTAAAAAATTATTTTAATGCAAAAAAAGTGGGGTGGGATTTTTTTAACTAACAGTTTTATCACCTGAAAGAAATCTATCTCTTAGGTATGCTACAGTGACATTTTGACATTCCTGTCAAGTCTGCTCACTACCAGCTCATTTTGAAGGATGCTTTATAAATGCTATACGATTTACAAAGACATCCATTTAGCTCTTCCATGTACTGCCTTTAAACTACTAGATACTCCAAACTATTAATTTTATATACTGTTTTTAAAAAATTTTCACATTTTGAAAATGATGCTAATTAATTATTTTATCTAGACTTTAAAACACTGTTGTAACAAATGCCTTATAAACTGAATATTTATAAATTACATACTGAATCTAAATTATTTTTCCACCATTGTGGATAAAATCAGAGACTATAAATTAATTATGGGTGAATGTAAAACCATTTTATAACAAGCCTACTAAAATGGTATCAGGCCATTCAAACATGTTCTTTTTTGTGATACTTTGTTGTAATAATTTTTATTGTAATAAGCTATTAAAATTATGTCCTGTGAGATATGGCAGTAACATTTCAAATTTATTCCAGCATACAAGTCTATGTGAATTTGTAAATTATTAGAAAACTGTCATGTAAAGATCTGTTATTTTTGCCCAGATGCAATTAAAAAAAAACATTATTTATCTTGATGTATGTTTTTCAACACACATTTTCCAGCTTGACATGTATTATTTACTCCAGAATTATCTGTGACTTAAATTTGAACCATCTCAAGGTTTTGAACAATTATACTGGTTAAGATCTTAGTCATAATTTTGGGGTAATAAGGGGAGAGACTGCAATCAGGTTAGTACAAAATAAAATGAGTAAAACAGAGTATGGTTAAACCTGAAAAATTAAACGTAACAAAACAGCGAACGTGTCGGCAGAAAGCCTTCGTCAGCGAACAAAACAACAGAAAAAAACGTTATAAAAATAAGAAATTCAACTTAATTACAAATCAATAATTTTAAGCATACACAACAGTACAACTATAATTAATTCAATATAATTACACTCGGACAACAATACAAAACATAATTACACTCGGACAACAAAGGGAGGGCACTTTTATTTAATAAAAGGAATTAGGGGAGAGGGGGGTTTGATGTATATGATTTGCTTAATGTTTGCTTGTATTACTGTAGAAATTCATTGTGTAGCTGTTGCTACACTTCTATTGCTGCCCACAGATACTACTTACCAGCTAAGTGCTATTTCTTATTTTTATAACGTTTTTTTCTGTTGTTTTGTTCGCTGACGAAGGCTTTCTGCCGACACGTTCGCTGTTTTGTTACGTTTAATTTTTCAGGTTTAACCATACTCTGTTTTACTCATTTTATTTAGTCATAATTTTGCAATGTTATCTAACAATGTATAATTGCTAAGAAATTAATATTCATTTGATTGCTCATATCATAGGTTTTAAGAATTTTTAAAATATTTTTAAGTTAATCAAATTGTTTTTTTAAAACCACTAACTGTAATTAAGTGTAAAACGTAAACATTGGTAATTCATCTGCTTATGGGTTTCAGTTTTTCATTCTTGCCATTAAATGAATAAGTTCAAGTAATACCTATTTATTAAAAATTTTTTACCCCAACACTTGCTGAAAGTTTTGCCTTTCATTGACATACTTATGAAATTTTTGCATTTAGAAATTAAACTCTCTGTTATTAGACATTTTGATATTGTTTATCAATAACTAAGCTTTAGACCAGAATCAAGCAGAATAACACAAGCAGCTTACTCAATGCCTATTTAAAAAAAAAAAAAAAAATGATTAACACAACTGTAACTTTTTGTACTCCGAAAGTTATTTTTTATTATTATATAGTTGCCATCCCATACAGTTGGGTGAAAATTTTCATGGTACATTTCATGCAGCAGGTAAACAAGATTTCACATTCATATCAGGTAGATATAAATTTAAATAATACTTAATCATTCCTGGAAATAAATCATTTTTAGTATTTAATATAATGGACAAATGAAAAAAATGGCTGCAATTAAAAGGGGTAATTTTTATCATATGAAAGATTATGTTTTTCATTAAAGAAGTTTTAGAAGAAAAGTCAAAATTAAAAATGAGAAAGAAAATCTATGTTATTGACATCTGTATAGCATTTTAAAATCACAATTAAGGATAAAATTACCAGTTAATTTTCAAGACTTTCCCATAAGGGTTAGCTTGATCATGTTAGCTTTAAATATAATTAAAATATAAACATTCTTTTAGCTTAATACCTTTTTAAAAAAAAATGTTTTTAATGACTACAAATCAAATTTATTTATATACATATATTTTTAAAAAAGGATAAAATAGATGCAATGCTGGACACTTTTTAAATACAATAAAATTGTTCTGGAAAATTACATTAACATTACTTTCACATTATGCAGTACAAGAAAATAAAGATTGCAAACAAAACATTTTAATTATATCTTATTCATCTTTAAAATTTATTTTGTTCCATAATAAAATTGCAAAACGTTTTAAATTTTTAAGTTAGAATAAGTAAAGAATAGTTGTAGGACTTTTATTAATTCAATTTAGTAAGTAGTCATTTTGCTTTAAATACATTTCTCAACAGCTCCCAAACCGCTTACTTAAAAAATGTCTCGGAAAGTCAATGTCATAGTCTTTCATGTAATTGTTTAATATTTAAAAATAAGCAATAAATACATCTGATGATGTCTAGATTTATTTAAAAGCCTATAAGCAATTCATTATATAAAAAAACTATCTTGAATTTTTCAAAATTTAAATGCTGTATCTAAGTATTTATTGCAAACATCATCTTAAAAAAAAAACTCACAGAAAAATCTAACTTTACATAAAGTCAAGATTACTGCAACATTAAAATTAATTTACATTAAACATAACAGAAAGGCATATTCAAGGAAAGGGTTAATTCATACATCACAAAAGTTTTATCACTTAATTGACATAGAATAGGGACAACTGAAATTATTATGCCTAACTGATCACAATTAATTGTTTTCCATGAACAATCAAATACAAAAAAATAAATTTTGGAGTCTTGGATTGAAAATTATACATGTTAAAACTTGCTTAGATTAATTGATCTTCAACCATTGGAAATTGCAGTATAAATTTTAAGTAATAGAGTGATAACGTAAGTCATCAATGATATTAAGAAATTTGCTTGAGAAACTATCAAATGACACTCAAGAAAAAAATTAGCACTCAATCAAAATTACAATTATTAAGGGATTAATTTAGAAATAAATTTTTGTTAAGTGTGAGAAAACCATCCCACAGATATCTTAAATTTAAAAAATGATCCAAGTGCCTATAACATAAAGAAGTAATTGGTTCACTAATTTTTTTTAGGATTTTGTTAGGGTACCTGCCTACTGTCAATGCTTCTTACCAGCTATGCAATGACATCCAATTTGATATATTAAGCAGTGGACTTTGGAAAAAATATTAATAAGTGAAGCGTCAACGTTTTAAATTAAAAAATTATACTTATGTTTTTATTTTTTAAGCAGCTCATTAATTTAATGAAATGGAAAAATCAATTTCTTAATCATGTGAACAAATCACACTTTGAAAACTCAGGATTAATCTTCAAGCTTACCTTTAAAGTTAAAAAAGGGACCTTTAAAAATCTTAGATATGTAATTATATCCAATAACTCACGACAAAAATGAAATCCCATCAGTTTCTTTCATTGCTACAGTTTTATACTAACTTTAATAAAAGAAAGCTTGTTCTAACAGAACATATGTTTTAGTTGTGTTTCCCAACCCAACTTGTTGTGGCAGAGGGTTTTCTGCCAACATGAAGAGAACAAAAATATTTTTAAGACTTTTCTTATTTTTAATCAGTGTCTTAATAAATTTTAAATAAGTTGATAAACTGCATCCTTTTTTAAATGTGTTTTCTTCTACTGTATTTTTTTTAAAATGTATAAGGGTCATTGGTCACTTTTCTTCAATACAATGGGCTTGGGATTTTAAAAAGGTTATGTGCAAGACCACTAATAATAATAATAATTATAATAATAAGGGTTCTAGTCATTGAAATTTATCATTTCTAAAATCACAGCAACAACTTACAATTTTTTCAACTAAGTTTGAACATTATTTTTATCCAACTACCAATTTTACAAACTGATAATGAGCCATGTTCAAATGTATAAAACTATAGGCTTATAAGTGAGCATTCAGAGACAGTTTTGGTTATAAAAAAAAAAAAAAAACAAGAACAAACGTGTGGTATTAAATCCAAGCAAAGTTTAAGTTGATTGAAATTCTTTAACAGGAAACAGTGTTTATTTTTATCCAACTACCAATTTTACAAACTGATAATGAGCCATGTTCAAATGTATAAAACTATAGGCTTATAAGTGAGCATTCAGAGACAGTTTTGGTTATAAAAAAAAAAAAAAAAACAAGAACAAACGTGTGGTATTAAATCCAAGCAAAGTTTAAGTTGATTGAAATTCTTTAACAGGAAACAGTGCTCTAAAATATTTATATTACTTAGATTTCCCATAATTGTTTATATGGTATTGTATCACCTTAAATAAGTCCAAAACAATTATGCAATGTTTGAATGAAACAGATGTGCAATGGACAATTTCTTAATGAAATATTTAAATACAGCCACAATTTGAAATAATAATATCTCCAAACAGAAAAAATGTGTAATAAGGTGGTTAAATTCTACTTATAATAGCAGTACTCTATTTTGAAATGGCATTGCTTTATGCAATAGAATGATAGTGTCTAGTGGAGTTTGAAGCCTGACATTTTAGTTCAAGACCAATGTATAATAAACCAGTAAAAATAATATTTTACATAGATAAAAAATGACATTTTTTGGTCTGTGTTTTTAGTTTTAAATGGCAAGGCTAAAACAATAAAAGAAATTTTTGTTCCAGAATAATTTTTTTTTTACAGAAGAAGTTTTTGGAATTAATCATTCAAATTGAGGTTTGTAATAATTGGTTAGGGTTAAGGTTAATGGCCACTAAAGTAATCTTAGAGCTATAAATCAAAATGATATTTATCCAATAGTTTTCCACTGACATTACTGGAGCAACTAAACTAAACTTTCGAAGGAAACAAATAGTATGTGAATGGCAAGCATGAATACAATAGAATAACTAAATTTTTTATTAAAATTATGAAAAATCTTTAAATAAAAATAATTGCAATGACATTCTATTTGACTTGAAATGTAAACCTATGCAATGAGTAAAAAAGATATTTTGGGATTCTTAAACACAGTAACTAGTAAATATGAACTATTAATAGTATTGTAGATATTTCTAATATATTTTGACCCATAATAAAAAAAAAAGCCTTATTTTGTTCGCATCACTTACATTTCTTGATCCTTGCTCCAGGTGTACTCGATGACATACTCCGGGTAGGCCTGGTTGCTGTCAAATATAACATACACCTGAGGTGAAAAGATGTTATCCACACATGAATCATAACACTTCCCAAATGGGTTGTTCTGATCAAGGGGCGGAGGACGTTTCAGACCTGAGGAACCGCCAGTGTGGCGTCCTACCAGAACACGAGCTACAAACATAAAATGGCTGTCTGGTTTGGCATCCTGACAGAAGACCGATGCCAGGTCAGTCGAACCTCTACCTCCAGCCTGACTAGTTTCAGAGGATCCATCGGTCTTGCCATTGACTTTGTTCACACTAGCCTTGTTGGCATACAGGCAGCTAGAGTTGACACTGTTATTACTGCTATTGTCTGACAACTTGCAACTGCTACCAGCCTCTGGACCTGAGCCAGTGTTGAAAATATTGGTAAGCCATGGATTTGAGTTTGAAGAACAGGAACCTGAAGGAAACAGTGAGCGAGTATTGACAAACGGTGCACCATTCAGCTGAGATGGAACTGAAGATGTTAGGGGACCCATGGGAGGACGGGCGCCCCCACAGTTTGAATTACATTTTGAATTCACACCAAGAAGCGAGTCTAGAAAGCCATGTGTGTTGAGCACAGCTTGTCTAACAGATTTCAAGGTAGATGACTGGCTAGCATTAAAGTGGAAGGGGGAGTTAGCTGATGATGAAACTAAGAGAGGACCATTATTGGAAGAGGGGAGGCTGGTGGATCCAGAAGACAGCAGGCCGGTAGTTGCTGATGTATGTTGTATTGGTTGAGGTCCAGAGGTCTGATTGTGGGCCGGTACTTGCAAAGAAGACATCTGGCCATGAGCGGGCGGGGGAGGCGGCAGGTGGAAGTGAGCAGGCGGGGGTTGCGGGGGGTGGGTCTGTGACAGGAGTGAAGTGGGCAGGCCCATTAAAGGTGTGACTGTCGGCTGGGCCAGGTTGTACACAGGGAGTGGTCGTAAATGGCCGTGGGGTGCACCAACACCTCGACTGTAGATTGGTCGGAACATTGTGCTTGGTGTACCTCCCAGCCGTACACTCACTCCACTGCCAGCACGGTCTGTGTAGCCGTGGGAATATCTGGACTCTTTGGCAAAGTAAGAACCTGGAGACAGGAAATACTCATTAAATGCATTGTCATACAAGTCCATTGTGATTTTTTAAAGTAAAATTTTTGAATGTATATACACATCATGAAAGATCAAAGAACAATGTTTTGGGGTTTGTATCAAGGTAACCATAGTAGAAGGTCAAGATCACAGGATAAATTAATGTAAATGTAACAAAAGTTAATGGTAATAACCTTGTAATAAAACTTATTGAATCCCAAACATTTATTTAACTGTCAGTGAAATACACTTGTTACGCACTGGCTTCTATTGTGAGAAATTAATCTCTTATTTTAAGTTACTGACTCGTTTTAAACAGTGCCTAACAAAGGACGATACCATATAGAAATACGATAGCAAAAATACAACACTCAAAACAGTACTAATCACAATTAATAAGATTTATTTAAGTATTAATATAATTACAAAACAAAAGAAATATAATTACAATCATCAACTTAAAGAGTATGAGAAGTCTTGTACCGGTACACAGTACAATGTGCCAATTAATAAAGTACAATGATGAATGCGAATAAACACATATGAGTACACACAATAATACACTTGTCTCGTAAAGTGAAAAATATATAATCGAATCTCTCTCGATGAATCTCTGAATCCCCTTTTTATATCTATGCGTCGGTAGGACCACCGCTTCTAGAAATGTCTTCTACATTGTTTATCTTTCTAGTCAATTACCGAAGTCTCCTCAAAATTCTATTAGAATATATTAGTTATTTTTAGTTGATAGTTGTGGAAAACAACGACTAAATGAAAGGAAAAATATGCAACGGCCAATGCGAGCGCCGTCTAATGTGGGGTCAACCAGAGTTCATGGCACGGGAAAAGTGGGGTAAACACGTTAACAACACTTCTGTCATTATATATTCATTTAACTGTCAGTGAAACATACTTCTGTCATTATATATTTATTTCAATGTCAGTGAAACATACTTCTGTCATTATATATTTATTTAAATGTCAGTGAAACATACTTCTGTCATTATATATTTATATAACTAACAGTGAAACAGACACCTGTCATTATATATTTATTTAACTGTCAGTGAAACACACTTCTGTCATATATTTATATAACTGACAGTGAAACAGACACCTGTCATTATATATTTATTTAAATGTAACAAGAGGGCATGTGTGTGGTATATTTCAAGGCTTTTCTCAATGCACAGACCTTGCTTTGATCAGTAGTAATGCGACAAATGTCTCTGTTGTTCCTCGTTTAGTAACAGCACTAACTTTCTTTCTTTTTTTTTTCTTCTTTTTTTTTTTGTAATACTTTATAAAAACCTTGTGTTTCCCCTTCTTTTATCTCATGTTACACTAGCTAATCCGGATGAACATCCCTAATTCCTTTGTTTTCTTTATAGTCATTTTTAGGACTCACGATTACGTAGCTCACTTTCAGCAGCAGACACAGATTCTGGGCCAGACAAAACTTACACCAAGAATCTCAATAAAAGGGATCATGTTATTTATTTAAATGAATAACTTGAAACAATGATTTACAGCAGGCCTGCACAACATATGGCCAGCGGGTTGCACCACTTTGCGGCACGCGACGTAACGAAATTTTTTTTTATTCTTATTATTTTCTAAATAGCTTTCCCACTGTCTATTTTCTTTGGCCCGCACAAGACCTGCCCTGTTTTCTTTTGGCCCGCACAAGGTTTTTATAAAGTATTACGGCCCGCCTTACATTTTGAGTTGTGCAGGACTGATTTATAGGAATGTTTTCCAAGTTATGTCTACAATGTAAACAGCCATATAAAATAACCTTTAAATGTCGTAGTGTATTTGATGATAGTAAAAGGTTTAAGAAACCCTGTCACCATATTTTTCATTGCTGCATTATATGATTAGGAACGGAAAAGAAATGGGACTGATAAAATAACACATCTACATTTTAAGTATGGGATCAAAGATTTATGTGGAATGGCTCAACATTAAAAAATTGCAACACTTCAAACCATTCTAAATATGTCTTTGATGAGACCCTAAGGTTCAAAATTGTAGATCTAAGAATGATTTGAGTTTTCTCTACTCACCACACCCAAAAACAGTTCCGTGTTTTCCACTCAATCTCCAATCAAAACCTTTCCTGGCAATAGCCTCCAGAGTGGATCTGTGTGTACCGTGGAACAACTTAATCTCTGCTACATCCATGCCATCATTCTCCTGAACCATCTCACTTCGCTTCCTGAAAGAAAAACATAATTTGGTCATCATGTCTGTCACTGTCTTTAACATGTAGATTGCATTTGTTATTATCAACAAGCAATGTCATGGCATGGCCCCAGCAACCCATGCGGCTGCAGGGAGCCTTGGATATTGAATGGGGCCCAACTTGTGATGTGGAACAAATTTAATGGAAACTATTTTAAATGGCATTAAATAGCTAAAAACAAAAAACCGAAAAGTGGCAAGGGTCTCCAAAAGTCACATATCTGTCTACAAGAGATAAGCTTGAGGTTAGGTTGTTTTCAATGTCATAAGCATGTATTTTACAAATGAATTTCTGACAAGCAGAAAAAAAATTAAACACTCACAGGGCAAAATATTTCCATAAAATTGGGTTCTGCACACGAATGATGCGCACTATTTCATAGCGTGGAAAGTCCAGTGTCTCATGAAACTGTAAAGCAAGGGCAGTGTACTCTTCTGTGTCAGGGACAACTTCAAACACCATAATGGGCTGTGGATAATTTTTAAACAATAATGTTGACTGAATTCATAGTAAAATTTTACTCTTGCAACACAGGTTGAATGAAATTAAAGCATCTGACAAATTCTATTTAATAATAACCTCAGTAACACAAACTAAATGTCATGCCAAAGAGGTGAAAAATTTGACAACAATAAATTACTGTATTTTCCGGCGTATAGGACGACTTTTTAACCCATGAAAATCTTTTCAAAAGTCGAGGGTTGTCTTATACGCTGGGGGTCGTCTTATGAGCTGGTGCACAGCCCAAACCCTAGATTTTAAAAGGAAAAGTAGGGGGTCGTCTTATAACGGCCAGTCGTCTTATACGCCGGAAAATACGGTATTTATCACCAAGCTGTTTTCAGCAGTTCCTGGTATCAAGTAAATACATAGTCTGGTAATAGGATTGTGGAATAAACGTGTTATTTATCGTCTTAATATTTAGGCTCTCCTCAAAAGTAAAATTTATTTCAAATCATTGTAAAGCAACAAAGACAAGCAGAGCTTTAAATAAAAGATTTTAATAATTTAAAAAAAAAAAAACAATCTGTGTATTTTATTCTCGTGACTAGGTTTTGTTGAAGTAATCAAAGGTTGAAAATTTGTTAAAGCAAAAAATAACAAAATAACTTGTTTTAGTTATTGTCCTTTTAGTATTACTTATTTTTTATGTGATGTATCAAATACAATGTATGTTATATCGGTCTGGTGAAATGTATATATATTTTTTTATATATCTAATGATGGTCATAGACAATGTAGAAGCTGGAGCCTGAGGTGAGAGACTGACAACTTACGGCTCCTCTTTCCATTTGTGTCCAGACAGACGGCAGGTCTTCAGTAGGATCACGAGATTCTGGGGTATAAACCTCTTCATACTTTTTCATGCTTATTGTGGGACATGGCGGGGCCACTGTTTCTGATGTGGCAAACTCTGATCTGTAACGTAATAAAACACAAGGTTTACAATAATTTGGCAGACAAAAATCTAGAATATTTTTAATCTAATCAAATCAGAAACTTAGGTCTTTGTAAAAATTTCTGAAGGATTATAAACTACATTGTTGGAAAAATTTATTTTACTCCAATTTAAACCTGTTAAAATTCATCATGTGAGAAATGTTGAACTATAGAGGGAATGTTACTTTAGAACATACACAGTTGGAAACAGGTAACTTTCCAGTTTAGAGACTTATGAGACTTTTAAAACTAAAATGGATGTCTTGCAGCCATTTTTTTTCTCCTACCTGCTACAGGTGTAAATAATATCCTTACCTAGATTTTAGCTTCTCGTCTGTAAACATCCAATGTGTGATATAGTCCAAATAAGCCTTGTCAAGTTTTTCCTCAAGAATGTCCACAACAAATTGTGGCAGTGTTTGTTTTAGCTCATCTGTTAAAATTCGGAATGTGAAAGACCAAGAGTTAGACCAAGCTTACAAATTAAATAACATTTAATAATATACAAATATATGCACTTGATTTCTAAGCTGAAATCGAAAACAAATTTTCTGTGCTGTCTGTTGAGTCTGCATATGAGAACTAGGCCTTTGAGAGAGTGTTATGTTACATTTATTTTTTATATTAATATTTCCTTTTCAATAATGTGATGATACCTCGGCTTGTTCATGAACTGTCTCTGAAGCAGAATGTTGATACCAGGTGTGTCCAACATTCTGACCCACTTTAAAGAATTACACCATTCATATTTATAAAGGTTCTTAGTGTGTACTGGCAAAGTCAGGGGTGGACAACCAAAAAGGCTTCATGAGCTACTTTGATAGCGAGTTAACTTTTCACAGTCTGCATGTCATTATACCAAATACTTAAATAAAGTTTTATACAATTATAAATCTATACTTAACGCACATAATGATATGCAAAATAAAAAGAAATATAACGAAACAAATGTGAAATATTTGTTTATCTTTGCCTCACTTAACTTTATACAATTGATTTCTGTGTAAATTGAAGGAAGAACGAGTCTCACAAATAAACTTATTTGTTCTTCATTCAATTTACATTATTTAACTTGTTAGGGGTGCACGTGGCGCTTGTTGGCAATGACTGGGCAAGGTTATTTCATATATGGCCAGCTGAAATTGACAACAGACAATGTGGTGCTCAGGAAGTACCGCCCCATGATTATTATTATCTATTTCTTTTAAATAAAGGCTGTTTTGGTAATTATTTATTTTTAAAAAAATAATTGACAATGACATAATTGACTTACCAAATGTTATAACTTTATCACAGTTAGACGAGGGGCATTTTATGTTCCTTTGCTGGGGAATATGAATTTTAAAATTATTAATTGCAGGATTATTTAATTATTTTTTTGTTTAAAAAAAGGAAAATTGTTAAAAAGTCAGAAATCTTACAAATATGTATTATATATTTCTTCAAAATTAAAATAACCCACCTTGACCTTGCCCGTAAGAATGGCCTTGACCTGATCTTCCAAACATGTGACACATACACCATGACCAATTTCACACCTGGACAATTTTTTTCCATGGCTGCTCTTGCTACAGGTGACACACACCATTGCACCCAAGCAGTTACTGTCTGACATGGACCTGTGAAGACTTTTGACAGGCATTTTCCCTTTGGAACTGTGAGGGACCACCATACTGGTGTGTCTTTTGATCAAAGCCTTTTTCAGACCTCCTTCCCAAGGTTCAGGCCTGCCCTGTGAGTTCTTGAGCAAGGATTTGTTGGCCTTTCTGACAGGAGATCCACAGTCTCTGACCACTTTCAGCTTCACCTTTCCCGGCGAGTCATGCGTGACCACCCTCCATTTGGCCTTTGGTTCTTCGTCAAGCTTTTTAGACTCAGAGTTGTCAAAATGCTTCTGGAACCAATCCTCTGTTAGCCACTCATTGTAGTGATTTTTTTTCTCCTTCTGCTTGCCTCCAACTTTAACAGCTTTTGATTTTCCACAGCTTGTGGCTATGTTGTAGGGCTGTGCATTTCTGGTCACGTTTGACACAGCCTCTTTATCAACTTTAGAATGACCAGCCCCATCCTGGTCAAGTGGGTTGTTTGAAGGAACATTTGAATACTGACTAGAGTTATTGTTGACACTGGCAGTCACAGATTTTTTAATTTTAAGCCGCCTGTTTAAAACATAGCGTTTTCTTATTGCCTGGACTGCATTGTACTGAACTTTTGAACTTTCCTTGACTAAAGATAAAACATTAGATGATATTGCAACATTCCCGGGTCTGTTTTCACTAATGTCGTCACTTATGTCAGGGGAGTTACCAGTAGAATCCAAGCCATCTGAAATGGGCTCTTGTACATCACAAAGATGCATGGTTTTGCAAGGCTTGTGACAATGGCTTGCGTGGGAAGATTTGTGACTTTTATTATGCTTACCCCCATTTTGTGAGTCAAAAGAGGGATCTGATTTAGCCTCCGAGTCAGGCAACCTCCTGAAATGTTTATGTTTTCTTTTGCACTTGCTACTCTGTTTTGAGTGCCCTTTCATACATTTATCATCAAAGTTTATAAGTGCCTTTTTGGTTTCACAAAGAACAACTTTAACTTTTTTGTCTATGCAAGGATCTTCAATTAAAGAGGACAACTTGTCACTGTCTCGACTGCAGGAAGATATGACAGCAGCAGTCAGGGGCCTTTTGTGTGCTTCTCTACTTGAGCAGCAACTGGAATGCTTTAGGCCACGACTGTTATAAGCTGCCTGCACTGGTAAATGCACATTTGGTGGAGCACCAAGATGAGAAGAGGATGACTGAGGTATCACAGTAAGCTGGCTATGATGACTTTCTCCAGGTTTTACCAAATCATGTTTACCTAATAAATCACTTACAGTTGACACAGATGAAAATGAATCCGTGGATGGTGTGGTGTCATCACTAGAAGACAACAGATCATCCACACACTGTTTTAGACCCATTAAGTTACTGATACCCGAGTGCGAATCATCAGATGCGTCCTTTGACTTTTGCTGACCATCATTACTGTTATAGTCCTGTGTGTCAAAATGACCTGTGCCCGGCATTTTTAAAAAATCTTCATTTCGTTTCTTTGCATCGATCACATCAGGGGCTAGGAACAAAAACAATGAATCTACATCCTCTCTGCTGAATTTGTCAAATCCAAAGTGTAACATTGTATTGCCGTATTTCTTAAGTGATTTCTCACTCGAGTCTCTCATGCTGGACTGCTGCATAGAGTCGTCACACTTGGATGTACTAGCTTTTTCATCCCTTGCATTTTGACAAAAGCCTGGGCCAAAGGCAGAGTTGAGTCTTGTTGCCCTTTTCACGCCTGAATGACTTTCAGGGCAGGTGGATGGATTTTTGTCTGTGGATACTGAAGTGGTCACTAAGCCACCAGGTAGGACATTGGGCACTCCGGGCAAAATGGAATCCAAATCACTAACTGGTTTACAACTGTCCCCTTCTTGAAGTGAAAGAGATTTGTCTTGATGAGCACAGGAACCGACAGAAATATCTTTAATGTTAAGAAAAAATCCTCTTGCACTGTTATCAATGGCAGGGTTACAGGTTGGTAGATGTTTCTGAATATGAGGAAGACTCAAGAGTGCACCAGAACCGTGCAAGTTTCTGGCCCCTTTCATATCAAAATATCCTTGACCAAGTTCCATCTTGCACACAGGGGTGTTGAGAGTGTTTGTTGGGTTTGTGTCCTGGGCATCCGTAAGCTTGAGAGGAATGAAAGGATCTGACTTAGAGGACAAGTCATCAATTTTGCTAGCACCAATGTCAAAAACACTTTGTAGTTTTCCCAAGTTCAGATCTGCATCTTGTGGAGCTTTCTCTCCATTGAGACATTGGTTATCAGGATTACTTGTAGAGCCCTGGCTCAGGCCAACACCAGGAAGGTCTACACAAGTGATGATTGGTGTAGAAATAGCGCCATCCAGGGTGGTCAGGGGAGAGCTCGAAAGATCAAGGGGTCGAATGATGTTGTCTATGGCACTGACTGATGAAAATTCTGATGTATATGGGAAAAGTTGTGTGGCATTATATGTAACATCCTCCTCATCTGAAGAAGAACTGGACTGTCCATCAGAGCTTGATCCAGTCTAAGATATATATAAAAAAAGGTAGATAAAATCTGGTAAACCCACAATTTTACAAATTTACGAAATAGAAAGTATTTTAAACCTTTTCCTCTTTGATATTGCTACTAGTCCCAGAGACTGTCAGAAAATAAAATAATAAAGCTTTTAAGGAAGTAATGAAATAATTATATTATAGATGAATCTGGAAAAATTGGAGCAACGTACTAGTTAAATAATAATTTAAAAATTGATTTAAATTTGTGAGTCTGTGAATACAATTAACTGAACAAGGGTAAATATTACAAAATACATTTTATTTAGCTACTGAAAAATTCCCAAACCAGTTTATATATTTATTTTTATCCACAAATACATTGAAGATTTCCAGATTTGCTTATTTTAAAATTTAAGAGTATAATTTCTTTAGCTTCTGTTTGCTTTTCAAATTCTGTCTTTATTTTGTTCGGTTTACAACTGATTAGATATTTTTTTATTCCACTTACTTATTCACATTACTCTTTCCAAGGAAAAAATGAGGGGTTGAGGAAGCATGCTGAATTTATTAATATGATGTGTTGAATGTTTAATTACAATAATGCCAAAAGAAACTGTGATTTCTTTTTTTAAACACACTAATCCATGACTGTTAACTTAATAATATTTAAAATTGTGAGTTATATATTTACTATCTTGATTCAGATTTAATTATTTTTTACATTAATATCGAAATTGACATTGACAATAAGCAATACAAGGTAAGGAAAAACTTTTGGCCGTTTACCAGATGACCACTGCACAAGAAAGTCTTCAAATGCCACGTGTGCAAACAAACAAATAATGCTCCACACAAAAGATGGAAATGAGAGTATAGAAAAAGTCTTTTAAAAGACAGCATAATTCAATTTCTTATCTCGCTAGACACAGCTTCTAACCTATGTCGACATGTACAGTGTTTAGTGTTTTCTTATCAAGTTTTCCATAATTCCTTATTGATCCATATCAAAATCAAGCTATTGAATAAATGGTTTTGACGATATTTAGAATTTATTTTTTTATTAAATATTATCATGCGCCTGACTAAGTCAGTCAAAATGCAAAGAGTTAAGCTCACATTTCAAAGAATACCTAATACAAAAACTGATTAGGTGAATACCTGTGTGGCAGATGTTCCTTTCTTGAGTATGGGTGAATGTTCCTCAGATACAAAAATGACATCATCTTCTTCCTTTTTTTCTGAACATAAAGGAGCTTTCTCTTCTTTAATCAACAACACATCGTCATCATCCTCGTCTGGAAAATTGATTTTTAAAACAGGCTAACTTATGTTAGAAGTAGATCAAAATAAGTAAAGCTAAGGAATATTGTATTCTGGGAAGTTAATGACAATTTAAGTTTTTAATTTTGGGAAGGATGGTAAAGTAAGGGGAACTCAAAAGTTGGGTGAGCAGGCACTTCATATTTTTTGTTTAATATTTTTTTAGCCTATAAAATAAAATAATATTTTGTTCAACTGGCTTCTTCAGACAATATTCTAAAAAGTCATTTTTAAAAAGTAACTATTTTTTTAAAAAAGTTATTCAAAAATATTTAATTTAGTACAAGTTTTATCATAAAACATTGTATCTTTCAAACAAGGCCTTAACAGACAGCAAACATGAAATTCAACCCTCCTGACTGCATATAACCTCTTTTTAACTTAACATTTTTAGGTGCTCAGGTGGGATGTAGGGGGAAGGGGAAAAACAACTTGGGAAACAGAGGCCTACATTATAATTATACATAAAACTATAAGACAATAACTAAAGCAAAACTGTCTTATATTCATTGTAACTTCTAACAACAGTGACACCACAGTCACCACAGAGGTCCATGGTCCATAGCCAATAATGTTATTGTAACATATTAATACATATTTTCATATGCATACTCGTCTATACTGAACTATTATCCTTAACTACTAGACTGGAAGTGGCTTATATATTTTAATTTCAAACTGCCAACACAGTTACTTAAGTTCACATTCAATCAAATTATTAATTGAAATATAAATAAAAATTATGATCATCTGATCATGACAAAACCACCTGAGTCACAATGACAGGATGTATTTTATTTTGATTTTACTTCTATTAATACACTATAGCCTATTACTAAGAGTACTTGGACTAAGACAGAAGAATAAGATTCATACTATAAAATTTAAATTACAATACATAGCCTACTCATACAAGACAGAGTACACCCATACATTTTTAAACGCTCATCCAATTAATTAATAATAAAATTGAAATATTTATTTAATTTTAGCCTAAGACTAAGTCCCTAAGACTTAGTAGTAGTAGTAGTCAGTAGTAGTAGTAGTAGGCCCATGCCATACTAATATCATAAACATGTATGGACTATATTACTAATATTAGGTATATAGTTTATAAAAACTAAAGTATAGCATCAACAAATGTCAACTGGGCATGTCATTATTATTATTAGTAATAGTACTTCTACTGAACTGGCTCCTTCTACTTAGTCTTAGTCTACTTCAACTTCAACATTCCTGTCATTAGTTAGTTTATAAGTTAACTAGTTAAGCTAACTACAGTACCAGACTGACAATAGTAAAAAAGTAAAATTAATCATTAGAAAGGCAAAATATTTACCTAAACATTAAATAAAATTAAATTGATTGTAATAATTTTCGAAAATAGCTCCATTTATAACACCTAATTTTGTACTAGTACTAGTACTACTATGCGTTGTCTCGGGTGACACTTCACACTAGTATTAGTATCATTATCAAAATCAAAGTAAAAAATAAACAAATAATTATAAATTACAATGATATATATATAGCCTAGGCCCTAATAATTATAAATGATAGGGCCTAATGTCTATATAAATATATAGAGTTAGAGATAAATATACAAACAACTTCTACAAACGTACCATCCGATTGAATGATGATCGGACTGTCCTGTCCGACATCCATGTTTAAACAAAATGTCCTCAGTAATGATGTTGTTTTTGAAGAGAACTAACCCAAGAATACGTCTGGTGGAAACTCGTTTCGATTATATGGTGAGGATTTTCTTTTTTTTCTTTTTTTTTTTTTTTTTTTCTTATTTCATTTCATTTTAAGGAAGTGGTTCGAGTCAACATCGGTGAGTGACTAGAAAGAAAAACCCGGAATTTTATTACCAATTCTAAAAAACTTAGANTCATAGTCATGATCTCAAATTCTCAATACCGAGACGGAGGTTATAAATCGTTTTCCATGGCATACATCTACAGTAGTGGATCACAGCACATGTGTATTACTAGTCTGTTATAAGAAACCCAACACACCTTAGAGTGGCCTAGCTAGGGTGAGTGCCGCCCCCCCCCACGAAAAAGCTATGCAGTTTTCCGAAAATGTCACCCTCAATATATGGGGGGGGAGGCGCCCCCTCCTAATCCCCTTCCTACGCTAATGTATCCCCCCCACCATGGGCGCCCGCAGGGGGGCACTTGCCCCCCTGGATTGATTGGATACATTTTTTTAGACAAAAATAGACCAAAACATTATTAAAGTAAAGAGAAAATAAAGAGAAAGTAACTAAGCTGATGTCCTGTCGATTCGTTCACCATACAAATACGCTACAGTAAATTAAAACTACATTACAACATTACTAAAAAAATTTTGCCCCTAGAAAGTTAATCGATTTTTTTGCCCCCCCCCCCCAGAAAGTTTTCTGCGGGCGCCCATGTCCCCCACCCACCTTTTTTACTACCCATTAGTGCTACACTTTTTTTGCAAATTTCGAGTGCGGTATTTTCGGTTTTTATCTACGGTATAGACATATGCCGGTATAGCCAATCCAAAATGCTTCGTTGGCCACATTTAGGTCCTATAGCGAGTAGGGCCTAAGCCTAAATAAAATTTTATCTGATCTCAATGCACATAATAAAATGCTAAATTCCTTAAATAATTTTAAAAATTTAAAAAAAAAAAAAACAGAAGCAAAAGACTAAACTAATGGGATTTCATTTTCGCTCAGTGATCGTTTTACAATTGATTTCAGTGTCAATGGAATGAAAGAACGAATAAGTTTATTGTGATATATCAGGCATCTGCGGGCTGAAATATATGACGTGGCGAGTTGCACGCGGCATAGGATAAAGTTAAAGAGACAAATATAGTATAGCCTACTACACACATTCTAGCTAGTCCACTGTTTGTAATGTAAGTGTAAGTGAAGTTATTATGTTAGCTAAAAATAAAATGAACATTTGAAATTAAAAATAGCTCGTCACAAGCTGTTTTGTTGTTGGTTTTAAAGTAAAAATGCTTACTTACGAGAAATCAAAGAATACTGTATCTGTACCCATTCATTGCCAATGCCTTTCGGTGAGGTCTTACAGATTTTTTATTGTATTTCGTTGACAATAAAAATAATATTAATATTTAAAATAAAATAAAACTTTTTATTTAATATGTTATGAACAATTAATGTCGTTAATTGTAACCGCCTTCGCCACAGCCAGGGGCGCCCGCAGAAAACTTTCTTAGGGGGGTGGCAAAAAATCGATTAACTTTCCAGGGGGGGGGGGAATTTTTAGTAATGTTTTAATGTAGTTTTAATATACTGTAGCGTATTTGTATGGTGAACGAACAGACAGGACATCAGCTTGGTTACTTTCTCTTTATTTTCTCTTTACTTAAATACATTTTTTGTCTATTTTTGTCTAAACATTTTTTATCCAATCAATCCAGGGGGGGGGGCAAGTGCCCTTCCTTGCCCCTACCTGCGGGCGCCCATGGCCACAGCACTGAGAGGCGAAATTGGGTACGCAACCTCTAGCAGTTAGTCATTTTTCTATAAGCCTGCTCCAGACGAGTCATCTTTGTAATTAAAGTAGGCTGCAGGTTGTGTAGGTCTGCTGTGATTTCACTTTAAATTAAATGCTCACGTCTTAGTCAAGAAAATGAATTAATTTGATGTTTTGTACTGTTTGCAAGTGCAGGCAGTGGCAATGGAAGGGGTGGTGTAGATGCAGTGTTTCTTTCAGAAATTTTCCCCCGGGGGTCACTTCAGATTTTTTTTTTTTTTGGGGGGGGGGGGGCACTTCAGGTTTTTTCGCACTTAAAAGGGAAAATAATATTTGGAGGGGTGGTATTATTGGACTAAAAGCAGATTTTACTGTGTGTGTGTTGTTGTTTTTTTTTTTTTTTTTGTAGAATAGGTTAGGCTAATTTTTGACCGGACTCACCCTAGCTACACCACTGAGTGTGTGTGTAGTGTGTGTGCATGTAGTTCAACGGGAATTTTAAACTGGATTCGTTGGAAAAGAAAAGCTAAAAAAGAATAGTAAGCCTATCAATTGGGATGTAGTTCCCAGTTTGCCCCTGAATTGTTGTGAAAACAATGATAAGTTTGAATTATGGATTAATTATTCTTAATCTAGTGTAATAAAATCAACACACTACAAGATCGCGAAGGAAACACGTGCGCATGACACATCTAAAATACATTTACACACGTCTTATTGACGTTTTTAAAAAAAATATATATATTGTACACACATCATCATTGCGTCAGCACTTTCATGTTACGCCAAGCATTGTTAAGTAAGGATTTATTTTTGAAAACATACTTTTTTTAATGTGAATAGGGAGGGAGGGTGGTGGCTACACCCCCCAGTTGGCTATACCCCCAGTTGGCTACACCCCCAGTTGGCTACACCCCCAGTCTGTTATTCATAATATAGGCCTACCAGGCGATTAAATTAGGAAGGAAAAAAAAGCCTGGCTATTTATTCTAGCGTGTTGGGACCAGGCTTACCCGTGTCTCATTTGTTGTGTGTTACTGCCCTTTGTTCAGTTGTAATGCTTAACAGCACGAGTGTGTTGAAATATAAACAATCCTTTTTGCTATTCAGGAGCTTCAGAATGTCCCCTGGCGGTGTTACTGACAAACTGGCAGTGGAGGGAGGGTAAAATGTGCCACAATTCTAAATGTCTGGAAGTTTTGCCCGCCCATAGGCACTTTAAACTGTAATATGACCTCTAACCACTCGTGAATAGCTTGTAATATGACCAATTATTGTGTGTCCCCACCGTGACCCCACCACAGCCATCTTAACCTAACCCGCATTATGGTAAAGTGAAAAACAAATTGATGTTGTGATAAAACCTAGCGTTAATCACCATGTGATGAGTGCTATTTTTAGCGTATACCTCGAGCCAATCAGTTTAATTGGAGGGGGGGGGGAGGAATAAGGAAGAACATATTTATTGCATGAATTGCACATTGGATTTCACGTTTCACTGCTTCCGTAAACGCCATGTGAATATGTCATACTGGTAAAAACCGAATTGATCGCACATACCAGCTGCATTTTCGACGGTTACAAAAAAATCCTTGTGAAACCTACGAACGCATTAAACTGCACGACACGCTGTTATGACGTGTTCTTTCACGTTCAGTCGTACTCGGCCAGTGAATGCCGACGAATAGCTTTCGGTTTAATTCCTAGATCCTGCGTTTTAAGTCGTTTGAATCGACATTTCCCCGAAAAAGACGGATGCTTAAAAAAAAAAAAAATGTCTTCCCCCCCGCCCCTATTGCTCGGATTGGCCTAAATACCAAGTAGACACGTGACTATCAACCCGACCACAAACTTTTTCCTTTAAAAAATTGTACCGTAGAAGTTCAAAAAACGAGCATAATTCGCTCCGGAAAAAAATAATTTTATATTCAGGTCTATCTTGTTTGAGAGAGTGAGAAAGAAAAAAAGAAAGAGAAAGAAAGAAAGAAAGAGAGAAAAAAAAAAAAAAGAAAGAGAAAGAGAGAGAGCTACAGTCTTCAGTTTCACTTTCGCTTTCGTAATCAAAGCTACTAGCGTCAACTTCAAAAGAGAGAGAGGTGTGGTAAGG